CTGAAGATCGCTTGTGCTGTGATCGAAACGTCGCAATTGTTTTGTTTTAATATAATGTTATTGTACTTCTACATACGTGACTTTACCGAAAAAAAAAACAATGAGTGAGATCAAAGGAAGTTCCGGTCCTTTGTGAGAGAGCATGACGGAGTAAGCGTCCTGTTTTTCTCGCAAGAGACGCGCAGAGGGGAGAACATTTCGGACAATTCAGCTCGACAAGATCCCGGCTACCAGCGGCAGAAGACGGCGACCATCAGCTCGACGGGAAGACTCGCGGCAGCTCGGGAAGAGGACAGCAAGGCAGCTCTGGGGCATGGCCTCGTGATCGACAACAAACACGTGCGGTGAATCGCGGTGAGGAGGGGGGGGGGGGGGCGGGCGAGGCGATTGCTCTCCGCCGAGTTCGGCGTGGACCGACAGAGCATCGCTCGAGAGTTATTCTCAGCGACAGGCGATCAACCCAGAAAGAGAGAGGGTGCCAGCTGCCAGCGGACGAGCGTCGTGCCGGCTCGGCTCATCCAGCGGGGGGGGGAAAAAGATCCCGACCAGCCGCCCGTGTGGAAGAAGGGGAGCCCAGGCATCCGTACGATACGCGCGTCGCCACGCGTTACGACGCATCGCCTGGCGTCTGCTTCACGCGAAGGGTCGCTCAAGGACACGTTCCCACGTTTTTTCGTCGAACTTTCATACATATGCAGTGGGTTCCAGGACACGGCAGAATAGAAGCAGCACTATTTATTTAAACCTTAACAAGGGTTACACTAGAAGGGGTAGCGGCCCCTCCACCCGTATAACTCAGGAACACACCCCAGGCTCTCTAGCCTAAGCTCTAGGCTCCCAGTTCCTCCTGGTAGGGCTCTAAGGGAGGCTATCAGATCCGGCCCTGGTTAGGCACAGATCTCGGCACCCCACCGACCAGACCGGCCCTTAGAAGGACTCTGACTCTGGGGCTCTGGGGCCGCGCCACTGGCTTGCTGTGCCGGCCCTGAAAGGGGCAGCGGTCACAGGAGTTCCAGGGTCTCACCTAACTGGCCTTCTTTCTTCATCGGTTGCTTCAGCCTCGGGCCCAACACTCTGCCCTGAGCTCCCTGGCTCCCCGCACCTTATACCCACTGGAGCCTTAGCGGACGTTGTTGTAGCCACCAAGGTGTGGGTGAACCACACCTTCCCGTGCCATGTGTTTATTCCCCATAGCACCCCTACACATACAACAACAGCGTGGTGTATAATGTAGTGCATAATGTAGTGTCGTCTTTCCGCCACTTCCCGCCCACTTCTCTCCCCGTCACGCACAATCATAACGAGCGAACGTCAAACAAAAAAAGCCGCTCATCAAAAGGCTAAATAGACGTGGGTTCTTTCGTGTTTTATTTACCTCCCCCAAGCCATTCCCATTCACGCCCCAACAGCGACACGACAGCAAGCGGTGGGGGCGGGAGCTTCCAGAGACGGACAGCCCGGAGGCCGCGTGCCAACAAGATCCCTGGACCCTCCGCGTGGCCTCGAACGGGCTGCTGGGGGCCAAGCGCTAGAAGCAGCGGCCGTGATGACCGGCACTGCGGCACACGAGTTCTTTGGTGTGGCCGGCGCCACCAACATCACCACCACCACCACCACCACGAACGTCACCACCAACAACATCACCACCACTCCCCCGCATAGCCTCTAACAGGCTGCTGGGGGCCAAGCGCTAGAAGCAGCGGCCGTGATGACTGGCACTGCGGCACACGAGATCTTTGGTGTGGCCAGCGCCACCAACATCACCACCACCACCACCACGAACGTCACCACCAACAACATCACCACCACTCCCCCCGTGTAGCCTCTAACAGGCTGCTGGGGGCCAAGCGCTAGAAGCAGCGGCCGTGATGACCGGCACTGCGGCACACGAGTTCTTTGGTGTGGCCGGCGCCACCAACATCACCACCACCGTCACCACCAACAACAACGTCACCACCACTCCCCCGTGTAGCCTCGAACAGACTTCTGGGTGGGCAAGCGCTGTTAGTTAGCGAGCAGCAGCGAAGGCCTGGCGTTGTGGCACACGAGGGGGTGGGGGGTGGTCAGCACCACAAACATCACTGCCACCAACATCAACAAATCCCCGCCCCCCCCCCCCCCCCGTAGCCTCTAACAGACTGCTGGGTGGGCAAGTGCTGTTAGTAGCGAGCAGTAGCAGCAGCTGTGAAGGCCGGGACACTGTGGCACATGAAAGGGTGGGTTGGCCAGCGCCACCACCGGCAACATCGCCACCACCATCACCGATCCCCCCCTGTAGCCTCGAACAGACTGCTGGGGGTGGGTAGGTGCTGTTAGTAGCGACCAGCAGCAGCAGCAGCTGACACACGACGTGTTTGGCGTGGGCCCGGGAACCGTGCCCGGCCGGACACCTTCGCCTCTCCCCCAGTGGCGATGTTTCACGACACTCCACCACCGCACCAGGGACTCGTTATGAGGCCGAGTCGACCTAGGGGCGGGCCCAGGACAGATAATCGGTTACAGATAATCGCTGTTGGCGGGCCGCGAGTGGGGAATCGAACCCGGGTCGCGGACTCGGGGTCAAGTAACGCGCGACGTCGCCGCTAACCGCTGCACCACCGCTCCCGACTGGCAAAGCCAGGGACCTAACCCCCCCCCACCCCCAACCACGAGGAGGAACGCCCGTGGTGGTAGTGGTGGTGACGGTGGTAGTGGCAGTGACGGTGGTGGTAGCGACGGTTGGCAGCGATCTGGACACATTCCCATCGGTGAGCTCCTCCGGCAGGCGAGGCTGCATTAGCTGGGCCATGTAGCCCGCATGGCCCATGTAGCCCGCATGGCCCAGCCACCCTGTGCCCAGCCACTGTGGGTAGCCCAAAAAGCAGCTTCTGTTTGGCCGGATGGAGGGGGCTAAACGGGCCCTGCACGGGCCGGAGAAGAGATGGAGCCGATGCGGTACGGGAGGATGTGGAGCCGAGTGGATTTGCCGGTTTTCGAGATCAGCCTCTGTGGAGGAGGAGGCTCGTGAAGGACGCTGCTGCTACTGGGCAGTTGGAGGCAGTCGCCCCTCCAGCAACAACAACGGAGCGCAGAGGAGCGAAGCTCAAGGAGCAGTTAAAATGCAGCGAGTTGGCACAGTAAGGGGGGGGAGGGGGGGTTACAGCTGGTGGTGCATCTACCGGTCATCTCGGTCAGCCAACCCACGGCACCTGCTGGGTCTGTCCCGTGACCTCCTGCACCTAGCCTGGCACAGCAGGGGGTTACAGCTGGTGGTGCATCTACCGGTCATCTCGGTCAGCCAACCCACGGCACCTGCTGGGTCTGTCCCGTGACCTCCTCCCTGCCAGCCAGCGAGAGCCTTCGACAGCTGCACGCTGGCAGCCTGAAAGCGCACCCAGCCTGGCACAGGCGCCCGCGGTCGCGTCACCGTCGCTCGGTGGCGAACGGCGGCCAACTGGGATTGGTGGCTGCCACTGACAGTGGTGGCTGTGACTGGCAGTGGTGGCTGTGACTGACAGTGGTGGCTGTGACTGACAGTGGTGGCTGTGACTGACAGTGGTGACTGTGACTGACAGTGGTGGCTGTGACTGGCAGTGGTGGCTGTGACTGACAGTGGTGGCTGTGACTGGCAGTGGTGGCTGTGACTGACAGTGGTGGCTGTGACTGACAGTGGTGGCTGTGACTGACAGTGGTGGCTGTGACTGACAGTGGTGGCTGTGACTGACAGTGGTGGCTGTGACTGACAGTGGTGGCTGTGACTGACAGTGGTGGCTGTGACTGACAGTGGTGACTGTGACTGACAGTGGTGGCTGTGACTGGCAGTGGTGGCTGTGACTGACAGTGGTGGCTGTGACTGGCAGTGGTGGCTGTGACTGACAGTGGTGGCTGTGACTGACAGTGGTGGCTGTGACTGACAGTGGTGGCTGTGACTGACAGTGGTGGCTGTGACTGACAGTGGTGGCTGTGACTGACAGTGGTGGCTGTGACTGACAGTGGTGGCTGTGACTGACAGTGGTGGCTGCGACTGACAGTGGTGGCTGCGACTGACAGTGGTGGCTGCGACTGACAGTGGTGGCTGTGACTGACAGTGGTGACTGTGACTGACAGTGGTGACTGTGACTGACAGTGGTGGCTGTGACTGACAGTGGTGGCTGTGACTGACAGTGGTGGCTGCGACTGACAGTGGTGGCTGCGACTGACAGTGATGGCACGGCGCTGGCAACCCTCCCCCGTCGCGTGCCGCAGCGCCGGCCCTTCATAGGCGCGCTGCCGCTCGCTCGTGGCACTTGCCCCAACAGTCTGTTGAGGCTACACGGGCCGGGGAGGGATCTTTGTCTTTGTGGTGCTGGCCAAACCACGCCACCACCCCCCCCTCTCTCTCTCCGTGCCACAGTGCCGGCCTTCATGAGGCGTTGTTGTTTGAGTGTTCACGTTTGTTGTCTTTCCACCCCCACCTCCGACTAGCGACGGTTGGCTACGTACGGCGCGAAAGAAGTTCAACGTACACCACTACACACACAACGCAATACTAGAACACTACACTATACGATACGCTCCACCGCTCTACGAGATTTAAAATACATTTCTTGAGATGAGCGTGGCCGGACAGTCTGCTGGAAGGCTGCGTGCCACCAACAATCAATCCGTTAAGGTGGTGGTGGCGATGTTGACGACGGTGATGATGGCGGTGGCGATGATGAGGTTATGGTTATGGTGGCGATGATGGTGGTGGTGATGATAATGATTGTGGTGGTGATGATAATAATGATGGTGGTGATGATGGTGATCATGATGGTGGTGATGATGATCATGATGGTGATGATAATAATGGTGGTGGTGATGATGATAAAGATGGTGGTGATGATGAAAATAATGGTGATGATGGTGGTGGTGATGATTATAAAGATGGTGGTGTTGGTGGTCATGATGATGTGGTTATGATTATGACGGTGGTGGCGATGATGATGGTAGTGGTGATGATGATCATGATGGTGGTGATGATGATCATGATGGTGGTGATGATGATCATTATGATAATAATGGTGGTGATGGTGGTGATGATGATCATGATGGTGGTGATGATGATGGTGGTCGTGATGACGTGGTTATGATGATGACGGTGGTGGCGATGATGGCCCGTGGAGACCATTGCCCGCTGGTGAACCGCTAACCGAATTTGTTGTTTGGCGCGCGACTATTGGGAGCGCAAACAGGAACCCTGGGCTAACATTACAAAATAAAACCCCGAGCGCACGGCTTCGCGAGCCGCGGCTGGCTACTATCCGTTTTAGTTCTCCGTCAGGACTCTCAAAGTGGTCTTCACCCCCCCCCCCCCGCCCCGAGCGCACGTGTCCGGTTGTCTATGTCCGGTTGTCTATGTCCGGTTGTCTATGTCCGGTTGTCTATGTCCGGTTGTCTGTGTGTGGTTGTCTGTATGTGGTTGTCTGTGTGTGGTTGTCTATGTCCGGTTGGCCTGCGCGGTTCCGATGACGCATTCGTTGACCTGCGCCGTCGTCACGCAGAGGGGACAGGGCAGAGGGTAGGGGGCAGAGGTCAGAGGTCGGCGAGGCGAAGTGTTCCGAGCCACAGCAGCACTTCAGCATTAACCACGCTCGCCACGCAAGCTCACCACGCACACACCCTCTCACCACACGTGCGCACACCACACAATCACCGCGCACACACACACCCTCACCACACACCCTACACACCCTCCACACGCACAATCACCGCACACCCCCACCACACATACACACACACCCTACACACGCGCACACACACACCCTACACACGCACACACACACCCTGACCACACACACACACACCCTGACCACACACACACACCCTGACCACACACACACACACCCTGACCACACACGCACAATTACCGCACACACACACCCTGACGACACACACACCCTGACGACACACACACACACACCCTGACCACACACACACACACCCTGACCACACACACACACACCCTGACCACACACACACCCTGACCACACATACACACCCTACACACGCACAATCACCGCACACACACACCCTGACCACACACACACACTGACCAACAACAACAACCGCCATTCGCCACTACGTGGCGGTGACGTCACCACGACGCTTGTGCCAGGCTATGTGCACCCTGAGGCCACGTGAAGTGTCGAACGCCCGCTGGCAGGAGGTCACGGGGCAGACCCAGGTGCCACGGGTCGACTGAGATGACTGGCTGATGCACCACCTGTGCCCCCTACTGTGCCAACCTGCTGTGCTTTAGCCACCCGGCGCTCCGCTCATTGTTCTGAGCGTCGCTCCTCCGCCCTCCGTTGTTGTTGGAGGGCGACTACCTCTAACTGCCCAGTAGCATCCTTCACGAGCCTCCTCCACAGAGGCCGATCTTGACACTGCTGGTACCAGTCATCGACAAGTCCACTCAGCTCCACGTCCTCCTGTACCACATCACTCCATCTCTTCTCTAGCCCGTGCCGCGCCCGCTTAGCCCCCTCAATCCGGCCAAACAAAAGCTGTTTCGGCATGCGGTGGCTGGGCATGCGGGCTACATGACCCAGCCATCGCAGCCTTGCCCGCCGGAGGAGCTCACCGATGGGACCCTGCCCAGATCTTTCAAGGATTTTTGAGCTCCTCACACAATCCAGTCTGGTTAAACCCAGGATGGATCGTAGGCAGGCCAGCCTAAATGTTTCTAACCGGCGAAGATGTTCCATTAGGGGGGTCCACGTTTCGCAAGCGTAGAGAAGGGAGGGAATGACCGTGGCCGAGAAGACCTGAAGCTTAGTGCGGAGCGACAGACCAGGTAGCTTCCACACAGCGTTACGCAACCGATGAAAAGATATTGCCGCTCGACTGATTCGGAGTGAGACCTCTGCTGTTAAACTGGAGCCAGTCATAAGCACACTGCCCAGGTATGGGAAACTCTCAACTCTCTCCACAACTGCCCCATCACCGATTGGGAGTTGTGGGGGTGGAGTGTCCGATGGTACAAAATACCCAGGCAGGTGCTTAGTTTTGGTGGGGCTGATGGCAAGGCCCCACCTCTTAGTGGCACGCTCCAGTCTCAGCAGCAGCGTCTCCAACTCCTCCTCTGACTGAGCAGCTGTTACCAAATCATCAGCATACATAACGTGGTTGAGCAATAGGGAGCCATCCCTTGACCACACCCGGGCATCGATCAGCCTCCCATTATATCTGTACCATATGGAGATTCCCCCGGTACAGCTATTGAAGGCTTCACGAACTACGTGGTCAAAATAGATGTTAAATAATGTGGGAGCCAGAGGACATCCCTGTCGCACCCCAAGGTGTACAGGGAATGGCTCTGACTCCCGGCCACGTAGTTTTACCCGGGCCCGCTCACCATCATGAAGGTCCTTAATGATCGTGAGCAGAGGGTCAGGTACTCCAAAAGCACGAAGAACGACCCAGAGCCCAGGCCTACTGATGGTATCATAGGCCTTGACCAGGTCAATAAAGCAGAGATGTAGGTCTTGTTGGAATTCCCTACACCTCTGCTGTAGCAGACGGACAGAAAATATGGCATCTGTGCAGGACCACCCTTTCCTGAAACCGCATTGGGGCTCCGCAAGCCTCTCCTCAGCGTGCTTGGCAAGGCGATGCTGAATAATCCTTGCCAGGACCTTTCCCGGCACACTGAGGAGTGAGATGCCCCTGTAGTTGTTACAGTCTTTGCGGTCCCCCTTCTTAAAGAGGGGGACCACCAGGGCATCCTTCCAATCCTGCGGAACCCGTCCAGTGGTCCAGACCGTTGTTACGTCATATAGGGCAGTCTGTGCACAAACGCCACCCTCCCTCAGCATTTCGCTTGGGAGATCATCTCTGCCCGCTGCCTTTCCTGGTCTCAGACTCCGGATCGCCTTCAGTACTTCCTCAACAGATGGCACCTCAGCCAGCCACTCACAGGGGGTGACTTCTTCCAATATTTGAGGCACCGCAGCCTCAGCAGGGTCATCCTCACTTTGTGCCACGATGTTTTCCTGGCTGAGGGATTTTCCCTCCCCCAGGACCTCACAGAAATGCTCAGCAAATCTGCAAACCTGTTCCTGGGGGTCGGAGATTGGATCACCGTTTTTTCCCCTAATGATGGTAATAGGTGTGGCGCTGCAGGTTACTTTTTTGATGGAGTTAAATAGAGATTTGTGATCACGGGCCACTGAGGCAGACTCCATCTCCTCAGCAACCCGCAACCACCACCCATCCTTGCAGCGCCTCACGGCTCTTCGAACCTCCGAGCGAAGGCTGCGGTAAGCCTCCTCATTCTCTGACGTGGGATTCTGTAGCGGATGACAGTGGGCCTGTCGCTTTTTCTCAACCATCCTGAATACCTCCTCTGTCAGCCAGGGTCTCTGGGGAGGTCTGGACCGCGTACCCAAAGCAGCCATTGCAGCTGCATGAGTCACAGTCCTAAACCTCGCCCATTTACCCTCGACATCAGGAGGAGGCGGGGACGATGCCAATCCCAGCCGCAAGCGATGATGAAATTCTCGCTTGCAACTTTCATCAGATAACTGAGACCAGGCCACTTTAGGTTGGAATGGGGTCCTGGGTGTACACCCACCACCGGAGTGGAAGAATGGCAGGCGCATCTTACAGATGACTAGTCGATGGTCAGAGGGCAGATCAGCTCCACGGTAGGTCCTGGTGTCAAGGACATGGGCTCGCATCCGCTGGTCCGTCACTATGTAGTCCAGCAGATGTTCTTGCTTGGACCCGGCATGCATCCATGATGTTGTGTGGATGCGCCGATGCCGGAACAGCGTGTTGGTAATTACAAGCCCATGGGCTGCACAAAAATCTAGCAGCCTCCTACCGTTGTTATTGAGCTGATCTGGCCCATGCCCTCCAATCACTCCAGACCAGGTGCCAGTATCATGACCAACTCGGGCATTGAAGTCACCCAACAAGATGACTCTATCCCGAGGGGCCACTTTAGCCAGCACCTGTGACAGGAGGTCATAGAAGGCATCTGACTCATCGGCTTTGCCTGCATCCCTCCACGGATGTTCATCTTCGGTGGGGGCATAAGTAACCACGACCACCATTCCTCGCCTCCGGTTGATGGGAAGGCGAGCCCAAAGTAGCCTGGGGCTTACAGCTTCCCACACCTCACCGCCACGCTCCCACGCCCCCTTCATTCTTTTGTTCAAAAGAAGAGCCACACCCTGTTGTTTGGCAGTCTGCTGCCCCGAGTAGAGGACTGTCCACCCCACACACACACACACCCTGACCACACACACACACACCCTGACCACACGCACAATCACCGCACACACACACACCCTGACCACACACACACACCCTGACCACACACACACACCCTGACCACACACACACACACACCCTACACACGCACAATCACCGCACACACACACCCTGACCACACACACACACCCTGACCACACACACACCCTGACCACACACACACACACACCCTACACACGCACAATCGCCGCACACGCACCGTCACCATACAGTCCCAAGCTCTTGACCGCACGCACCTTTGTTGCAAACCGTAGCGAGTTTAGCGTCTCGGAGAAGTTGTCCTCCGAAGGGCTGAGGTTGATGAACATCAACCTGCGGGGTGGGTGGGTACGTGGATCAGTGCGTGGGTACGTGGGTAAGTGGGTGGGTACGTGAGTGAGTGTGTGGGTGGGTATGTGGGTGAGTGTGTGGGTGGGTACGTGAGTGAGTGTATAGGTGGGTGGGTACGTGGGTGAGTGTGTGGGTGGGTACGTGGGTGAGTGTGTGGGTGGGTATGTGAGTGAGTGTGTGGGTGGGTACGTTAGTGAGTGTGTGGGTGGGTATGTGAGTGAGTGTTTGGGTGGGTACGTGAGTGAGTGTGTGTGTGGGTACATGGGTGAGTGAGTGTGTGTGTGGGTGGGTATGTGGGTGTGTGTGGGTGGGTGGGTACGTGAGTGTGTGTGTAGGTACGTGAGTGAGTGAGTGAGTGTGTGGGTACGCGAGTGAGTGTGTGGGTGGGTATGTGAGTGTGTGTGTGGGTGGGTATGTGGGTGAGTGTGTGTATGGGTTGGTGTGTGGGTGAGTTGGTGTGTGGATGGGTTGGTGTGTGCGTGGATGGATGCGCGAGTTCGTGGGTGGATGCGCGAGTGGGTGGGTGGGTGATCGGTTGCGTGGGTGAGTGCGTGGATGGGTTGGTATGTGTGTGTGTGTGTGGGTGAGTCGGTGCATGTGTGGGTGGGTGCGTGCGTGCGAGTGTGTGCATGGGTGAGTGGGTGAGCGCGTGGGTGTGTGCGTGGGTAGGTGTGCACTTTTATTTACACCATCTAACCCACAACATCTCCATTGTGGATAATATTGGTCGGGAAAGCCACCTCCTACTACTACTGCCACCACGTGTTAAACTGATATTTAAGGCCACACAGAGGCATTCTGGGCAACCAGGTGAGGACACGAGCGGGATCCAGGGTGAGGTCTCTTTTGCAAGCGCGAGTGGGTCGTTGAATAGGTGGATGAGTGGGAGAATGAGTGGGTGAGTGGGTGAATGAGTGGGTGAGTGGATGAATGAGTGGGTGAATGAGTGGGTGAATGAGTGGGTGAATGAGTGGGTGAATGAGTGGGTGAGTGGGTGAATGAGTGGGTGAATGAGTGGGTGAATGAGTGGGTGAATGAGTGGGTGAATGAGTGGGTGAATGAGTGGGTGAGTGAGTGGGTGAGTGAGTGGGTGAATGAGTGGGAGAGTGGGTGAATGAGTGGGTGAATGAGTGGGTTAATGAGTGGGTGAGTGAGTGGGTGAATGAGTGGGAGAGTGGGTGAATGAGTGGGTGAGTGGGTGAATGAGTGGGTGAATGAGTGGGTGAGTGAGTGGGTGAATGGATGAATGAGTGGATGAATGAGTGGGTGAATGAGTGGGTGAATGAGTGGGTGAATGAGTGGGTGAATGAGTGGGTGAATGGATGAATGAGTGGATGAATGAGTGAATGAGTGGGTGAGTGGATGAATGAGTGAATGAGTGGGTGAGTGAGTGGGTGAATGGATGAATGAGTGGGTGAATGAGTGGGTGAGTGGGTGAATGAGTGGGAGAATGAGTGGGTGAGTGGATGAATGAGTGAATGAGTGGGTGGGTCGTGGTTAGCGCTGCGCTATAAACCTGGCGACCTGGGTTCGATTCCCGCACGCGGCCAACACCAGTGATGATCTGAGCCGGTCCCGGGCCTCTCCAAGGTCGACTCAGCCTCAAATGAGCACCTGTTGCTGGCCACCCACCCCCTCGTGTACCATTCCGGCCTTCATAAGTGCTCGCTAACAGCACTTGCCCCTACAGTCTGTAGGCGATACGGGGATCTTTGTCTTTGTGTGGGTGTGCGTGCAGGTGGGTGTGTGCGTGTGGTGTGGGTCCGTTTGGGGGTGTGTGCGTGTGGGGGTGTGTGCGTGGTGTGGGCGCGTGAGGGTGCGTGTGTGTGTTTACGTGTGCGTGGTGTGGGTGGTGTGTGTGCGTGGGTGTGTGTGCCTGTGGGTGGTGTGGGTGTGCGTGCGTGGTGTGTGCGGTGTAGGTGGTGTGGATGCGTGTGGGTGTGCGTGCGTGCGTGGTGTGGGCAGTGTGGGCGGTGTGGGTGCGTGAGGGTACGTGCGTGTAAGCATGTGGGTGCTGTGGGTGCGTGCGTGTGGGTGGTGTGGGCGGTGTGTGTGCGTGTGGTGTGGGTGCGTGCGTGTGGTGTGCGTGTGGGCGTGTGGTGTGAGTGTGTGTGCTTGTGTGTGCGTGGTCTGGTTGGGTGTATGTGCGTGTGGGTGCGTGTGTGCGCGTGGTGTGGGTGTGTGTGCGTGTGGGTGGTGTGGGTGTGCGCGTGGTGTGGGTGTGTGTGCGTGTGCGCGTGGTGTGGGTGCTTGTGTGTGCGTGTGGGTGGTGTGGGTGCGTGTGGGTGGTGTGGGTGTGTGTGTGTGCGTGTGTGCGCGTGGTGTGGGTGTGTGTGGTGTGGGTGTGTGTGCGCGCGTGGTGTGGGTGTGTGTGTACGTGTGGGTGGTGTGGGTGTGTGTGTGTGCGCGTGGTGTGGGTGTGCGTGTGGGTGGTGTGGGTGTGTGTGTGCGCGCGTGGTGTGGGTGTGTGTGCGCGTGGTGTGTGTGTGCGTGGTGTGGGTGTGTGTGTGTGCGCGTGGTGTGGGTGTGCGTGTGGGTGTGTGTGCGGGTGGTGTGGGTGCGTGTGTGCGCGTGGTGTGGGTGTGTGTGTGCGCGTGGTGTGGGTGTGTGCGTGTGTGTGTGGTGTGGGTGTGTGTGTGTGCGCGTGGTGTGGGTGTGCTGCCACCTACGTCTTTGAGTTCCCTCCCAGGCAGTTCTGCAGGAGGTAGGTGAGCTTGGAGTTGCGGTAGGGGATGTGCTGCTCCTGGACCGACACACGGCGGGGGGGTGACACGGTGACGGGTGACACGGAGACACGGTGACGGGCGACACGGTGTCATGGGGGCGAGGGTGTTGGGGGCGAGGGTGTTGGTGGCGAGGGTGTTGGGGGCGAGGGTGGCGAGGGTGGCGCCGGCGGACCTTGTTGGACAGCGCCATGATGACTAGCGCCAGGCTCGTGAGGCTGCTGTTGATGTGCTGCGCCTCCTTGAGCCGCTCGCCCGTCGACTGCGACTTGTCCAGCCGCTCGCTGCCAGCCAGGTCAACGAGGTTCAGCTGGGCTGCACGCACGTGGACACGCAGGCACGAACACGCAGGTGTGAACACGCACGCACAAACACACAGGCACGCGTGAACACACAGGCACGCGTGAACACGCAGGCACGAACACGCAGGCACGAACACGCAGGCACGCGTGAACACACAGGCACGCACGTGTGAACACGCAGGCACGAACACGCAGGCACGAACACGCAGGTGTGAACACGCAGGCACGCGTGAACACGCAGAATACACGCGTCCACAAGCTCGCACAAAGATCCCCCGCGTAGCCTCTAAGAGACCGTTACGGAGCACCTCTTAAGGCCGGGGGCACAGCACGCGAGGGGGGTGGGGGGGGGGGGCGAGCGGTCAACAGCACGTCCCGGCCGCCTTTGTCTCCCCGGTGGTGACCATTGGTGCGTGCGCGTGTGCGTTGGTGCGTGCGTGTGTGCGTGCGTTGGTGCGTGGGTGCTCCTACACGTGAACTGCTGCCCCGTCGCCTCGTTGCTGCCGCGGATGTGCAGCTGGAAGACGCTGTGGCTGCGCGACGAGCGGTTGTTGGCGGCGGTGGACGCCACGGAGCGGTTGCCCTTGGCGATCAGCAGCAGGCGCTCCAGCTGGGGGGGGGGGGCGGGGGGGGGCAGGGGGGGGCAACGCGAGGTCAGATCGCGGAGCGGCGCAATAGCGCAGCAGCACGCTAGCACAGAAGCACGCTAGCACAGAAGCACGCTAGCACAGCGGGTAGCACAGAAGCACGCTAGCACAGAAGCACGCTAGCACAGCAGCACGCTAGCACAGCGGTAGCACAGCAGCACGCTAGCACAGAAGCACGCTAGCACAGCAGCACGCTAGCACAGCGGGTAGCACAGAAGCACGCTAGCACAGCAGCACGCTAGCACAGCGGTAGCACAGCAGCACGCTAGCACAGAAGCACGCTAGCACAGCAGCACGCTAGCACAGCGGTAGCACAGCAGCACGCTAGCACAGCGGGTAGCACAGAAGCACGCTAGCACAGAAGCACGCTAGCACAGCGGTAGCACAGAAGCACGCTAGCACAGAAGCACGCTAGCACAGAAGCACGCTAGCACAGCGGGTAGCACAGAAGCACACTAGCACAGAAGCACACTAGCACAGAAGCACGCTAGCACAGAAGCACGCTAGCACAGCACGCTAGCACAGCACGCTAGCACAGAAGCACGCTAGCACAGCAGCACGCTAGCACAGAAGCACGCTAGCACAGCGGGTAGCACAGAAGCACGCTAGCACAGCGCGCTACTGCAGCACGCTAGCACAGAAGCACGCTAGCACAGAAGCACGCTAGCACAGAAGCACGCTAGCACAGCAGCACGCTAGCACAGAAGCACGCTAGCACAGCAGCACGCTAGCACAGCGGGTAGCACAGAAGCACGCTAGCACAGCGCGCTACTGCAGCACGCTAGCACAGAAGCACGCTAGCACAGCGGTAGCACGCTAGCACAGAAGCACGCTAGCACAGAAGCACGCTAGCACAGAAGCACGCTAGCACAGCACACTAGCACAGCAGCACGCTAACACAGCGCGCGACGGCAGCACGCTAGCACAGCACGCTAGCACAGCGGCAGCGTGCGTCAACTCGCATGCTCATGCACACTACAAGACGCACCAATACCAATACCGGCCATTCGCCGACCAAGTGACGGTGTGCCAGGCCAGACGCATACACAAGACAAGAGATCCCACCCCTCCCCCCACCCCCACCGTGTAGCCCGCAACAGACTGTCGGGGCAAGCGCTGTTAGCGCGTAGCAGCGCCTACGAAGGCCCGGCACGGCACACGAGGGGTAACGGTGGGCCAGCACTACCACGCCCGGCCGCCTTTGTCTCCCCGGTGGCGAGGTTTACTGCACACCGCACCGGGCACTCGTTTGAGGCCGAGTCGACCTAGGGGAGGCACCGTGAGCGGCTCGGGTAAACCCGTCACCGGCGTCGGCCGCGAGCGGGAATCGACCTCGTAGCGCGGCGTTGCGCTAACCGCTACGCTACCCACGTCGGCTTCTGGAGACCAATATAACCCACAAACACAGGGTTTTTGTTTAGGGTACGTTCGCGCTATCTCACGCGAAAAATTAAAAACCTGCATTATACGAGCGCTACGCTACCGCTCCCCGTTTTCCACTCGTGCACGCACCTCTGCCTCGGAGGTGACGGGGGTGTACAGCAGGTTGGTGACGGTGAGCTGGGCGGCGGCGGCGGCGCCGCTGCCGCCGCTCCCCTTGGCGGGCGCCTGCTTGATCTCCAGCGGCTGGGACTTGCCGGCGCGCGGCCCCGCCAGCAGATCGCGCAGGTTCTCGTTGTAGATCTCGATGAAGGAGGCCCGGAACGTGTACTGCGGGGCGGCACCCGCGAGACGCGTTGGAGACGGCGCGAGACGCGCGGGGGCGGGCCCGCTCACGAGATGGCGCGCGGATGGAGGCGCAAACCTCCCACGTGCTCACGCTTCGCACGCGCCCAAGATCACACGCTCACACGCTCGCACGCACGGATACACACGCCCAACATCACCCCACACACGCCCAACATCACACGCTCGCACGCACGCACACGCACGCACACACACCCACACAACCTCACCCCACACACCCCCAACATCACACGCTCGCACACACACCCACACAACCTCACCCCACATTCGCCCAAACATCATACGCTCACACGCTCGCACACACACACACACGCTCACACGCACGCACACACACCCACACAACCTCACGCCACACACCCCCAACATCACACGCTCGCACACACACCCACACAACCTCACCCCACATTCGCCCAACATCATACGCTCACACGCTCACACGCACGCACACACACACACGCTCGCGAGCATTACAGACGGCGCACTAGCGAGACACAAACGTCACACGCACAAACGCACACCCCACACACACTCCACAAGTTCACACACAGAACCTCACACACGCATGAGAGATGGCGCACGGGCGAGACACAAACCTCCCACGTGCTCACACACACACACACCCAACATCACGCGCTCACACACACACACACCCACACAACCTCACCCCACACTAGAAGCTCACACACACAACCCTCACACGCGCTCACACAGCCACACGCCCCAACATCAGACGCTCACACATACGCGCGCACACCCCACACGCTCACACGCACACCCTCACCCCACACGCTCACACACACCCATACACCCCCAACATCACACGCACGCACAGCCCACACGCTCACACACACCCATACAACAACAACAACCGCCATTCGCCACTAAGTGGCGGTGACGTCACCACGACGCTTGTGCCAGGCTATGTGCACCCTGAGGCCACGTGAAGTGTCGAACGCCCGCTGGCAGGAGGTCACGGGGCAGACCCAGGTGCCACGGGTCGACTGACTGAGATGACTGGCTGATGCACCACCTGTGCCCCCTACTGTGCCAACCTGCTGTGCTTTAGCCACCCGGCGCTCCGCTCGCTGTTGTGAGCGTCGCTCCTCCGCCCTCCGTTGTTGTTGGAGGGCGACTGCCTCCAACTGCCCAGTAGCATCCTTCACGAGCCTCCTCCACAGAGGCCGATCTTGACACCGCTGGTACCAGTCATCGGCAAGTCCACTCAGCTCCACGTCCTCCTGTACCACATCACTCCATCTCTTCTCTAGCCCGTGCCGCGCCCGCTTAGCCCCCTCAATCCGGCCAAACAAAAGCTGTTTCGGCATGCGGTGGCTGGGCATGCGGGCTACATGACCCAGCCATCGCAGCCTTGCCTGCCGGAGGAGCTCACCGATGGGACCCTGCCCAGATCTTTCAAGGATTTGTGAGCTCCTCACACAATCCAGTCTGGTTAAACCCAGGATGGATCGTAGGCAGGCCAGCCTAAATGTTTCTAACCGGCGAAGATGTTCCATTAGGGGGGTCCACGTTTCGCAAGCGTAGAGAAGGGAGGGAATGACCGTGGCCGAGAAGACCTGAAGCTTAGTGCGGAGCGACAGACCAGGTAGCTTCCACACAGCGTTACGCAACCGATGAAAAGATATTGCCGCTCGACTGATTCGGAGTGAGACCTCTGCTGTTAAACTGGAGCCAGTCATAAGCACACACCCATACACCCCCAACATCACACACACACGCTCACACGCACACCCTCACCCCACACGCTCACACACACCCCCTCACCCCACACGCTCACACGCACACCCTCACCCCACACGCTCACACACACCCATACACCCCCAACATCACACAAAGACAAAGATCCCCCGTATAGCCTTAACAGACTGTAGGGGCAAGTGCTGTTAGCGAGCACCTATGAAGGCCGGAACAGTACACGAGGGGGTGGGTGGCCAGCACCACGCCCGACCGCCTTTGTCTCCCTAGTGGCAATGTTTTTATCCACCGCACCAGGTACTCATTTGAGGCTGAGTCGACCTAGGGGAGGCCCAGGACCGGTTCAGATAATCGTCACTGGTGTTGGCCGTGAGCGGGAATCGAACCCGGGTCGCCAGGTTTATAGCGCAGCGCGCTAACCGCTACGCTACCGCTCCCCACCAACGCACACCCTCACCCCACACGCTCACACACACCCGTACACCCCCAACATCACACGCACGCACAGCCCACACGCTCGCTCGCACGCACACCCTCACCCCACACGCTCACACACACCCATACACCCCCAACATCACACACACACGCGCTCACACGCACACCCTCACCCCACACGCTCACACACACCCATACACCCCTAAACATCACACGCACGCACAGCCCACACGCTCACCCCACACGCTCACACACACCCATACACCCCCAACATCACACACACACACCCTCACCCTACACGCTCACACACACCCGTACACCCCCAACATCACACGCACGCACATCCCACACCCTCACCCCACACCCTCACACCCCACACGCTCACGCGCCCTCACACCCCACACGCTCGCACACACACACCCCCCAACACGCACGAGCCACGCACGACCGCGCCGTACGTTCCAGCCCTTGGGCTCGAGCTGGCGGGCGGCCGAGAAGATCTGCTTGACGGCGCGCGGGATGACGCCCTCGGTGTGCGGCGAGAAGTCGGCCCCGTCGGGCCCCTCCATGGTGAACGTCTTGCCGCTACCCGTCTGGCCGTACGCAAAGATGCTCACGTTGTAGCCGTCCAGCGCAGACTGCGGGGCGGGGGTGGGTGGGGTGCACGGGGGTTTACATCGTCGTCACGGTCGTCATCATCATCTTAGTCATCGCCCTCATCGTCGTCATCGTCGTCGTCGTCACTGTCGTTATCATTGTCGTCGTCGTCATCGCCACTGTCGTTCTCATCGTCGTCATCATCGTCTTCCTCATCATCGTCGTCATTGTCGTTCTCATCGTCGTCATCATCGTCGTCGTCATCGTCATCATCGTCATCGTCGTTCTCATCGTCGTCATCGTCGTCACCATTGGAGACGAGAGCCCGCGTCAGGGCGGCAAATCACTCCGTGTGGGACAGGGTCACGGAGAGGGGGTTGAGGGGTTGAGGGGTTAGCGACGGGCGAGGGGGCTGAGGGCGAGGGGGCTGAGGGCGAGGGGGTTGAGGGGGCTGAGGGCGAGGGGGTTGAGGGCGAGGTGGTTGATGGGGCTGAGGGCGAGGAGGCTGAGGGGGTTGAGGGCGAGGGGGTTGAGGGGGTTGAGGGGGTTGAGGGGTTTGAGGGCGTTGAGGGGGTTGAGGGGGTTGAGGGCGAGTGGGTTGAGGGGGTTGAGGGCGAGGGGGTTGAGGGGGCTGAGGGGGTTGAGGGGGATGAGGGGGTTGAGGGGGCTGAGGGCGAGAAGGCTGAGGGGGTTGAGGACGAGGGGGTTGAGGACGAGGGGGTTGAGGGGGTTGAGGGCGAGGGGGTTGAGGGGGTTGAGGGCGAGGGGGTTGAGGGCAAGGGGGTTGAGGGGGTTGAGGGGTTTGAGGGCGAGGGGGTTGAGGGGGTTGAGGGCGAGGGGGTTGAGGGGGTTGAGGGCGAGGGGGTTGAGGGCAAGGGGGTTGAGGGGGTTGAGGGGTTTGAGGGCGAGGGGGTTGAGGGGGTTGAGGGGGTTGAGGGGGTTGAGGGGCTTGAGGGCGAGGGGGTTTGACGGGGTTGAGGGCGAGGGTATTGAGGGGTTTGAGGGCGAGGGGGTTGAGGGGGTTGAGGGCAAGGGGTTGAGGGCGAGGGGGTTGAGGGGGTTGAGGGCGAGGGGGTTGAGGGCAAGGGGGTTGAGGGGGTTGAGGGCGAGGGGGTTGAGGGGGTTGAGGACGAGGGGGTTGAGGGGGTTGAGGGCGAGGGGGTTGAGGGCGAGGGGGTTGAGGGGGTTGAGAGCAAGGGGGTTGAGGGGGTTGAGGGGTTTGAGGGCGAGGGGGTTGAGGGCGAGGGGGTTGAGGGGGTTGAGGGCAAGGGGGTTGAGGGGGTTGAGGAGTTTGAGGGCGAGGGAGTTGAGGGGGTTGAGGGGGTTGAGGGGGCTGAGGGCGAGGGGATTGAGGGGGTTGAGGGCAAGGGGGTTGAGGGGGTTGAGGGCAAGGGGGTTGAGGGGGTTGAGGGACGAGGGGGATGAGGGGGTTGAGGGGGTTGAGGGGGTTGAGGGCAAGGGGGTTGAGGGGTTTGAGGGCGAGGTTGAGGGGTTTGAGGGCGAGGGGGTTGAGGGGTTTGAGGGCGAGGGGGTTGAGGGCGAGGGGGTTGAGGGGGTTGAGAGCAAGGGGGTTGAGGGGGTTGAGGGGTTTGAGGGCGAGGGGGTTGAGGGCGAGGGGGTTGAGGGGGTTGAGGGCAAGGGGGTTGAGGGGTTAGCGACAGGCGAGGGGGCTGAAGGCGAGGGGGTTGAGGGGGTTGAGGGCGAGGGGGTTGAGGGGGTTGAGGGGGTTGAGGGGGTTGAGGGGGTTGAGGGCGAGCGACATGCTAGGGGGCTGTTCTTGTTGTCGAGCGGTCAGGGTGAGGGGTAAGCAAGCGAGAATGAGCAAGCGAGCGAGAGTGAGCAAGAGAATGAGTAAGAGAGAGTGAGCGAGAGAGCGAGAAAATGAGCGAGGGAGCGAGAGAACGAGAGAGAGAGAGCGAGCGAGAGAGAATGAGCAAGAGAATGAGTGAGAGAGAATGAGCGAGAGAGAGAGAGCGAGAGAATGAGCGATCTAGAGAGAGTGAGCGAGCGAGAGAGACTGAGCAAGGGAGCGAGAGAATGAGCAAGAGAGAGTGAGCGAGCGAGAGAATGAGCGACAAAGAGAGCGAGAGAATGAGCGAGGGAGAGAGAATGAGCGAGCGAGAGTGAGAGAGCAAGAGAATGAGCGACAGAGAGAGAGTGAGCGAGCGAGAGAGAACGAGTGAGAGAATGAGCAAGGGAGCGGGAGAATGAGCCAGGGAGAGTGAGCGAGCGAGAGAACGAGCGAGGGAGCGAGCGAGAGAGAATGAGCGAGGGAGCGAGAGCGAGAAAACGAGAGAATGAGCGAGCGAGAGTGAGTGAGCGAGAGAGAGAATGAGCGACAGAGAGAGCGAGAGAATGAGCGAGAGAGAGAGAGTGAGCGAGCGAGAGAGACTGAGCGAGGGAGCGAGAGAATGAGCGAGAGAGAGTGAGCGAGCGAGAGAATGAGCGAGGGAGCGAGCGAGAGAATGAGCGACAGAGAGAGCGAGAGAATGAGCGAGCGAGAGAGACTGAGCGAAGGAGCGAGAGAATGAGCGAGCGAGAGTGAGCGAGAGAATGAGCGAGGGAGCGAGCGAGAGAGAATGAGCGAGCGAGAGAGAGAGAGAATGAGCGACAGAGAGAGCGAGAGAATGAGCGCGAGAGAGAATGAGCGAGCGAGCGAGGGAGCGAGAGGGAGAATGAGCGAGCGAGAGTGAGCGAGCGAGAGAATGAGCGAGGGAGTGAGCGAGAGAGAAAGCGAGAGAATGAGCGAGCGATAGAGAATGAGCGACAGAGAGAGCGAGAGAGAATGAGTGAGGGAGCGAGAGAATGAGCGAGCGAGAAAGAATGAGCGAGAGAGAGAGCGAGAGAATGAGCGAGCGACAGAGAATGAGCGAGCGAGAGAGAGTGAGCGACAGAGAATGAGCGAGAGAATGAGTGAGTGAGCGAGCGAGAGAGAGAGCGAGAGAATGAGCGGGTGAGAGAGAGCGATAGAATGAGCGAGCGACAGAGAATGAGCGAGAGAGAATGAGCGAGCGAGAGAGAGAGTGAGCGACAGAGATTGAGCGAGAGAATGAGTGAGTGAGCGAGCGAGAGAGAGAGCGAGAGAATGAGCGAGCGAGAGAATGAGCGAGCGATCGAGCGATCGATTGAGCGAGCAAACCTGCACGAGCTGCGAGATCTCCTGGAAGACGTCGCTCTGCGAGCAGCCCGACTGGAACACCTTGTCGAACGAGAACTCGTAGCGGAGTGGCTTCGACTCCCCTCGCCCCGTGTGCGACTGGGGGACACGCGTGGCGGCGCTAGCGGTCAAACGCGGCGCGGCGGCGGCGACGCTGCTCCGGTCGCGGGCGTCGCGTAAACAAGTTGCTGTCCCCCCTACCCTGTTGCAGACTAATGCAGGCCTCATTGGTCACCCCGTGCCCTTTGAAAATCTCGACGTTCATCCTATACACTACACTATACACTACACTACTACACACCTGTCAACCCACTATCAGTGTCCCCCTACCTTGTTTTAGACCAATTCAGACCTTAATGGTCACCCTGTGCCCCTTGTAAATCTCGACGTTCATCCTATACACTACACCATACACTACACTACTACACACCTGTCAACCCATTATCAGTGTCCCCCCTACCCTGTTGCAGACTAATTCAGGCCTCATTGGTTACCCCGTGCCCCTTGTAAATCTCGACGTTCATCCTATACACTACACTATACACTCCACACAACACTATACACTACACTACTACATACCTGTCAACCCATTATCAGTGTCACCCCTACCCTGTTGCAGACTAATTCAGGCCTCATTGGTCACCCCGTGCCCCTTGTAAATCTCGACGTTCATCCTATACACTACACTATACACTCCACACAACACCATACACTACACTATACACTACACTACTACATACCTGTCAACCCATTATCAGTGTCCCCCCTACCCTGTTGCAGACCAATTCAGACCTTAATGGTCACCCTGTGCCCCTTGTAAATCTCGACGTTCATCCTATACACTACACTATACACTCCACACTACACCATACACTACACTACACACTACACTACTACACATCTGTCAACCCATTATCAGTGTCCCCCCTACCTTGTTGCAGACCAATTCAGATCTTAATGGTCACCCCGTGCCCCTTATAAATCTCAAAGTTCATCCTATACACTACACTATACACTCCACACAACACTATACACTACACTATACACTACACTACTACATACCTGTCAACCCATTATCAGTGTCACCCCTACCCTGTTGCAGACCAATTCAGACCTTAATGGTCACCCCGTGCCCCTTATAAATCTCAAAGTTCATCCTATACACTACACTATACACTCCACACAACACTATACACTACACTATACACTACACTACTACATACCTGTCAACCCATTATCAGTGTCCCCCCTACCCTGTTGCAGACTAATTCAGGCCTCATTGGTCACCCCGTGCCCCTTATAATCTTGACGTTCATCCTATACACTACACTATACACTCCACACTACATCATACACTACACTACTACATACCTGTCAACCCATTATCAGTGTCCCCCCTACCCTGTTGCAGACTAATGCAGGCCTCATTGGTCACCCCGTGCCCCTTATAATCTCAACGTTCATCCTATACGCGACACTATACACTCCACTATACACTACACTACTACATACCTGTCAACCCATTATCAGTGTCCCCCCTACCCTGTTGCAGACTAATGCAGGCCTCATTGGTCACCCCGTGTCCCTTGTAATCTCGACGTTCATCCTATACACTACACTATGCACTCCACACAACACCATACACTACACTACTACATACCTGTCAACCCATTATCAGTGTCCCCCTACCTTGTTGCAGACCAATTCAGACCTTAATGGTCACCCTGTGCCCCTTGTAAATCTCGACGTTCATCCTATACACTACACTATACACTCCACACTACACTACACTACTACATACCTGTCAACCCATTATCAGTGTCCCCCTACCTTGTTGCAGACAAATGTAGGCCTCATTGGTCACCCCGTGCCCCTTATAATCTCGACGTTCATCCTAGAGACAATTATTGTTTTCTGTGCCCGTATTGAAACGGCTGTACGCCATATGGACCCAAAGACTCAATATCCCCAGTACAAGAATACAGTAAACAGTATGGGTTGACACGGTATGCACTACCCAGTGTCTCACTACCTAGTGTCTATGTACCAGTGTCTCACTACCCAGTGTCCCACAACCCAGTTTCTCACTACTTAGTGTCTCACTACCCAGTGTCTCAACTACCCAGTGTCTCACTACCGAGTGTCTCACTACCCAGTGTCTCACTACCCAGTGTCTCACTACCCAGTGTCTCACTACCCAGTGTCTCGCTACCCAGTGTCTCACTACCAGTGTCTCACTACCCAGTGTCTCACTACCAGTGTCTCACCACCCAGTGTCTCACTACCCAGTGTCTCACCATCCAGTGTCTCACTACCCAGTGTCTCACCACCCAGTGTCTCACTACCCAGTGTCACACTACCCAGTGTCTCACTACCCAGTGTCTCATTACCCAGTGTCTCAATACCCAGTGTCTCACTACCAGTGTCTCACTACCCAGTGTCTCACTACCCAGTGTCACACTACCCAGTGTCTCACTACCCAGTGTCTCATTACCCAGTGTCTCACCACCCAGTGTCTCACTACCAGTGTCTCGCTACCCAGTGTCTCACTACCAGTGTCTCACTACCCAGTGTCTCACTACCCAGTGTCTCACCACCCAGTGTCTCACTACCCAGTGTCACACTACCCAGTGTCTCACTACCCAGTGTCTCACTACCAGTGTCTTGCTACCCAGTGTCTCACTACCAGTGTCTCACCACCCAGTGTCTCACTACCCAGTGTCTCACCACCCAGTGTCTCACCATCCAGTGTCTCACTACCCAGTGTCTCACTACCAGTGTCACACTACCCAGTGTCCCACTATCCAGAGTCTCACTACCAGTGTCTCGCTACGCAGTGTCTCGCTACCCAGTGTCTCACTACCCAGTGTCTCACTACCCAGTGTCTCACCACCAGTGTCTCACTACCCAGTGTCTCACTACCCAGTGTCTCACCACCCAGTGTCTCACTACCCAGTGTCTCACTACCAGTGTCTCGCTACCCAGTGTCTCGCTACCCAGTGTCTCACTACCCAGTGTCCCACTACCAGTGTCTCTATACCAGTGTCTATGTACCAGTGTCTCACTACCCAGTGTCTCACTACCCAGTGTCTCACCACCCAGTGTCTCACCACCCAGTGTCTCACTACCCAGTGTCTCACCATCCAGTGTCTCACTACCCAGTGTCTCACTACCTAGTGTCTATGTACCAGTGTCTCACTACCCAGTGTCTCACCACCCAGTGTCTCAACTACCCAGCGTGTTAAGGCTACTCGCTAACAGCACTTGCCCCGAACAGTCTGTTCAGGCTGATTGCTTCCAGCACTTGCCCCAAACAGTCTGTTAAGGCTACAGGGTGGGGATCTTTGCGACGAGGTGCGGGCTTGCGGGTTACCTCCTCCTGCTTGACGAGGGCAATGCCGGAGTCGTCCATGCTGGGGAAGCAGATGTGGCCCGCAGACTTGGACACCTCGTCGCCGAGGAGGGGACGCACGCGGCAAAACACCCGGATGTTGCCCTGCGCATCGCAGACGTGGGGGGCGGGAGGCAAGGCAGGGACACCTCTACTTAAAAACGTTTCACTTACGGACTGTCAGAGGCACGAACAAGGCCCGTCACCGTACGTCCAGTTGCCCGTTCGGACCGAGAGTCGTAAGGTCAACCGCCCTGCGCAATAGATGGTGGCGGCGGCATCTACATCTGCAGAACGTGAAGAACCAGTGGCATCTACATCTGCAGAACCTGAATATCCAGTGGCATCTACATCTGCAGAACGTGAAGAACCAGTGGCATCTACACCTGCAGAACGTGAAGAATCGGTGGCATCTACATCTGCAGAACGTGAATATCCAGTGGCATCTACACCTGCAGAACGTGAAGAACCAGTGGCATCTACATCTGCAGAACGTGAAGAACCAGTGGCATCTACATCTGCAGAACGTGAAGAAGCAGTGGCATCTACATCTGCAGAACGTGAAGAAGCAGTGGCATCTACATCTGCAGAACGTGAAGAACCAGTGGCATCTACATCTGCAGAACGTGAATATCCAGTGGCATCTACATCTGCAGAACGTGAATATCCAGTGGCATTTACACCTGCAGAACGTGAAGAACCAGTGGCATCTACATCTGCAGAACGTGAAGAACCAGTGGCATCTACACCTGCAGAACGTGAAGAACCAGTGGCATCTACATCTGCAGAACGTGAAGAACCAGTGGCATCTACATCTGCAGAACGTGAATATCCAGTGGCATCTACATCTGCAGAACGTGAAGAACCAGTGGCATCTACACCTGCAGAACGTGAAGAACCAGTGACATCTCCATCTGCAGAACGTGAAGAACCAGTGGCATCTACATCTGCAGAACGTGAATATCCAGTGGCATCTACATCTGCAGAACGTGAAGAACCAGTGGCATCTACATCTGCAGAACGTGAATATCCAGTGGCATCTACATCTGCAGAACGTGAAGAACCAGTGGCATCTACATCTGCAGAACGTGAAGAACCAGTGGCATCTACATCTGCAGAACGTGAATATCCAGTGGCATCTACATCTGCAGAACGTGAAGAACCAGTGGCATCTACACCTGCAGAACGTGAAGAACCAGTGACATCTACATCTGCAGAACGTGAAGAACCAGTGGCATCTACATCTGCAGAACGTGAATATCCAGTGGCATCTACATCTGCAGAACGTGAAGAACCAGTGGCATCTAACATCTGCAGAACGTGAATATCCAGTGGCATCTACATCTGCAGAACGTGAAGAACCAGTGGCATCTACACCTGCAGAACGTCAAGAATCAGTGGCATCTACATCTGCAGAACGTGAAGAACCAGTGGCGTCTACATCTACAGAACATGAATATCCAGTGGCATCTACATTTGCAGAACGTGAAGAACCAGTGGCATCTACACCTGCAGAACGTGAAGAACCAGTGGCATCTACATCTGCAGAACGTGAAGAACCAGTGGCATCTAACATCTGCAGAACGTGAAGAACCAGTGGCATCTACATCTGCAGAAGGTGAATATCCAGTGGCATCTACATCTGCAGAACGTGAATATCCAGTGGCATCTACACCTGCAGAACGTGAAGAAGCAGTGGCATCTAACATCTACAGAACGTGAATAACAAGTGTCATCTACACCTGCAGAACGTGAATATCCAGTGGCATCTACACCTGCAGAACGTGAAGAAGCAGTGGCATCTAACATCTACAGAACGTGAAGAACCAGTGGCATCTACATCTGCAGAACGTGAAGAACCAGTGGCATCTACATCTGCAGAACGTGAAGAACCAGTGGCATCTACACCTGCACAACGTGAAGAACCAGTGGCATCTACAGAACGTGAAGAACCAGTGGCAACTACATCTACAGAACATGAAGAACCAGTGGCATCTACATCTGCAGACCGTGAAGAACCAGTGGCATTTACATCTGCAGAAAGTGAAGAACCAGTGGCATCTACATCTACAGAACACGAACCAGTGGCATCTGCAGAACGTGAAGAACCAGTGGCATCTACATTTGCAGGACTGGGTTCACAATGGCCATGTTAGAGACACTGACCCAGCACCACTAAGACCCTGGGTTCAAGCCCTGGGTCTGGGTGTCTCTCTAAGAAGGGGGGTTTCACAATGGCCGTGTTAGAGACACTGACCCAGCACCACTAAGACCCTGGGTTCAAGCCCTGGGTCTGGGTGTCTCTCTAAGAAGGGGGGTTTCACAATGGCCGTGTTAGAGACACGGTGGCTATGAAATGCTAACGACCTCGCCTGGCGTACAGCACGTCGGTGGCAGTCATCGAATCTTGATTTTAAAGCTTTCGTGACTGCAGTAATTCATATTCTCAGTTCTTTCGGTAAAGTCACGGTTTTTTATTGCAGTCAAAATGCAAATAAAGTACCTGCCATGATAATATATGCGTTATATTCTTGGTTCTTTCGGTAAAGTCACGTAGAAGGGAAACAATAAAATAATAAAAAATATAATACAATAAAATGTTAAATTTTATTTTTTATTGTTTTATATTTTTATTATTTTATTGTTTCCCTTCAACGTGACTTTACCGAAAGAACTAAGAATAGTCATCGAATCGCCGCGAGTTCCATCGCGTGCGCCCATCCCCCCCCCCCCCCCCTTTAGCTCTTCAACCCCGGCAAACGCCGGCAAGCGCCGGTCCCCTCCGCCGGACCCCCGCCCGCCCCCCGCCGTCACCTTCAGCTCCTGCACGAGGTTGTGCAGGTAGCGCCGCTCCGTCTCGTACTTCTGCAGCGTCCGCGCCTGCTCGTCGAGGCTCGCACTCAGGGCCGCCACCTCCGCCGTCAGCGCCGCCTCGCGCTCGCCGGCCTCCCGCAGCGCCGATTCGCGCTCCCGCAGGCGGCACTGTCGGCGGCAGCGTCGGTGTGGCAGCGTTCGACAGCAGCATCGACGACACGAACAACAACAGCAGCAGCAGCGGCGGCAGCAGCGGCGGCAGCATCAACAACAACAACAGTCGCGGCCGCCTGTGCCAAGGCCAGGTACACTTTTTACGGTGTGGCAGCGTTCGACAGCAGCATCGACGACACGAACAGCAGCAGCAGCAGCAGCAGCAGCGGCGGCAGCATCAACAACAACAGTCGCGGCCGCCTGTGCCAAGGCCAGGTACACTTTTTACGGTGTGGCAGCGTTCGACAGCAGCATCGACGACACGAACAACAACAGCAGCAGCAGCAGCGTCCGCAGCAGCAGCAGCATCAACAACGGTAACAGAAACCTGCATCAACAGCAACAGCGTTTTCCATCGTAACATCAACAAACTCGACAACGGCAACACAAACAGCAAAAACAGCATCAACAACATCAGCAGCATCAACAACACTATAAATAGCAACGTCAACAAGAACAAAATCAACAGCAACAACAACAACAGTTGCGGCGCCTGTGCCAGGCCAGGTACACTTTTTACGGTGTAGCAGCATTCAACAGCAGCATCGACGACACGAACAACAGCAGCAGCAGCGGCGGCAGCATCAACAACGGTAACAGAAACCTGCATCAACAACAACAGCGTTTTCCATCGTAACATCAACAAACTCGACAACGGCAACACAAACAGCACCAACAAGATCAGCAGCAGCAACAACACTATAAATAGCACCGTCAACAAGAACAAAATCAACAGCATCAACAACAACTGCAACAACAGCAGCAGCATCAACGACATCAACAAAATCAACAGCATCAACAACAACAGCAGCAACAACAGCATCAACAACAACAGTCGCGGCCGCCTGTGCCAAGGCCAGGTACACTTTTTACGGTGTAGCAGCGTTCAACAGCAGCATCGACAACATGAACAACAGCAGCAGCAGCAGCACCAACAACACTATAAATAGCACCGTCAACAAGACCAAAATCAACAGCATCAACAACAGCAGCAGCAACAACAGCATCAACAACAACAGTCGCGGCCGCCTGTGCCAAGGCCAGGTACACTTTTTACGGTGTAGCAGCGTTCAACAGCAGCATCGACAACACGAACAACAACAGCAGCAGCGTCCGCAGCAGCGGCGGCAGCATCAACAACGGTAACAGAAACCTGCATCAACAGCAACAGCGTTTTCCATCATAACATCAGCAAACTCGACAACGGCAACACAAACAGCAAAAACAGCACCAACAAGATCAGCAGCACCAACAACACTATAAATAGCAACGTCAACAAGAACAAAATCAACAGCATCAACAACAACTGCAACAACAGCAGCAGCATCAACAACATCAACAAAATCAACAGCATCAACAACAACAGCAGCAACAACAGCATCAACAACAACAGTCGCGGCTGCCTGTGCCAAGGCCAGGTACACTTTTTACGGTGTAGCAGCGTTCAACAGCAGCATCGACAACATGAACAACAACAGCAGCAGCAGCAGCAGCATCAACAACACTATAAATAGCACCGTCAACAAGACCAAAATCAACAACATCAACAACAACAACAGCATCAACAACAACAGTCGCGGCCGCCTGTGCCAAGGGCCAGGTACACTTTTTACGGTGTAGCAGTGTTCAACAGCAGCATCGACAACACGAACAACAACAACAGCAGCAGCGTCCGCAGCAGCAGCAGCATCAACAACGGTAACAGAAACCTGCATCAACAGCAACAGCGTTTTCCATCGTAACATCAACAAACTCGACAACGGCAACACAAACAGCAAAAACAGCATCAACAACATCAGCAGCAGCATCGACAACACTATAAATAGCAACGTCAACAAGAACAAAATCAACAGCATCAACAACAACAGCAGCAGCATCGACAACACGAACAACAACAGCAGCAGCAGCAGCGGCGGCAGCATCAACAACGGTAACAGAAACCTGCATCAACAGCAACAACGTTTTCCATCATAACATCAACAAACTCGTCAACACAAACAGCAAAAACAGCATCAACAAGATCAGCAGCATCAACAAAACTATAAATAGCAACGTCAACAAGAACAAAATCAACAGCATCAACAACAACAGTCGCAGCGCCTGTGCCAGGCCAGGTAAACTTTTTACGGTGTAGCAGCATTCAACAGCAGCATCGACAACATGAACAGCAACAGCAGCAGCGTCCGCAGCAGCAGCATCAACAACGGTAACAGAAACCTGCATCAACAACGTTTTCCATCATAACATCAGCAAACTCGACAACGGCAACACAAACAGCAAAAACAGCACCAACAAGATCAGCAGCACCAACAACACTATAAATAGCACCGTCAACAAGAACAAAATCAACAGCATCAACAACAACAACAGCAGCAGCATCAACAAAATCAACAGCATCAACAACAACAGCAGCAACAGCAGCATCAACAACAACAGTCGCAGCGCCTGTGCCAAGACCAGGTACACTTTTTACGGTGTAGCAGCGTTCAACAGCAGCATCGACAACATGAACAACAGCAGCAGCAGCAGCAGCATCAACAACACTATAAATAGCACCGTCAACAAGACCAAAATCAACAGCATCAACAACAACAGCAACAGCAACATCAACAACAGTCGCGGCCGCCTGTGCCAAGGGGCCAGGTACACTTTTTACTTTGAGAAAAAAAATAATTTTTTATTTGTTTTTCATTGCAACGCCATGCCCCCCCAACGACAGCTCGCCGCCGCGGACGTTACCCGCGACCTCCCGCGCGCCCGGCGAGGGAGCCGACACCTCCCAGCCCACCACGCCGCTCCCACCTCGACTACGTCGATCTGCGTCGTCATGGCGAGGCGCAGCGCCGACGCCTCGGCCACGGAGCGCCGCAGCCCGGCGTTCTCGGCGTCGCGCGCCTCCAGGTCGCGCTCGGCGCGCTGCCGGGCCCGCGCCGCCGCCGACAGCTCCTCCGTGAGCTCCAGCACCTGGCGGCGGAGGGGCGCCAGCTCCGTCTCGGTCTTGCTGCGCACGCGCACACACGGACGGGGGAAGGGGGGGGGGGGCCGCTCACCGACGCGTCGCTCGCCCGAGCTCCGACTGTAGGCGCGACGCCTCGCCCACCGCTCACGGGCACGTCGCTCACCCGAGTTCCGACTGTAGGCGCGACACCTTGCCCACCGCTCGCCCGAGTTCCGACTGTAGGCGCGACACCTGCTCACCCGAGTTCCGACTGTAGGCGCTACACCTGCTCACCTGAGCTCCGACTGTAGGCGCGACACCTTGCCCACCGCTCACCTGAGCTCCGACTGTAGGCGCGACACCTTGCCCACCTGCTCACCTAAGCTCCGACTGTAGGCGCTACACCTCGCCCACCGCTCACCCGAGCTCCGACTGTAGGCGCTACACCTTGCTCACCGCTCACCTGAGCTCCGACTGTAGGCGCGACACCTTGCCCACCGCTAACCCGAGCTCCGACTGTAGGCGCTACACCTTGCCCACCGCTCACCTGAGCTCCGACTGTAGGCGCGACACCTTGCCCACCTGCTCACCTGAGCTCCGACTGTAGGCGCTACGCCTGCTCACCTGAGCTCCGACTGTAGGCGCTACACCTTGCCCACCGCTAACCCGAGCTCCGACTGTAGGCGCGACACCTTGCCCACCGCTCACCTGAGCTCCGACTGTAGGCGCTACACCTCGCCCACCGCTCACCCGAGCTCCGACTGTAGGCGCTACACCTCGCCCACCGCTCACCTGAGCTCCGACTGTAGGCGCTACACCTTGCCCACCGCTCACCCGAGCTCCGACTGTAGGCGCGACACCTTGCTCACCGCTCACCTGAGCTCCGACTGTAGGCGCTACACCTTGCCCACCGCTCACCCGAGCTCCGACTGTAGGCGTCACACCTTGCCCACCGCTAACCCGAGCTCCGACTGTAGGCACTACACCTCGCCCACCGCTCACCTGAGCTCCGACTGTAGGCACTACACCTTGCTCACCGCTCGCCCGAGCTCCGACTGTAGGCGCTACACCTTGCTCACCGCTCACCCGAGCTCCGACTGTAGGCGCTACACCTCGCCCACCGCTCACGCGAGCTCCGACTGTAGGCGCTACACCTTGCCCACCGCTAACCCGAGCTCCGACTGTAGGCGCTACACCTTGCCCACCGCTAACCCGAGCTCCGACTGTAGGCGCTACACCTTGCCCACCGCTCACCTGAGCTCCGACTGTAGGCGCGACACCTTGCCCACCGCTAACCCGAGCTCCGACTGTAGGCGCTACACCTTGCCCACCGCTCACCTGAGCTCCGACTGTAGGCGCTACGCCTGCTCACCTGAGCTCCGACTGTAGGCGCGACACCTGCTCACTGCTCACGGACGTCTCACGCTCCCGCAGGACGCGCACCCCCTCCAGATCGCCCACCATCTGCTCCAGCATCTTGATGCGCGCCTGGTCCTGGCTCCAGTTGGCCTCCATCAAGCCCAGGCGGCCCTTGATGTCCCACGCCGGCAGCTTCCGGGCCGTGCCGCTCGCTGCCGGGGGAAAAAAAATGAGAGGAAAGGGGAAAAGAAAGGGATGAAGAAAAAGGAGGAAAAATGAAGAAAGAAAAAAAAAAGAACAGGGGAAAAAAAAGAAGGAAAAAGAAAGAAAGAAAAGAAGGAAAAAGAAAGAGAAAAATAAAGAAAAAAAGGAAAGAAAAAAAAAAAAAAAAGAAGAAAAAAAAAGAAAAGAAAAAGAAAAAGAAAAAAAAGAAAAAAAAAAAAAAGAAAAAAAAAAAAAAAAAGAAAAAAAAAAAAAAAAAGAAAAGAAAGAAAAAAAAAAGAAAAAAAAAAAAGAAAAAAAGAAAAAAAAGAAAAAGAAGAAAAAAAAAGAAAAAAAGAAAAAGAAAAAAAAGAAAAAAGAAAAAAAAAAAGAGAAAGAAAAAAAGAAAAAAAAGAAAAAAAAGAAAAGAAGAAAAAAAAAAAGAAAAAAAAGAAAAAAGAAAAAGAAAAAAAAGAAAAAAAGAAAAAGAAAGAAAAAAAAAAAAAGAAAAAGAAAAAGAAAAAAGAAAAAAAAAAAGAAAAAAAAAAAGAAAGAAAAAAAGAAAAAAAAAAAAGAAAGAAAAAAGAAAAAAAAAGAAAGAAAAGAAAAAGAAAAAAAAGAAAAAAGAGAAAAAGAAAAAAAAGAAAAAAAGAAGAAAAGAAAAAGAAAAAAAGAAAAAAGAAAAGGAAAAAAAAGAAAGAAAAAAGAGAAAGAAAAGAGAAAGAACAAGAGAAAGAAAGAAAAAAGAGAAAGAAAGAGAAAAAAGAAAGAAAAAAAGAAAGAAAAAAAGAGTACAATAAAGGAAAGAAAAAAAGAAAGAAAAGAAAAAAGAATAAAATAAAGGAAAGAAAAAAAGAAAGAAACAGAGAAAGAAAGAAAAAAGAAAGAAAAAGAGAAAGAAAAAAAGAGAAAGAAAGAAAAAAAGAGAAAGAAAGAATAAAAGGAAAGAAAAAGAAAAGATAGAAAATTTTGGAAAAAGAAAGAATAAAAAAGAAAGAAAAAGAGAAAGAAAGAAAAAAGAGAAAGAAAAAAGAAAAAAAGAAAGAAAAAAGAAAGACCGAACGGCGCGTGTTGGGGGAGTTGGAACGGCCGCAACACGTTAAATTACTACGGCAAAAAAATGTTGACCTCGTTGATTTGCGTCAAAAAATCTCAGGCGCCAGGGTTGATCCGCGAATCGGATGAAGCCTCCGCGCAGGTCACATTCGCGCGGGTCTCCTGTTCCCGAGGCGAACTTTGCTGCCGACGCATTCCCGCGCGACAAAGCCACTCTTGTTGAGCTCGCGTTTTGTGGCCAGGTTTCAAAATTATGGATGGTTTCAAATTAAGCAATCATTGGAAAGATGTTCTAAATCGAACCGAAACATTAAACACTAATTTTCAATGGTACGGTATATTCATCTTCTTTGGTTCTTTCGGTAAAGTCACCGCGTAGAATGAGAATAAAATAATAAGTTGATAAAATAAAATAACACAATTAAATTCCCACGACGTTTCGGCCACAACACAGGCGGCCTTCATCAGGTGAAGGGACGAGACTGTCTGGAGGACAGCGCTTCACCCGATGAAGGCCGCTTGTGTTGTGGTCGAAACGTCGTGATTTTTTGTTGTTTTCTTTTTTACCCACGTGACTTTACCGAACGGAAGCAAAGAGTGTGGATCCTTGCAGTCACGAAAGCTTCAAATCTAGAACTGGTTACTTGAGTTAACAGCTCGGTGGGCCTCACCTGGCGAGATTATTTTTTATTTTATTTTTTAAAACACGTCACTTTTATTTGCGTATATTTTTTTAAAAGTGATTTTGTGTCATCTCCCCCTTATACTTTGCACGATCGCGGTTTTGCATTGTTTGTTCGTTGTTGTTGTTACGCTCTGACCCCACGGCCGCTACCGGACATGTGTGTAAAACAGGGGCGGAGCCGGGATTTTGACTTTGGGGGGGAAGGGGGGGGAGATAACTTCAATATTAGATATCCAGTGTGTTGTGTTTTTCCAATGGGCACCACAAATTTATAAAACGAATTTTATTGGATTTGAACGCGGAGTTTATTAATAGGTCGGGGCCGCTGACGTGGCCGATAAGTTCAGAAGGCTGCCGCTCAAGCAGCCTGCAGGGCAGCAGCACAAGGTAGCAGCCTGCAGGGCAGCACACAAGGTGGCAGCCTGCAGGGCAGCACACAAGGTGGCAGCCTGCAGGGCAGCACAAGGTGGCAGCCTGCAGGGCAGCACACAAGGTGACAGCCTGCAGGGCAGCACACGAGGTAGCAGCCTGCAGGGCAGCACACAAGGTGGCAGCCGCCAGCATTTTGCAGCAGCCGGATATCCGGTTATCCCGATTACCGATTTACCCAACATTTCAGGGGGGCTGAGCCCCCCCCCAGCCTCCCCCTATGGCTCCGCCCCTGTGTATAAAAGAGCTTCATAGCTCATCGGATTCCTCCAATAACATATACAAATTCTCATTCTTAAACGGAGTTCCCAAGTGTAGAGATTTGATGGTCTCAGCTCGGTCGCAAGCGACTCACACAGAGACCCATAGGCACACATTGAGACCCACAGACTCACATAGAGACTCACAGACTCGCATGCAGACTCACAGACTCGCACAGAGACCCATGGAATGACAGAGACCCACAGACTCACGTAGAGACCCAAAGACTCGCACAGAGACCCATACTCACATAGAGACCCAAAGACTCACATAGAGACCCATAGACTCACATAGAGACCCACAGACTCACACGTAGAGACCCACAGACTCACGTAGAGACCCACAGACTCACATAGAGACCCACAGACTCACGTAGAGACCCACAGACTCACGTAGACCCACAGACTCACATAGAGACCCACAGACTCACATAGAGACCCACAGACTCGCATAGACACCCATGGAATGACAGAGACCCACAGACTCACGTAGAGACCCACAGACTCACGTAGAGACCCACAGACGTACGTAGAGACCCAAAGACTAGCATTAGACCCATGGAATGACAGAGACCCATAGGCACACATTGAGACCCCAAAGACTCACGTAGAGACCCACAGACTCACATAGAGACCCACAGACTCGCATAGACACCCATGGAATGACAGAGACCCATAGGCACACATAGAGACCCATAGACTCACCACACAGAGACCCACAAACTCACATAGAGACCCACAGACTCACATAGAGACCCATAGACTCACATAGAGACCCATAGACTCACATAGAGACCCACAGACTCACATAGAGACCCAAAGACTCGCACAGAGACCCATAGACTCACATAGAGACCCATAGACTCACGTAGAGACCCAAAGACTCACGTAAAGACCCATAGACTCGCATAGAGACCCAAAGACTAGCATTGAGACCCATGGAATGACAGAGACCCACAGACTCACATAGAGACCCACAGACTCACATAGAGACCCACAGACTCACGTAGAGACCCACAGACTCACATAGACCCACAGACTCACATAGAGACCCACAGACTCACGTAGAGACCCACAGACTCACGTAGACCCACAGACTCACGTAGAGACCCACAGACTCACACATAGAGACCCACAGACTCACGTAGAGACCCAAAGACTAGCATTGAGACCCATGGAATGACAGAGACCCATAGGCACACATTGAGACCCCAAAGACTCACGTAGAGACCCACAGACTCACATAGAGACCCACAGACTCGCATAGACACCCATGGAATGACAGAGACCCATAGGCACACATTGAGACCCCAAAGACTCGCATAGGGACCCACAGACTCGCATGCAGACTCACAGACTCGCATCGAGACCCATAAACTCACGTAAAGACCCAAAGACTAGCATTGAGACCGAAAAGACTCACACAGAGACCAACAGACTCGCATAGAGACCCATTAAATGACAGAGACCCATAGGCTCACACAGAGACCCGGAGACTCACATAGAGACCCACAGGCTTACATTGACCGAGTTAGACTCACACAGACTGAGCTGATGGTCCCAAGGCCGGTGGCCAATCGTAACATCGCGGAAACTATACTGGCAACGGCCATAATCACCCGCTCACGCAAAATGAAATCGGATCTTGAGAAGGTTTACATCGTGGCAGTCCCAGCGATGGCCCACGAAGGCCCGGGACCGGTTCAGATAATCGTCACCAGTGTTGGCCGTGAGCGGGAATCGAACTCGGGTCGCCGGGTTCCTAGCGCAGCGTAGCGCTAACCGCTGCACCACCGCACAACAAATACAAAGGTCTCCCGTGTAGCCTCAACAGACTGTTGCGAACAGCACCTATGAAGGCTGGCACGGCATACGAGGTGGTGGCTGGCCAGCACCACACTCACCTGTTGCTTTAGGTGCAGCAGAGGTCGCAGCAGACGAAGCCACCAGGGACTTCTTGTCTAGAGGAGGAATCGGCACAAACACAGCGCGGGCACGGATCACACACAGCTCAATTACAGCTCAATGACGACTCGTACACAGCTCAATCACGACTCATAAACAGCTCAATGACGACTCGTACACAGCTCAATCACGACTCGTACACAGCTCAATCACGACTCATACACAGCTCAATCACAACTCATACACAGCTCAATGACGACTCATACACAGCTCAATCACGACTCGTACACAGCTCAATCACGACTCATACACAGCTCAATCACGACTCGTACACAGCTCAATGACGACTCATACACAGCTCAATGACGACTCATACACAGTTCAATCACGACTCATACACAGCTCAATGACGACTCGTACACAGCTCAATCACGACTCATACACAGCTCAATCACAACTCATACACAGCTCAATCACGACTCATACACAGCTCAATGACGACTCGTACACAGCTCAATCACGACTCATACACAGCTCAATCACGACTCATACACAGCTCAATGACGACCCATACACAGCTCAATCACGACTCATACACAGCTCAATGACGACTCCTACACAGCTCAATGACGACTCCTACACAGCTCAATGACGACTCATACACAGCTCAATGACGACTCGTACACAGCTGAATGACGACTCATACACAGCTCAATCACGACTCGTACACAGCTCAATGACGACTCGTACACAGCTGAATGACGACTCATACACAGCTCAATCACGACTCGTACACAGCTCAATGACGACTCGTACACAGCTCAATCACGACTCGTACACAGCTCAATCACGACTCATACACAGCTCAATGACGACTCATACACAGCTCAAACACGACTCATACACAGCTCAATGACGACTCCTACACAGCTCAATCACGACTCGTACACAGCTCAATCACGACTCGTACACAGCTCAATGACGACTCGTACACAGCTCAATGACGACTCATACACAGCTCAATCACGACTCATACACAGCTCAATGACGACTCATACACAGCTCAATGACATCTCAATGCCATCTCAATCACAGCTCACGCAACTCATACACAGCTCAATGATATCTCAATGACAGCTCAATGACAGCTCACGCAACTCATACACAGCTCAATGACAGCTCAATCACAGCTCACGCAACTCATACACAGCTCAATGACATCTCAATCACAGCTCACGTAACTCATACACAGCTCAATGACATCTCAATCACAGCTCACGTAACTCATGCACAGCTCAATCACAGCTCACGCAACTCATACACAGCTCAATGACATCTCAATCACAGCTCACGTAACTCATACACAGCTCAATGACATCTCAATCACAGCTCACGTAACTCATACACAGCTCAATCACAGCTCACGCAACTCATACACAGCTCAATGACATCTCAATCACAGCTCACGCAACTCATACACAGCTCAATCACAGCTCACGCACTCATACACAGCTCAATGACATCTCAATCACAGCTCACGCAACTCATACACAGCTCAATCACAGCTCACGCAACTCATACACAGCTCAATGACATCTCAATCACAGCTCACGCAACTCATACACAGCTCAATCACAGCTCACGCAACTCATACACAGCTCAATGGCATCTCAATCACAGCTCACGCAACTCATACACAGCTCAATGACATCTCAATCACAGCTCACGCAACTCATACACAGCTCAATCACAGCTCACGCAACTCATACACAGCTCAATGGCATCTCAATCACAGCTCATGTAACTCATACACAGCTCAATGACATCTCAATCACAGCTCACGTAACTCATACACAGCTCAATCACAGCTCACGCAACTCATACACAGCTCAATGACATCTCAATCACAGCTCACGCAACTCATACACAGCTCAATGACATCTCAATCACAGCTCACGCAACTCATACACAGCTCAATCACAGCTCACGCAACTCATACACAGCTCAATGGCATCTCAATCACAGCTCACGCAACTCATACACAGCTCAATGACATCTCAATCACAGCTCACGCAACTCATACACAGCTCAATCACAGCTCACGCAACTCATACACAGCTCAATGGCATCTCAATCACAGCTCACGCAACTCATACACAGCTCAATGACATCTCAATCACAGCTCATGTAACTCATACACAGCTCAATGACATCTCAATCACAGCTCACGCAACTCATACACAGCTCAATCACAGCTCACGCAACTCATACACAGCTCAATGACATCTCAATCACAGCTCACGCAACTCATACACAGCTCAATCACAGCTCACAACTCATACACAGCTCAATGACATCTCAATCACAGCTCATGTAACTCATACACAGCTCAATGACATCTCAATCACAGCTCACGTAACTCATACACAGCTCAATCACAGCTCACGCAACTCATACACAGCTCAATGACATCTCAATCACAGCTCATGTAACTCATACACAACTCAATCACAGCTCACAACTCATACACAGCTCAATGACATCTCAATCACAGCTCACAACTCATACACAGCTCAATGACATCTCAATGACAGCTCAAGCACAGCTCAAGCGTTCTCATTTTCGAGTGCTGCGCATCCTCGATCATCCTCCCACGGACAGCCGTAGAGTCGGATGCCGAAACCAAATCGTTTCACGACGGCGGCTGCCCCTTTGTGCCGAGCGCCGTCAACGTACCGCGGGCGACCGCGGCGGAAGGGACGCTGGCGGGCGGCCGAGCGTGCGAGGCCCGGGACAGCTGGCCCGCCAAGTGCCTCGGTTGGACGGCGGCCTTGGCGTGCTGGGGCGCCGACGTGTGGCGGGCTGCAGAGAGAGAAACGGCCGCCCCCACCACCGCCGTCGCCACTGACGCCACCACTACCGCCACGCCACTAACACTACTACCACCACTAGCATCACTAGGAACACCACCACACCGCTAACACCACCACCACCACCAAAGAGACCCACACACACACTCGCTCACAAAGAGGCCCCAATAGACTCGCACCGAAAAACACACGCACACTCACACACACAGAGACCCTCGCACATGCAACAACAACTGCCACTCGTCACTAAGTGGCAGTGATGTCACCACGGCGTTTGTGCCAGGCTATGTGCAGGTTAAGTATTGAACGCCCGCTGGCAGGAGGTCACGGGGCAGACCCAGGTGCCATGGGTTGACTGAGATGACTGGCCGATGCACCACTGTGCCCCCTTACTGTGCCAACTTGTAGATGCACACAGCGACCCACACGCTCACACACAGACGCCCAAAGACTCACACAGAGAACCACACACACACACTCAGAGACCCCCATAGACTCAGAGACCTAGACACTAACACACACAGACACGCTCGCACACAGACCCCCATAAACTCACACACAGAGACCCACACACACTAATACACAGACCCCCATAAACTCACACACAGAGACCCACACACACTAATACACAGATCCCCATAGACTCACACATAGAGACCCACAAACACTCACACAGACCCCCATAGACTCACACAGAGCCCCACACATACACTCACACACTCACACTGAGACCCACACACACACACAGAGACCCATACACAGACCCACACGCACTCACACGCACGTCACACAGAGGCCCACACACCCCCACACACACTCACACGTGATGGCCGAGAAGACCTTGGCGGGCCGCGTGGCCGCGCTGGGCCTGTACAGCGACAACGTGGAGAGCGAGCGTTGCTGCTGACCCTTGCCTACCCCGTCCGCGTGCAACATGCCGTCCAGACGCTGCCTCTTGCCGACCTGGCGCACGGCACAGGGCCAGCGGACAGGGGGTGTGGGGGGGGATGTGGGGGGGGGGGGTGAGACACAAGCAAGGCAGCTCGCACCGCACGACCTCCCGTGGCAGTGGGCACTACCTGGTAAGGTATTAAAAACACAGTTTAGTTTTAGCTGCGTACATTTGTTTTAAGGGATTCATTTGCCTTTCCCATATTTCACACTACTATCATGTTTTTGTTGTTCTAACGTTCTGACCCTGTGCCCACCCCCCCCCCCCTCCATGATAAGAATGTAGTTTCATTTGTGTGTATATAGTTTTTCAAAGCGATTAGTTTACCTTTCCCATACTTTGCACTCCTATTGTGTTTTTGCAATTGTTGTTGTAAAGCTCTGACCGCGTGCCCCCCCCACCCCCCCCCCCCCGACTAAACACCTGTGACAAAGAGCTTTATAGCTCACAGGATTCCTCCTGTTGCAATAAGTCAACATTCCGATTCTGAACATCGTAAATTATTTAACGCATCGCACGTCCTCCCGCAGTGGTCTTGATGCCGGTAAAAAAAAAAAAAATAACAGCGTAGTTTTATTTGTATGCTTATTTTTGTTAAAGCGATGTGTTCACCGTTTCAATACTATACACGACGGTCGTGTTTTTTTGTGTGTCTGTTGTGTCGCGGATCGTTCAATCGAGGCTCGGCCGATCCGGCACCCGGCGCAAGGTTGACCGGGCAAGCAGCCTCCTGCGAATGTCGACGCGCTGCCAAGCGATGTTCGGACGGAGGCAGCCGCGTGGCGCGCCGGACCCCTCCTTCGTTTGAACGGCTATCGTTACGGCCCCGGCATTCCAAGTCCGCTTTCAAGGTCGTACCGCGGCCATTTCGGCGATGGGCGAAACGAGCGTCGCGTTCGTAGGGGGCGGGGGGGGGGAGGCGGAGCGGGGAGTGAGGCAGGCGAGCGACAACTCACGGATTCCCCGTCCACCTCTGGGGGGCGCTTGGCCAACTTGCGCACGGGCAGGCGAGAGGTGGGGCCGCACGCCGGCACGTCCTCCGCTGACGTCTCCCCGTCGGCGCACCCCTGCGGGAGGCACGCCGGCGCTGGCCGTTGACGCGGGACAACGCACGCTGACCGGCCCGACCGACCGACCGACCGACCGACCGACCGACCCACGCGCAAAACTCCGGTCGTCATCCTCGGAGTAGCAGCAGCGGCGGCGGCGGCTATTGGCTAACCGGTCGAAACACAGACGGCGGTCGCCGCATCCGCGCGCTTCTGCGTCCGTCTGGAACGCTCTTCCCCTTGCCGATGTCGCGGAAGCCGCTGGGAGCTACGCTGCACTTTGAAATCATCATCTCGATTGACCAACTCATTTCTTCAGAACTGCTCGCTGTTGTGTCTGGTTTGTGGTCTTTCCCCCCCCCCCCCCGCACCTCCGCTTAGCGCGGTCAAATACATCCGGTGCGAAAGAAGTTCAATGTCCGTACACTACAGTACTATACACTACACGATATACTACACTATACACTACACCACTGTACACTACACCATTGCAAACTCATGTCTCTAGGTTTACTTGCTGTTGCGTCTCCCTTGTCGCCCTTCCGATTGGCGCGGTCTGCAACGTACGGCGCGAAAGAAGTTCAACGCACGCATGCACGCGTACGCACGCATGCACGCGTACACACGCATGCACGCGTACACACGCATGCACGCGTACGCACGCATGCACACGTACACGTGCACACGTACACGTGCACACGTACATGTACGCACACATGCACACGTACGCACGCACACGTACGCACGCATCACGAGGGCTCCCCCAGCAACGCGCGAGGCAGCGTTGCCCCCGACGCTCTCTCACGTCTCTCTCCCTCTGCCAAGCCGACGAGCGCAGTCAAACCACCGGGTCGGCCGGGTCAACTTACGCGGATGTTTATCGACGACATCGCGACTCGAGGTCCGGGGAGAAGGGACGACGGGGGCGAGACGGTGGTGGAGCCCGCGTGGTCAAACCCGCACCTCCGATTGGCACGGTCGGGCTGCGGGCGTTGCGGAAGAAGTTCGACATACGTGCGAAGCGCGTGAGAAACAAGAAGACACGGCCTGTAAAACAAAGGGGCGCCGCGGTGGCTAGGAGATGTTAACCACCTCGGCCTGATACGCAGGAGGCCGTGGGTTCGGTCACGGCCTTGACGCCTGCTGGAATTTTGGAGTTTGCATTTCCTCTCTCCCCCGTGGCGAAACATTAGCTACCTCGCCTGGTGCGCAGGAGGTCGTGCGTTCGATCACGACCCTGACGCCTGCTTATATTTGTAGTTTGCATGCCCTCTCTCCCCGTGGTGAGACGTTAGCTACCTCGCCTGGTACGCGGGTCGTGCGTTCGATCACGACCCTGACGCCTGCTGTATATTTGGAGTTCGGTGTCCTCTCTCCCCGTGGAAGAGAGGACATGCTCTTTTTCAGAATCGACCTGGCTATCACAATTGATAGCTCAAGGAAGTGGCTTATCATCACGTGGAAATGTATAGCAGCCAAATACTCTAAACGCGCGGAGTTGATTCTAAATGGGGAGGGAAAAACTGGAGGATCCGGAGAAAAATCCACGCGACCACGGGGAGCGAGAAAGGGACGAGCAAACTCCAAATATACAGCAGGCGTCGGGGTCGGGATCAAACCAACGTCCTCCCGTGTGGCGAGGTAGTTAACATTTCCTAGCCACTGAGAGAGAGATACGCAAACTCCAAATATACAGCAGCAGGCATTGTCAGGGTCGGGACTTGAACCCACGACCTCCTGCAGACCAGGTGAGGCGGTTAACATCTCCTAGCCACCGTGATGATGATGATGAGAGAGATGCAAACTGCAACTATACAGCAGCAGGCATCATCAGGGTCGGGATCGAACCCACGACCTCCTGCACACAAAGCGAGGTGGTTAACATCTCATAGCCACCACGGTTGCCCCAACTTCAAGAGACCAGGATATGGTCTCATTGGCAAGAGTGAGTCAGTGAATGAGTGAATGAAGCCGATTTCGCTTAAGCCTCGAGACTCAGATGACAAGAGTCCCATTGGCACGAGTGAAGCAACATTGGGGGGGTTCACCAAAAATGAAAAAAAATATTTCTTAAAAAATGTACAGTGCTGTACCGAAGCCAAGAAGACGGAAATATTAAATCACAGCCAAAGACAATGGTGACACCACGTCACCACTGGCAGCATTCAGCGATAAAACTTGGCAAGCACTCCACAAGGGGGGCCAAAGTTGTCCGCTGTCAATAACGCATAGTGTCAATCTTGATTTGAAGCTTTCGTGACTGCGGGAATCCATACTCTTTGGTTCTTTCGGTAAAGTCATCACGTGGGTAGAAAATTAATAGATCGACGTTTCGGTCGCAACACAAGCGACCGTCATCAGGCGAAACAAACACAGCAGGAGGAGCTGCTGACGTAGGAGAAAGAGCTTGTTGCAACACAAGCAATCGTCATCAGGTGGGACAACCACAGCAAGAAAAAACTGCCGATTGTACCACCTGATGACGATTGCTTGTGTTGCGATGGAAAAGTCGTGATCTATAAATTTTCTCTCTACGTGAGAAAGAGCTTGTTGCGGCGGCAGCAGCTGTTTCTCCGACGTCAGCAGTTCTCCTGCTGCATTTGTTTCACCTGATCACGGTTCAATATTGATTTGAAGCTTTCGAGACTGCAGGAATCCACTCTTTGGTACTTTCGGTAAAGTCATCACGTAGGTAGAAAAATAATAGATCCCGACGTTTCGATCGCAACACAAGCAACCGTCATCAGGCGAAACAAACACAGCAGGAGGAGCTGCTGACGTAGGAGAAAGAGCTTGTTGCAACGCAAGCAGTCGTCATCAGGTGGGACAACCACAGCAAGAAAAAAAACTGCCCATTGTCCCACCTGATGACGATTGCTTGTGTTGCGATGGAAAAGTCGTGATCTATAAATTTTCTCTCTACGTGAGAAAGAGCTTGTTGCGGCGGCAGCAGAAGCAGCAGCTGTTTCTCCGACGTCAGCAGTTCTCCCGCTGCGTTTGTTTCGCCTGATCACGGTTCAATATTGATTTGAAGCTTTCGTGACTGCAAGGAATCCACGCACTTTCGGTTCTTTGGGTAAAGTCATCACGTAAGTAGAAAAATAATAGATCCCGACGTTTCGATCGCAACTCAAGCGACCGTCGTCAGGCGAAACAAACACAGCAGGAGGAGCTGCTGACGTAGGAGAAAGAGCTTGTTGCAACACAAGCAGTCGTCATCAGGTGGGACAACCACAGCAAGAAAAAACCTGATGACGATTGCTTGTGTTGCGATCGAAACGTCGGGATCTATTAATTTTCTACCTACGTGATGACTTTACCCAAAGAACCAAAGAGTAATGTCGAGTCTGTTTAACACGTAGGCTCTCGCGACCAACATCCGGAGTCCCATTGGCACGAGTGAAACGAGTAGGAATGACAATTGGCACATTCTGTTTACGTGGCACTAACCCTCACTTGTTGGCTGTGTTGGGTGGTGACGGATAAAAGAGCTCTGTAGCTCTTCGGATTCCTCCAGTTTAAACAAAAGTATTTATATTCTGATTCAGGCGTCAATAACACGGTGGGCCTGAAAAGAGGCAATGTTCTATAACAGGTGACGTTTCGGGCACCGGCCCTTCAACAGCGCAGAGAGATGAGAGTGGAAACGAGTTGAAGACTTGCACTCGTTTTACACCGCGTGGGGCCTCATGAGAATGCCACTGTACATATATAAACAGGCGACGTTTTGGGCAACGGCCCTTCAATAGCACAGAGATATAAGAGTGGAAACGAGTATGAATGACATTGGAACAACATACAAGTCCCACAGAGCTGTGTAGTGCTTTTTCAGAGGCGACCTGCATATCACAAATGACAGCTCAACTTAGTGGCCTGATCATCGTCATAAACATCACCACGTGGAAGTTTATATCTAAATATGGAATAAAAAAAACGGAGGACCTGGAGAAAAATCCAAGCGACCACGGGGGGAGAGAGAAACACCCAAACTCCAAATATGCAGCAGCAGCAGCAGGCGTCGTCAGGGTCGGGATCGAACCTACGACCTCCTGTATAACAGGCGAGGTAGTTAACATCTCCTAGCCACCGTGATGATGATGAGAGAGAGAGACGCAGACTCCAAATATACAGCAGCAGCAGGCGTCGTCAGGGTCGGGATCAAACCCACGACCTCCTGTAGACCAGGCGAGGTAGTCAACATCTCATAGCCACCGTGATGATGAGAGAGAGACGCAGACTCCAAATATACAGCAGCAGCAGGCGTCGTCAGGGTCGGGATCAAACCCACGATCTCCTGCATACCAGGCGAGGTAGTTAACATCTCCAATCCACCGTGATGATGATGATGATGAGAGAGACGCAGACTCCAAATATACAGCAGCAGCAGGCGTCGTCAGGGTCGGGATCAAACCCACGACCTCCTATAGACCAGGCGAGGTAGTTAACATCTCCAATCCACCGTGATGATGATGATGAGAGAGACGCAGACTCCAAATATACAGCAGCAGCAGGCATCGTCAGGGTAGGGATCGAACCCACGACCTCCTGTATACCAGGCGAGGTAGTCAACATCTCATAGCCACCGTGATGATGATGAGAGAGAGAGACACGCAGACTCCAAATATACAGCAGCAGCAGGCATCGTCAGGGTCGGGATAGAACCCACGACCTCCTGTATACCAGGAGAGGTAGTCAACATCTCCTAGCCACATGCAAACTCCAAATATACAGCAGCAGCAGACATTATCAGGGTCGGGATCAAACCCACGACCTCCTGCGTACCAGGCGAGGTAGTTAACATCTCCTAGCCACAGAGATCCGGACAAGGTTCCCAATCATCATCGGGCAGGCGAGGCCGGCCACGCCTGTGGTGGTGTTGGTTGTGGGTGGTGGTTGTTGTGGGTGGTGGTTGTGGGTGGTGGTGGTGGCGACGGGGAGCGGTGGCGCAGCGGTTAGCACGCTCCGAGATACCCAAGTTCGATTGCCAACACCACCCACAACCAACACCAACCACAACCACCACCACAACCAACACCACCCACCACAACTACCCACCACAACCAACCACCACAACCAACACCATCCACCACAACCAACACCATCCACCACAACCACCACCACCCACCACAACAACCACCCACCACAACAACCACCCACCACAACCAACACCACCCACCACAACCAACACCACCCACCACAACCACCACAACAACCACCACCACTACAACCACCCACCACCGCCTAGGGTCGACTCAGCCTTAAACCGAGTTACGCGGTGCGGGGTGTGCGATTCAAACATCGCCACCGGGAGAGACAAAGGCGGCCGGGGACCGTGGTTGCTTTTTTCCCCGGCCACACCACCACACGCCTCGTGTGCCAGCCACGGTGCCCGCCGCCTTAATAGGCGCTCGCTAACTAACAGCACTTGCCCGTCTCGACTCCCCGCTCGCTTCACGTCCAACAAAAACCCAACGCGGATGACGAAAATTTATCTGAACCGGGCCTCCCCCTAGGTCGCCTCAGCCTTAAACAGAGTTACCCGGTGGCCGTGTGTGTATGTGTGTGTATGTCCGAGTTAAACATCGCAGCTGATGAGGGAGACAAAGGCGGCCCCGGGGTTTGGCCTTCAATGAATCCCCGTCAAACACACAGTTACACGTTGACTGTCAATTGCGTTAATGTTACGAGAGACACGCACACACACACAACGCGTTTAAATAAACAAACACGTTTCGCGATTATCTATATTTAACAACAAACAACAAAAAAATGTGAACGTAACAATAAAAGCGACTAACTCACCTTAAAGATTTGTTTGATTTTTAATTTAAAAAAATAATAATAACTTTGATTAAAAGTCGCCTCGTCTCGACCTCCGCGGTGCCACTCGGCGCGCGACCGTTAAAAACCGCCACAAAGGGCGGGAGGGTTTGAAAATTCAAAGGCGGCCCCCGATTGGCCGAGCGCGGCCGCGGCCCATCCAATTAAAAGCCCCGCGCTCGCTGTCGCGGCCAATCGGATGCGCCGCTTTGTGCCGCGGTCGCCGGGCCACGCACACCCCTCCCTCTCTCAACACGCCCCCCTTACACTCAACACGCCCCCCCATCGACACGCCCCCCTCTCCATCAACACGCCCCCCCATCAACACGCCCCCCTCTCCGTCAACACGCCCCCATCAACACGCCCCCCGTACACTCAACACGCCCCCCCCATCAACACGCCCCCCTCTCCGTCAACACGCCCCCCATCAACACGCCCCCCTTACACTCAACACGCCCCCCCATCAACACGCCCCCCTCTCCGTCAACACGCCCCCATCAACACGCCCCCCGTACACTCAACACGCCCCCCATCAACACGCCCCCCTCTCCGTCAACACGCCCCCCATCAACACGCCCCCTTACACTCAACACGCCCCCCCATCAACACGCCCCCCTCTCCGTCAACACGCGCCCCCCCTCAACACGCCCCCTCTCCGTCAACACGCACCCCCCCTCAACACCCCCCCCCCTCAATGCGCCCCCCTCTCAACACGCCCCCCTCCAACACACCCCCCCCATAGATTTGAAGCTTTCGTGACTGCAAGGATGCATTACTCTTTGGTTTTATTCGATAAAGTCACGTAGGTAAAATATACACCCCCCCTCTTTCAACACGCCCCCCCCCATCAACTCGCCCCCCCCCCTCAACACGCCCCTCTCCCTCAACACCCCCTCCCTCAACACGCCCCCCTCTCCCGCAACAACGCCCCCCCCCATCAACTCGCCCCCCCCTCAACACGCCCCCCCCTCCCTCAACACGCCCCCCTCTCCGTCAACACGCCCCCATCAACACGCCCCCCGTACACTCAACACCCCCCCCCCCATCAACACGCCCCCTTACACTCAACACGCCCCCCCATCAACACGCCCCCCTCTCCGTCAACACGCGCCCCCCCCTCAACACGCCCCCCCTCCAACACACCCCCCCCCCCCATAGATTTGAAGCTTTCGTGACTGCAAGGATGCATTACTCTTGGTTTTATTCGATAAAGTCACGTAGGTAAAATATACACCCCCCCCCTCTTTCAACACGCCCCCCCCCCATCAACTCGCCCCCCCCCCTCAACACGCCCCTCTCCCTCAACACTCCCTCCCTCAACACGCCCCCTCCCTCAACACGCCCCCCTCTGCCTCAACACGCCCCCCCTCCCTCAACACGCCCCCTCCCTCAACACGCCCCCCCTCCCTCAACACGCCCCCTCTCCCTCAACACGCCCCCCTCTGCCTCAACACGCCCCCCCCTCCCTCAACACGCCCCCTCCCTCAACACGCCCCCTCTCCCTCAACACGCCCCCTCTCCCTCAACACGCCCCCCCTCCCTCAACACGCCCCCCCCCCGCAACACGCCCCCCTCCCCCTCAACACGCCCCCCCCCCCTCAACACGCCCCCCCCCTCAACACGCCCCCCCCTCAACACGCCCCCCTCTCCCTCAACACGCCCCCTCTCCCTCAACACGCCCCCCCCCCGCAACACGCCCCCCCTCAACACGCACCCCCCTCAACACGCCCCCCCCTCAACACGCCCCCCCCCTCAACACGCCGCCTTCTCCCTCAAGACGCCCCCTCTCCCTCAACACGCCCCCCCTCCCTCAACACGCCCCCTCCCTCAAGACGCCCCTCTCCCTCAACACGCCCCCCCCTCCCTCAACACGCCCCCTCCCTCAACACGCCCCCCCTCCCTCAACACGCCCCCCTCTCCCTCAACACGCCCCCTCTCCCTCAACACGCCCCCCCCCTCAACACGCCCCCCCCCTCAACACGCCCCCCCCCTCAACACGCCGCCTTCTCCCTCAAGACGCCCCCCTTTCCCTCAACATGCCCCCCCTCCCTCAACACGCCCCCCCCTCAACACCCCCTCCCTCAACACGCCCCCCTCTCCCTCAACACGCCCCCCCTCCCTCAACACGCCCCCTTCAACACCCCCTCCCTCAACACGCCCCCCTCTCCCTCAACACGCCCCCCCTCCCTCAACACGCCCACCTCTCCCTCAACACGCCCCCTCTCCCTCAACACGCCCCCCCTCCCTCAACACGCCCCCCCGTATCACGCCCCCCTCCCCCTGCCCCCCCTGATCAGTGCCCTCTACCTGATTACAGAACAACTCAGACCTGAATGGTCACCCCGTGCCCCTTATAAATCTCAACGTTCGTCCTACAAAGTCCCATCGCAAGGGAGAAACAGACAAACACAGAATATAGAACAAAAAGCTTATTTTTAAAAAATAACCTCAGATTTGTGTACATGCTCGCAAACGGCCCTTGCTCAAACCGTCTGTTTAAAGGCCGCACGCGCTGGGACCGTGTATATATTCTTAGCTCTTTCGGTAAAGTCACGTTGAAGGGAAACAATAAAATAATACAATATATAAAACAATAAAAATTCTCACGACGTTTCGACCATAACACAAACGGTCATCATCAGGTATGTCCGTTTGCAAACCGACACACCTTGACCAAGGCCCTAGCCATGGAGTTTGCAAACCGACACACCTGATGACGACCGTTTGTGTTATGGTCGAAACGTCGTGAGAATTTTTGTATTGTTTTATATATTTTTTATTATTTTATTGTTTCCCTTCAACGTGACTTTACCGAAAGAGCTAAGAATATGAATTACTGCAGTCACGAAAGCTTTAAATCAAAATTTGACCGTATTTATGTCTCAAACTTTGATACAGGCAGAAAGGTGTATCCCATGATAAAGCTGCTCTCCCCCAAGCTCTAAATGCACTGCTACGTGTGGCATTGCCCCTGTACTGTTCGCCTTTAGGGGCCGTGCATAAATGACGTCACGCGAGTTTGGACAATTTTTGAGCCCCCCCCCCCCCTAGTCACACGACGTCACAAAAAGTCAGACCCCCCCCCTCAAAAATGACGTCACAAAGCTCTGCCCCCCCTCGCCCCCCCCCCCAAAATATATAAAACATGCTTCAAATCGCTTTAAACTATTGTCATTGTAGTAGTGCGTATTTAATGTGGCGCTGCGCTCTGATGTTGTAGGAGAAAACATTTATTAAAGAAGTCAATGTAATTAAGTAGAACGTGTTGTCTATATTTATTTATAAAGTTGCGCATTTTGATGTGACGTCACATTTCTCAAACCCCCTCCCCCCCCCCTCGTCACACATCGTCACAAATGTCTGACCCCTTAGGTGCGTGACGTCATTCATGCACGTTCCCCTTTAGGCGTTGTTCTCTGCTCTTGACACCGGGAGGTGAGACGAGGCCAGAGGGAAGCCTATCGCTGCCGCTGCCCTCTGTTTTGGACCAATCAGTTTCAAAGTCAATGGCCAAGTAACATTATTATTATCATCATCAGAGCCATGTTTGTAATGTTCACCACAAGTCCTGTGTGTGTGTGTGTGGTTCATGCAGTCCACGATTCCTCGCAAGAGGCATCCACTTGGTGTTAGACCGCCGTCTTAACCAAGGCCCTAGCCATGGAGTCAACATTGGGGGGAGGACCAAATCTATTAGGCCCCCCCCCCCCAGAAAAAAATCTAAATTTGAAAACGAATTTCCTGCCTAAAATATAATTTTAAAAATTCACTAACACGTGGGATGGACTTATAAATTTGTTTTACAATAATGTCTAACAGTGTTATTGTATTACATTGCTGTGTTTTTTTGTTAACCCCTATTTATTCATCTCGATTTGAAGCTTTCGTGACCGCAGGAATCCACGCTCTTTGATTCTTTCGATAAAGCCATCACGTGGGTAGAAAAATAAAATTTAAAAACAAAAAAATAATAAAATAAATCACGTGACGTTTCGAGGGCAACACAACGAGCGATCGTCCTCAGGAGGAAAGAAAAATAATAATCCAGCGGTGGAATTGCCGAACCTATTTCTTAATTTTCATACTTTGATACAGGCAGAAAGGTGTCTCCCATGACATAGCTGCCTCGCCCCGAGCTCTGAATGCTCTGGGCTACGTGTGGCATTGCCCTTGTCCTGCTCGTCTTAAGGCGTTGTTCTCTGCTCTGACACCGGTGGTGAAACGTGGCCAGAGAGAAGCCTGCGGCTGCTGCTATTGTTGTGGACCAATCAGTTTCAAAGTCAATGGCCAAGTAACATTATTATTATCATCAGAGCCATGTTTGTAATGTTCACCACAATTCCTGTGTGTGTGTGTGGTTCATGCAGTCCACGATTCCTCGCAAGAGGCATCCACTTGGCATTAGGCCGTCGTCTGAACGCCTATATTCTTGGTTCTGTCGGTAAAGTCACGTTAATAGAAGATTTTTTTTAAACGAAATAAAATTACAATTAGAGAGAATACAAATAAAGTCAAAAATAATCAATTGAAAATAAAATGAAAGCAAAAAAAACCCACAATGAAAATTGTAAAATAAAATAAACATTTTTTTTACAAATTAAAATAAATTGAAAATAAAAATAATAATAATATCAAAACCCTATTTCTTGTTTTCCTAACTTCTTATTTCCCCACACGGGACCTTTTGTCTTTGGAACTTCCCTGAAACCGCGGAGTCCGTGGGTCGCCTGCACCCACAGCTGCTTCCAGAGCCCCCTTCGTCCGATCCTGCGTGGTCGTGTGCGTGTGTGCGTCTGTATGCGTGTGTTCGTATGTGTGCGTGTGTATGTGTGTGTGTGCGTATGTGTGTGCGTGTGTATGTGTGTGTGCTTTGTGTGTGTGTGTGATTTGGTAATAGCTGCACATTCAGAGGAGGAGTTGGAGATGCTGCTGCTGAGACTGGAACGTGCCACTAAGAGGTGGGGCCTTACCATCAGCCCCACCAAAACTAAGCACCTGCCTGGGTATTTTGTACCATGGGACACTCCACCCCCACAACTCCCAATTGGTGATGGGGCAGTTGTGGAGAGAGTGGAGAGTTTCCCATACCTGGGCAGTGTGCTTATGACTGGCTCCAGTTTAACAGCAGAGGTCTCACTCCGAATCAGTCGAGCGGCAATATATTTTCATCGGTTGCGTAACGCTGTGTGGAAGCTACCTGGTCTGTCGCTCCGCACTAAGCTTCAGGTCTTCTCGGCCACGGTCATTCCCTCCCTTCTCTACGCTTGCGAAACGTGGACCCCCCTAATGGAACATCTTCGCCGGTTAGCAACATTTAGGCTGGCCTGCCTACGATCCATCCTGGGTTTAACCAGACTGGATTGTGTGAGGAGCTCACAAATCCTTGAAAGATCTGGGCAAGGTCCCATCGGTGAGCTCCTCCGGCGGGGAAGGCTGCGTTGGCTGGGTCATGTAGCCCGCATGCCCAGCCAGCCCATGCCGAAACAGCTTTTGTTCGGCCGGATTGAGGGGGCAAAGCGGGCGCGGCACGGGCTAGAGAAGAGATGGAGTGATGTGGTACAGGAGGACGTGGAGCTGAGTGGACTTGCCGATGACTGGTACCAGCGGTGTCAAGATCGGCCTCTGTGGAGGAGGCTCGTGAAGGACGCTACTGGGCAGTTGGAGGCAGTCGTCCTCCAACAACAACGGAGGGCGGAGGAGCGACGCTCACAACAACGAGCGGAGCGCCGGGTGGCTAAAGCACAGCAGGTTGCCACAGTAGGGGGCACAGGTGGTGCATCAGCCACTCATTTCAGTCAGTCGACCCGTGGCACCTGGGTCTGCCCCGTGACCTCCTGCCAGCGGGCATTCGACACTTCACGTGGCCTCAGGGTGCACATAGCCTGGCACAAGCGTCGTGGTGACGTCACCCCCACTTAGTGGCGAATGGCGGTTGTTGTTGTTGTATGTGTGTGCGTGTGTGTATGTTTGTGTGTGTATGTGTGTGTATGTGCGGTAGGGCGTGGTCCTGGCCACCCACCACCCTCGTGTACCGTTCCGGCCTTCATAGGTGCTCGCTAACAGCACTTGCCCCTACAGTCTGTTAAGGCTATACGGGGGATATTTGTCTTTTGTGTGTGTGCGCGTGTGTGCGTGCGCGTGTGTGCGTGTGCGCGCGTGCGTGTGCGCGCGTGCGTGTGTGCGCGTGCGTGTGTGCGCGTGTGTGTGTGTGCGATGCTGGTGGAAGCTGTGACACTTTCACTTCCACTTTTCACTTCCACTTCCCATTTCCTCTCCCTTTGCCGATTGCGCCATCGAGGAGGCGTGGGGTGGGGGGGTGTGGGGGGGGGGGGGGTGTGGGGAGGTGTGAGGAGGCGTGGGGTGGGGGGTTGTGGGGAGGTGTGGGGTGGGGGGGTGTGGGGAGGCGTGGGGTGGGGGGGGTGTGGGGGGCGTGGGGAGGCGTGGGGTGGGGGGGGGTGAGGAGGTGTGGGGTGGGGGGGGTGTGGGGAGGCGTGGGGTGAGGAGGTGTGAAGTGGGGGGGTGTGGGGTAGGGGGGTGTGGGGGGCGTGGGTAGGCGTGGGGGGGGTGGAAAGGTGTGGTGTGTGGTGTGCGTATGGTGTGTGGGTGTGTGTGTGGGTGTGTGTGTGGGTGTGTGGGTATGGTGTATAGTGTGTGGTGTGTGTGTGGGTGTGTGTGTGGGTGTGTGTGTGGTGTTGGTATGGTGTGTGGGTATGGTGCGCGTGTGGGTGTGTGTGTGGTGTGTGTGTGGTGTGTGTGTGGTGTGTGTGTGGTGTGTGGGTATGGTGTATGGTGTGTGGTGTGTGTGTGTGGTGTGGGTATGGTGTGTGTGTGGTGTGGGTATGGTGTGTGTGTGGTGTGTGGGTATGGTGTGTGGTGTGTGTGTGTGTGGTGTGGGTATGGTGTGTGGGTATGGTGTGGGTATAGTGTGTGTGTGGTGTGGGTATGGTGTGTGTGTGTGGTGTGGGTATGGTGTGTGTGTGTGGTGTGGGTATGGTGTGTGTGTGGTGTGGGTATGGTGTGTGTGTGTGTTGTGTGGGTATGGTGTGTGTGTGTGTGGTGGTGTGTGTCTGTGCCTTTGTGGTGCTGGCTAACCGCACTTGCCCTAACAGTCTGTGTATATTATACGGGGGGATCTTTAGCTTTGTATGTGTGAGTAGCTGGTGCGTTGTGTAGTAAACATCGCCACTGGGGAGACAAAGGCGGTCGGGCGTGGTGCTGGCCACCCACCCCCTCGTGTTCCTGGCCACCCACCCCCTCGTGTTCCGTTCCGGCCTTCACAGGTGCTACTCGTTAACAGCACTTTCCCCTGCAGTCTGTTAAGGCTACACGGGGGATCTTTGTGTGTGTGTGTGGGGAGCGGTGGCGCTGCGGTTAGCGCTACGCTGAGCTATGAACCCGGCCACCCGGGTTCGATTTCCGCTCACGGCCAACACCGGTGACGATTATCTGAACCGGTCTTTGCATTCGTGTGTGGAAGCGACTCTGCAAGGACGTGGTTAAGCAGGTGAGTGAATGGGTGAGCGAGTGAATGGGCGAGCGAATGGATGAGTGGGTGAGCGAGTGGATGAGTGGGTGAGCGAGTGGGTGAGCGAATGGATGAGTGGGTGAGCGAGTGTGTGAGCGAATGGATGAGTGGGTGAACGAGTGGGTGAGCGAATGGATGAGTGGGTGAGCGAATGGATGAGTGGGTGAGCGAGTGGATAAGTGGGTGTGCGAGTGGGCGAGCGAGTGGATGAGTGGTTGAGCGGGTGAGTGGGTGAGTGAATGGATTCAGGGTGAGCGAGTGGGTGAGCGAATGGATAAGTGGGTGAGCGAGTGGATGAGTGGGTGAGCGAGTGGGTGAGCGAATGGATGAGTGGGTGAGCGAGTGTGTGAGCGAATGGATGAGTGGGTGAACGAGTGGGTGAGCGAATGGATGAGTTGGTGAGCGAGTGGATAAGTGGGTGTGCGAGTGGGCGAGCGAGTGGATGAGTGGTTGAGTGGGTGAGTGAATGGATTCAGGGTGAGCGAGTGGGTGAGCGAATGGATGAGTGAGCGAGTAGGTGAGCGAGTAGGTGAGCGAGCGAGTGGGTGAGTGAATGGATGAGTCGGTGAGCGAGTGAGTGAATGGGTGAGTGAATGGATGAGTGTGTATGTGTGTATATGTGTGTGCACATGGCCTGGCACAAGCATCGTGGTGACGTCACCGCCACTTAGTGGCGAATGGCGGTTGTTGTTATATGTGTGTATATGTGAGATCTGGGCACGGTCCCATCGGTGAGCTCCTCCGGCAGGCAAGGCTGCGTTGGCTGGGTCATGTAGCCCGCATGCCCAGCCACCGCATGCCGAAACAGCTTTTGTTCGGCCGGATCGAGGGGGTTAAACGGGCGCGGCACGGGCTAGAGAAGAGATGGAGTGATGTGGTACAGGAGGACGTGGAGCTGAGTGGACTTGCCGATGACTGGTACCAGCGGTGTCAAGATCGGCCTCTGTGGAGGAGGCTCGTGAAGGATGCTACTGGGCAGTTGGAGGCAGTCGCCCTCCAACAACAACGGAGGGCGGAGGAGCGACGCTCACAACAACGAGCGGAGCGCCGGGTGGCTAAAGCACAGCAGGTTGGCACAGTAGGGGGCACAGGTGGTGCATCAGCCAGTCATCTCAGTCAGTCGACCCGTGGCACCTGGGTCTGCCCCGTGACCTCCTGCCAGCGGGCGTTCGACACTTCACGTGGCCTCAAGGTGCACATAGCCTGGCACAAGCGTCGTGGTGACGTCACCGCCACTTGTGGCGAATGGCGGTTGTTGTTGTTGTGTATGAGTCTGTGTATGTGTGTGTATGAGTGTGTGAATGTGTGTATGTATGTGTGAATGTGTGTATGTGTGTGTATGAGTGTGTGAATGTGTGTATGTGTGTATGTATGTGTGAATGTGTGTATGTGTGTATGTATGTGTGAATGTGTGTATGTGTGTATGTGAATGTGTGTATGTGAATGTGTGTGTATGTGTGTATGTGAATGTGTGTATGTGTGTATGTGAATGAGTGTGTATGTGTGTATGTGAATGAGTGTGTATGTGAATGTGTGTATGTGTGTATGTGAATGTGTGTGTATGTGTGTATGTGAATGTGTGTGTATGTGTGTATGTGAATGTGTGTATGTGTGTATGTGAATGTGTGTATGTGTGTGTGTAAGCGGAACCAAGCTCAGCAAGGGAACTGACTTGCTTGCTCCATTGCCGAGGCAGCCATGAACCGACAAGGTAACTCTCTCCCCCTCTCTCTATCTCTCTCCCTATCTCCCTCTCTCTCCATCCCCCCTCTCTCTATCTCTCCATCTCCCCTCTCTCTCTCTATCTCTCTCTCTATATCTCTCTCCATCTCCCCCTCTCTATCTCTCTCCATCTCCCCCTCTCTCTATGTCTCTCTCTCTCTATATCTCTCTCAATCTCCCCCTCTCCATCTCCCCCTCTCTCTCTATCTCTCCATCTCTCTATCTCTCTCCATCTCCCCCTCTCTCTATGTCTCTCTCTCTCTATATCTCTCTCAATCTCCCCCTCTACATCTCCCCCTCTCTCTCTATCTCTCCATCTCTCTCCATCTCCCCCTCTCTCTATGTCTCTCTCTCTGTCTCTATCTCTCTCATTCTCCCCCTCTCCATCTCCCCCTCTCTCTATCTCTCTCTCCATCTCTCTATCTCTCTCCATCTCCCCCTATCTCTATGTCTCTCTCTCTGTCTCTATCTCTCTCTCCATCTCCCCCTTTCTCTATGTCTCTCTCTGTCTCTATCTCTCTCTCCATCTCCCCTCTTAATCTTCCCCTCTCCATCTCCCCCTCTATCTCTCTCTTCATCTCTCTATCTCTCTCCCTATCTCCCTCTCTCTCCATCTCCCCTCTCTCTCTGTCTCTCTCTGTCTCTCTATCTCTCTCCATCTCCCCTCTCTCTTTCTCTCTCTCCATCTCTATATCTATCTCCCTATCTCCCTCTCTCTCCATCTCCCCCTCTCTCCATCTCCCCCTCTCTCTCTCTAGATCTCTCTCTATCTCTCGGTTTATCTCGAGTGGGTGAGATGGTGAGTGAGATGGTGGGTGAGTGAGTGAGATGGTGAGTGAGTGATATGGTGGGTGAGTGAGATGGTGAGTGAGTGAGATGGTGGGTCAGTGAGTGAGATGGTGGGTGAGTGAGTGAGATGGTGAGGGAGTTAGATGGTGGGTGGGTGAGTGAGATGGTGGATGAGTGAGTGAGATGGTGAGTGAGTGAGTGAGATGGTGGGTGAGTGAGTGAGATGGTGAGTGAGTGATATGGTGGGTGAGTGAGTGAGATGGTGGGTGAGTGAGATGGTGGGTGAGTGAGATGGTGGGTGAGTGAGATGGTGGGTGAGTGAGTTAGATGGTGAGTGAGTGAGATGGTGGGTGAGTGAGTGAGATGGTGAGTGAGATGGTGAGTGAGTGAGATGGTGGGTGAGTGAGTGAGATGGTGGGTCAGTGAGTGAGATGGTGGGTGAGTGAGTGAGATGGTGAGTGAGTGAGTGAGATGGTGAGTGAGTGAGATGGTGGGTGAGTGAGTGAGATGGTGGGTGAGTGAGTTAGATGGTGAGTGAGTGAGATGGTGGGTGAGTGAGTGAGATGGTGAGTGAGTGAGTGAGATGGTGAGTGAGTGAGATGGTGGGTGAGTGAGTGAGATGGTGGGTCAGTGAGTGAGATGGTGGGTCAGTGAGTGAGATGGTGGGTGAGTGAGTGAGATGGTGAGTGAGTGAGTGAGATGGTGAGTGAGTGATATGGTGGGTGAGTGAGATGGTGAGTGAGTGAGATGGTGGGTCAGTGAGTGAGATGGTGGGTGAGTGAGTGAGATGGTGAGGGAGTTAGATGGTGGGTGGGTGAGTGAGATGGTGGATGAGTGAGTGAGATGGTGAGTGAGTGAGTGAGTGAGATGGTGGGTGAGTGAGTGAGATGGTGAGTGAGTGATATGGTGGATGAGTGAGATGGTGAGTGAGATGGTGAGTGAGATGGTGGGTGAGTGAGTGAGATGGTGGGTGAGTGAGATGGTGGGTGATTGAGTGAGATGGTGGGTGAGTGAGTTAGATGGTGAGTGAGTGAGATGGTGGGTGAGTGAGTGAGATGGTGAGTGAGATGGTGAGTGAGTGAGATGGTGGGTGAGTGAGTGAGATGGTGGGTCAGTGAGTGAGATGGTGGGTGAGTGAGTGAGATGGTGAGTGAGTGAGTGAGATGGTGAGTGAGCGAGATGTTGGGTGAGTGAGTGAGATGGTGGGTGAGTGAGTTAGATGGTGAGTGAGATGGTGGGTGAGTGAGTGAGATGGTGAGTGAGTGAGTGAGATGGTGAGTGAGTGAGATGGTGGGTGAGTGAGTGAGATGGTGGGTCAGTGAGTGAGATGGTGGGTCAGTGAGTGAGATGGTGGGTGAGTGAGTGAGATGGTGAGTGAGTGAGTGAGATGGTGGGTGAGTGAGATGGTGGGTGAGTGAGTGAGATGGTGGGTGAGTGAGATGGTGGGTGAGTGAGTTAGATGGTGAATGAGTGAGATGGTGGGTGAGTGAGTGAGATGGTGAGTGAGTGAGTGAGATGGTGGGTGAGCGAGTGAGATGGTGGGTCAGTGAGTGAGATGGTGGGTCAGTGAGTCAGATGGTGGGTGAGTGAGTGAGATGGTGGGTCAGTGAGTGAGATGGTGGGAGAGTGAGTGAGATGGTGGGTGAGTGAGTGAGATGGTGAGTGAGTGAGATGGTGGGTGAGTGAGTGAGATGGTGGGTGAGTGAGTGAGATGGTGGGTGAGTGAGTGAGATGGTGGGTGAGTGAGTGAGATGGTGAGTGAATGAGTGAGATGGTGGGTGTGTGGGTAATTGCTCGGGTGAGTGAGTGTGAGAGTTCAAGTCGATTTCGTCTAACAAGGTTAAAAAAAATCAAGACAGAGAGACCCAGGGCTGGTCTAGTTATATTCTAAAGCGTAACCTGGGGTGCCATCAGTCTGCTAGCAGTAGTGGGCGATTATTACCGATACATGTGTGTGTGATCCCCTCATTCATGTAGCCCGCACGCCCAGCCACCGCACGTCCATCCACCGCCTGCCCAGCCACCGCACGCCCAAGCAGCTTATGTTTAGCCGCATAGGAGGGGGTAGACGGGCACGTCACGGGCTAGAGAAGAGATGGAGTGATGTGGTACAGGAGAACGTGGAGCTGAGTGGACTTGCTGATGACCGGTAAAGCGGTGTCAAGATCGGCCTCTGTGGAGGAGGCTCGTGAAGGACGCGACTACTGGGCAGTTGGAGGCAGTCGCCCTCCAACAACAACGGAGGGCAGAGGAGCTACGCTCACAACAATGAGCGGAGCGCCGGGTGGCTAAAGCATAGCAAGTTGCCACAGTCGGGGGCACAGGTGGTGCATCAGCCAGTAATCTCGGTCATCTCAGTCAGTCGACCCGTGGCACCTGGGTCTGCCCCGTGACCTCCTGCCAGCGGGCGTTCGACACTTCACGTGGCCTGAACGTGCACCTAGCCTGGCACAGGCGTCGTGGTGGCGTCACCGCCACTTAGTGGCGAATGGCGGTTGTTTTTTTTTGTTGTGTGTTGGCCACCCACACCCCCTCGTGTGCCACAGTGCCGGCCTTCATAGGTGTGACCGCTAACAGCACTTGCCCCAGCATCCCGTTAATGCTACGCGGGGGATCTTTGTCTTTGTTGCCAGGTGGGAAGGCGTACGGGTTGCTCAAGGAGCAGCAGGAAGACAAACTGGAGGGCATCAACAAGGTGAAGACATCATGGCAGGCTCATGGTGGCCGTGTCGGAGACAGTGAGATTCACCCTGGGTTCGAGCCCTGGGTCCGGGTGTCTCTCTCAGAGGGGGTTTATTATGGCCGTGTCAGAGACACTGAGATCCTGGGTTCAAGCCTGGGTCTGGGTGTCTCTGTCAGGGGGTTCATAGTGGCCATGTCAGAGACACAGATCCTGGGTTCGAGCCCTGGGTCTGGGTGTCTCTGTCAGAGGGGGTTTATCATGGCCGTGTCAGAGACACTGAGATCCTGGGTTTAAGCCCTGGGTCTGGGTGTCTCTCTCAGAGGGGGGTTATCATGGCCGTGTCAGAGACACTGAGATTCTGGGTTCGAGCCCTGGGTCTGGGTGTCTCTGTCAGAGGGGGTTTATCATGGCCGTGTCAGAGACACTGAGATCCTGGGTTTAAGCCCTGGGTCTGGGTGTCTCTCTCAGAGGGGGTTTGTCATGGCCGTGTCAGAGACACTGAGATTCTGGGTTCGAGCCCTGGGTCTGGGTGTCTCTGTCAGAGGGGGTTTATCATGGCCGTGTCAGAGACACTGAGATCCTGGGTTCAAACCCTGTGTCCGGGTGTCTCTCAGAGGGGGTTTATCATGGCCGTGTCAGAGACACTGAGAACCTGGGTTTGAGCCCTGGGTCTGGGTGTCTCTCTCAGAGGGGGTTTATTATGGCCGTGTCAGAGACGCTGAGACCCTGGGTTTGAGCCATGGGTCGGGGTGTCTCTGTCAGAGGGGGTTCAAAATGGCTGTGTCAGAGACACTGAGAACCTGGGTTCGAGCCCTGGGTCTGGGTGTCTCTGTCAGAGGGGGTTTATCATGGCCGTGTCAAAGACACTGAGATCCTGGGTTCAAGCCCTGGGTCTGGGTGTCTCTGTCAGAGGGGGTTTATCATGGCCGTGTCAGAGACACTGAGAACCTGGGTTCAAGCCTGGATCTGGGTGTCTCTGTCAGAGGGTTTATCATGGCCGTGTCGGAGACACTGAGATCCTGGGTTCAAGCCCTGGGTCTGGGTGTCTCTGTCAGAGGGGGTTTATCATGGCCGTGTCAGAGACACTGAGAACCTGGGTTCAAGCCTGGGTCTGGGTGTCTCTCTTAGAGGGTTTATCATGGCCGTGTCAGAGACACTGAGATCCTGGGTTCAAGCCCTGGGTCTGGGTGTCTCTGTCAGAGGGGGTTTATCATGGCCATGTCAGAGACACTGAGATCCTGGGTTTAAGCCCTGGGTCTGGGTGTCTCTCTCAGAGGGGGTTTATCATGGCCGTGTCAGAGACACTGAGATTCTGGGTTCGAGCCCTGGGTCTGGGTGTCTCTGTCAGAGGGGGTTTATCATGGCCGTGTCAGAGACACTGAGATCCTGGGTTCGAGCCCTGGGTCTGGGTGTCTCTCTCAGAGGGTTTATCATGGCCATGTCAGAGACACTTAGAACCTGGGTTCAAGCCCTGGGTCTGGGTGTCTCTCTCAGAGGGGGTTCATAGTGGCCCTGTCAGAGACACTGACACCCTGGGTTCGAGCCCTGGGTCCGGGTGTCTCTCAGAGGGTTTATCATGGCCATGTCAGAGACACTTAGAACCTGGGTCCAAGCCCTGAGTCTGGGTGTCTCTTTCAGAGGGTTTATCATTGCCATGTCAGAGACACTTAGAACCTGGGTTCAAGCCCTGGGTCTGGGTGTCTCTGTCAGAGGGGGTTTATCATGGCCGTGTCAGAGACACTGAGATCCTGGGTTCAAACCCTGTGTCCGGGTGTCTCTCAGAGGGGGTTTATCATGGCCGTGTCAGAGACACTGAGAACCTGGGTTTGAGCCCTGGGTCTGGGTGTCTCTCTCAGAGGGGGTTTATTATGGCCGTGTCAGAGACGTTGAGACCCTGGGTTTGAGCCATGGGTCGGGGTGTCGCTGTCAGAGGGGGTTCAAAATGGCTGTGTCAGAGACACTGAGAACCTGGGTTCGAGCCCTGGGTCTGGGTGTCTCTGTCAGAGGGGGTTTATCATGGCCGTGTCAAAGACACTGAGATCCTGGGTTCAAGCCCTGGGTCTGGGTGTCTCTGTCAGAGGGGGTTTGTCATGGCCGTGTCAGAGACACTGAGAACCTGGGTTCAAGCCTGGATCTGGGTGTCTCTGTCAGAGGGTTTATCATGGCCGTGTCGGAGACACTGAGATCCTGGGTTCAAGCCCTGGGTGTCTCTGTCAGAGGGGGTTTATCATGGCCGTGTCAGAGACACTGAGAACCTGGGTTCAAGCCTGGGTCTGGGTGTCTCTCTTAGAGGGTTTATCATGGCCGTGTCAGAGACACTGAGATCCTGGGTTCAAGCCCTGGGTCTGGGTGTCTCTGTCAGAGGGGGTTTATCATGGCCGTGTCAGAGACACTGAGAACCTGGGTTCAAGCCTGGGTCTGGGTGTCTCTGTCAGAGGGGGTTCATAGTGGCCGTGTCAGAGACACTGAGATCCTGGGTTCGAGCCCTGGGTCTGGGTGTCTCTCTCAGAGGGTGTATCATGGCCATGTCAGAGACACTGAGATCCTGGGTTCGAGCCCTGGGTCTGGGTGTCTCTCTCAGAGGGCTTATCATGGCCATGTCAGAGACACTGAGATCCTGGGTTCGAGCCCTGGGTCTGGGTGTCTCTCTCAGAGGGGGTTCATAGTGGCTGTGTCAGAGACACTAGATCCTGGGTTCGAGCCCTGGGTCTGGGTGTCTCTCTCAGAAGGTTTATCATGGCCATGTCAGAGACACTGAGATCCTGGGTTCAAGCCTGGGTCTGGGTGTCTCTGTCAGGGGGTTCATAGTGGCCGTGTCAGAGACACTGAGATCCTGGGTTCGAGCCCTGGGTCTGGGTGTCTCTCTCAGAGGGGGTTCATAGTGGCCGTGTCAGAGACACTGAGATCCTGGGTTCAAGCCCTGGGTCTGGGTGTCTCTCTCAGAGGGGGTTCATAGTGGCCGTGTCAGAGACACTGAGATCCTGGGTTTGAGCCCTGGGTCTGGGTGTCTCTCTCAGAGGGTTTATTATGGCCATGTCAGAGACACTGAGATCCTGGGTTCAAGCCCTAGGTCTGGGTGTCTCTTTAAGAGGGTTTATCATGGCCATGTCAGAGACACTTAGAACCTGGGTTCAAGCCCTGGGTCTGGGTGTCTCTCTCAGAGGGGGTTCATAGTGGCCCTGTCAGAGACACTGACACCCTGGGTTCGAGCCCTGGGTCCGGGTGTCTCTCAGAGGGTTTATCATGGCCATGTCAGAGACACTTAGAACCTGGGTCCAAGCCCTGAGTCTGGGTGTCTCTTTCAGAGGGTTTATCATTGCCATGTCAGAGACACTTAGAACCTGGGTTCAAGCCCTGGGTCTGGGTGTCTCTGTCAGAGGGGGTTTATCATGGCCGTGTCAGAGACACTGAGATCCTGGGTTCAAACCCTGTTTCCGGGTGTCTCTCAGAGGGGGTTTATCATGGCCGTGTCAGAGACACTGAGAACCTGGGTTTGAGCCCTGGGTCTGGGTGTCTCTCTCAGAGGGGGTTTATTATGGCCGTGTCAGAGACGCTGATACCCTGGGTTTGAGCCATGGGTCGGGGTGTCTCTGTCAGAGGGGGTTCAAAATGGCTGTGTCAGAGACACTGAGAACCTGGGTTCGAGCCCTGGGTCTGGGTGTCTCTGTCAGAGGGGGTTTATCATGGCCGTGTCAAAGACACTGAGATCCTGGGTTCAAGCCCTGGGTCTGGGTGTCTCTGTCAGAGGGGGTTTATCATGGCCGTGTCAGAGACACTGAGAACCTGGGTTCAAGCCTGGATCTGGGTGTCTCTGTCAGAGGGTTTATCATGGCTGTGTCGGAGACACTGAGATCCTGGGTTCAAGCCCTGGGTCTGGGTGTCTCTGTCAGAGGGGGTTTATCATGGCCGTGTCAGAGACACTGAGAACCTGGGTTCAAGCCTGGGTCTGGGTGTCTCTCTTAGAGGGTTTATCATGGCCGTGTCAGAGACACTGAGATCCTGGGTTCAAGCCCTGGGTCTGGGTGTCTCTGTCAGAGGGGGTTTATCATGGCCGTGTCAAAGACACTGAGATCCTGGGTTCAAGCCCTGGGTCTGGGTGTCTCTGTCAGAGGGGGTTTATCATGGCCGTGTCAGAGACACTGAGAACCTGGGTTCAAGCCTGGATCTGGGTGTCTCTGTCAGAGGGTTTATCATGGCCGTGTCGGAGACACTGAGATCCTGGGTTCAAGCCCTGGGTCTGGGTGTCTCTGTCAGAGGGGGTTTATCATGGCCGTGTCAGAGACACTGAGAACCTGGGTTCAAGCCTGGGTCTGGGTGTCTCTGTCAGAGGGGGTTCATAGTGGCCGTGTCAGAGACACTGAGATCCTGGGTTCGAGCCCGGGGTCTGGGTGTCTCTCTCAGAGGGTGTATCATGGCCATGTCAGAGACACTGAGATCCTGGGTTCGAGCCCTGGGTCTGGGTGTCTCTCTCAGAGGGGGTTCATAGTGGCCGTGTCAGAGACACTGAGATCCTGGGTTTGAGCCCTGGGTCTGGGTGTCTCTTTCAGAGGGTTTATCATGGCCATGTCAGAGACACTTAGAACCTGGGTTCAAGCCCTGGGTCTGGGTGTCTCTCTCAGAGGGGGTTCATAGTGGCCGTGTCAGAGACACTGACACCCTGGGTTCGAGCCCTGGGTCCGGGTGTCTCTCAGAGGGTTTATTATGGCCATGTCAGAGACACTGAGATCCTGGGTTCAAGCCCTGGGTCTGGGTGTCTCTTTCAGAGGGTTTATCATGGCCATGTCAGAGACACTTAGAACCTGGGTTCAAGCCCTGGGTCTGGGTGTCTCTCTCAGAGGGGGTTCATAGTGGCCCTGTCAGAGACACTGACACCCTGGGTTCGAGCCCTGGGTCCGGGTGTCTCTCAGAGGGTTTATCATGGCCATGTCAGAGACACTTAGAACCTGGGTCCAAGCCCTGAGTCTGGGTGTCTCTTTCAGAGGGTTTATCATTGCCATGTCAGAGACACTTAGAACCTGGGTTCAAGCCCTGGGTCTGGGTGTCTCTGTCAGAGGGGGTTTATCATGGCCGTGTCAGAGACACTGAGATCCTGGGTTCAAACCCTGTGTCCGGGTGTCTCTCAGAGGGGGTTTATCATGGCCGTGTCAGAGACACTGAGAACCTGGGTTTGAGCCCTGGGTCTGGGTGTCTCTCTCAGAGGGGGTTTATTATGGCCGTGTCAGAGACGTTGAGACCCTGGGTTTGAGCCATGGGTCGGGGTGTCTCTGTCAGAGGGGGTTCAAAATGGCTGTGTCAGAGACACTGAGAACCTGGGTTCGAGCCCTGGGTCTGGGTGTCTCTGTCAGAGGGGGTTTATCATGGCCGTGTCAAAGACACTGAGATCCTGGGTTCAAGCCCTGGGTCTGGGTGTCTCTGTCAGAGGGGGTTTATCATGGCCGTGTCAGAGACACTGAGAACCTGGGTTCAAGCCTGGATCTGGGTGTCTCTGTCAGAGGGTTTATCATGGCCGTGTCGGAGACACTGAGATCCTGGGTTCAAGCCCTGGGTCTGGGTGTCTCTGTCAGAGGGGGTTTATCATGGCCGTGTCAGAGACACTGAGAACCTGGGTTCAAGCCTGGATCTGGGTGTCTCTGTCAGAGGGTTTATCATGGCCGTGTCGGAGACACTGAGATCCTGGGTTCAAGCCCTGGGTCTGGGTGTCTCTGTCAGAGGGGGTTTATCATGGCCATGTCAGAGACACTGAGAACCTGGGTTCAAGCCTGGGTCTGGGTGTCTCTGTCAGAGGGGGTTCATAGTGGCCGTGTCAGAGACACTGAGATCCTGGGTTCGAGCCCTGGGTCTGGGTGTCTCTCTCAGAGGGTGTATCATGGCCATGTCAGAGACACTGAGATCCTGGGTTCGAGCCCTGGGTCTGGGTGTCTCTCTCAGAGGGGGTTCATAGTGGCCGTGTCAGAGACACTGAGATCCTGGGTTTGAGCCCTGGGTCTGGGTGTCTCTTTCAGAGGGTTTATCATGGCCATGTCAGAGACACTTAGAACCTGGGTTCAAGCCCTGGGTCTGGGTGTCTCTCTCAGAGGGGGTTCATAGTGGCCGTGTCAGAGACACTGACACCCTGGGTTCGAGCCCTGGGTCCGGGTGTCTCTCAGAGGGTTTATTATGGCCATGTCAGAGACACTGAGATCCTGGGTTCAAGCCCTGGGTCTGGGTGTCTCTTTCAGAGGGTTTATCATGGCCATGTCAGAGACACTTAGAACCTGGGTTCAAGCCCTGGGTCTGGGTGTCTCTCTCAGAGGGGGTTCATAGTGGCCCTGTCAGAGACACTGACACCCTGGGTTCGAGCCCTGGGTCCGGGTGTCTCTCAGAGGGTTTATCATGGCCATGTCAGAGACACTTAGAACCTGGGTCCAAGCCCTGAGTCTGGGTGTCTCTTTCAGAGGGTTTATCATTGCCATGTCAGAGACACTTAGAACCTGGGTTCAAGCCCTGGGTCTGGGTGTCTCTGTCAGAGGGGGTTTATCATGGCCGTGTCAGAGACACTGAGATCCTGGGTTCAAACCCTGTGTCCGGGTGTCTCTCAGAGGGGGTTTATCATGGCCGTGTCAGAGACACTGAGAACCTGGGTTTGAGCCCTGGGTCTGGGTGTCTCTCTCATAGGGGGTTTATTATGGCCGTGTCAGAGACGTTGAGACCCTGGGTTTGAGCCATGGGTCGGGGTGTCTCTGTCAGAGGGGGTTCAAAATGGCTGTGTCAGAGACACTGAGAACCTGGGTTCGAGCCCTGGGTCTGGGTGTCTCTGTCAGAGGGGGTTTATCATGGCCGTGTCAAAGACACTGAGATCCTGGGTTCAAGCCCTGGGTCTGGGTGTCTCTGTCAGAGGGGGTTTATCATGGCCGTGTCAGAGACACTGAGAACCTGGGTTCAAGCCTGGATCTGGGTGTCTCTGTCAGAGGGTTCATCATGGCCGTGTCGGAGACACTGAGATCCTGGGTTCAAGCCCTGGGTCTGGGTGTCTCTGTCAGAGGGGGTTTATCATGGCCGTGTCAGAGACACTGAGAACCTGGGTTCAAGCCTGGGTCTGGGTGTCTCTGTCAGAGGGGGTTCATAGTGGCCGTGTCAGAGACACTGAGATCCTGGGTTCGAGCCCTGGGTCTGGGTGTCTCTCTCAGAGGGTGTATCATGGCCATGTCAGAGACACTGAGATCCTGGGTTCGAGCCCTGGGTCTGGGTGTCTCTCTCAGAGGGGGTTCATAGTGGCCGTGTCAGAGACACTGAGATCCTGGGTTTGAGCCCTGGGTCTGGGTGTCTCTCTCAGAGGGTTTATTATGGCCATGTCAGAGACCCTGAGATCCTGGGTTCAAGCCCTGGGTCTGGGTGTCTCTTTCAGAGGGTTTATCATGGCCATGTCAGAGACACTTAGAACCTGGGTTCAAGCCCTGGGTCTGGGTGTCTCTCTCAGAGGGGGTTCATAGTGGCCGTGTCAGAGACACTGACACCCTGGGTTCGAGCCCTGGGTCCGGGTGTCTCTCAGAGGGTTTATCATGGCCATGTCAGAGACACTTAGAACCTGGGTCCAAGCCCTGAGGCTGGGTGTCTCTTTCAGAGGGTTTATCATTGCCATGTCAGAGACACTTAGAACCTGGGTTCAAGCCCTGGGTCTGGGTGTCTCTTTCAGAGGGTTTATCATGGCCATGTCAGAGACACTTAGAACCTGGGTTCAAGCCCTGGGTCTGGGTGTCTCTCTCAGAGGGGGTTCATAGTGGCCGTGTCAGAGACACTGAGATCCTGGATTCGAGCCCTGGGTCCGGGTGCCTCTCTTAGTGCGTTCATGTTGGCTGCCCCGGTACCTGTGCGTGTGTCCGTGTGTGGGCAACATCCAGGTCGACTCAGCCTCAAATGAGCACCTGGTGTTGTGTGTAGCAAACATCGCCACTGGGGAGACATAGGCGGCTGGGCGTGATGCTGGCCACCCACCCCGCCGCTGCTCGCTGACAGCACTTGCCCCGACAGTCTGTTGAGGCTACACTCTGGAGGGGGGGGGTCTTTGTCTTTGTGTGCAGGAGTTTTTGGAGTCCTCTAAGTACGATGACGTGGAAGACCTCGGAGCTAAACTGGAGACGTTCAAAAGTAAATGGTGTTATTAATTACATTTTATATTCGTAGTATACTATACACTACACTATACACACTACTCTACACTATACACTACACTATACACTACACTACACTATACACTACACTATACACTACACACTACACTATACTATAAACTACACACTACATTACACACTACACTATACACTACATTATACACTACACTATACACTACACTACACACTACACTACACTATACACTACACTGTACACTATACACTACACTATACACTACACTACACACTAGACTTCACACTACACTATACACTACACTATACTACACTACACACTACACTACACACTATACACTACACTATACACTACACAATACACTACACTACACACTGTACTACACACTACATTATACACTACACACTACACTATACACTGCACTACTATACACTACACACTACACTACACTACACACTACACTACACACTGTACTACACACTACATTATACACTACACTACTAAATTGTGTTTCTTCTTGCAGAGAAGTACATGGAGTTCGACGTGAATGACGAAGGAGACATTGGTGAGTGTGTTGATGTCTCACAGCAGCGTCATCATCATCACCACCATCAGCACCATCATCACCACCATCATCACCATCAGCACCATCATCATCACCATCAGCACCATCATCACCATCACCATCGGCACCATCAGCACCATCATCACCACCATCAGCACCATCACCATCAACACCATCAGCACCATCATCATCAGCACCATCAGTACCACCACCATCAGCGTCATCATCATCACCACCATCAGCACCATCATCACCACCATCATCACCATCATCACCATCAGCACCATCATCATCACCATCAGCACCATCAGCACCATCATCATCACCATCAGCACCATCATCATCACCATCGGCACCATCAGCACCATCATCACCACCATCAGCACCATCACCATCAACACCATCAGCACCATCATCAGCAGCACCATCAGTACCACCACCATCAGCGTCATCATCATCACCACCATCAGCACCATCATCACCACCATCATCACCATCATCACCATCAGCACCATCATCATCACCATCAGCACCATCAGCACCATCATCATCACCATCAGCACCATCATCATCACCATCAGCACCATCACCATCGGCACCATCAGCACCATCATCACCACCATCAGCACCATCATCACCATCACCATCGGCACCATCAGCACCATCATCACCACCATCAGCACCATCAGCACCATCATCATCACCATCAGCACCATCATCATCAGCACCATCACTATCAGCACCATCACCATCAGCACCATCATCATCAGCACCATCAGCACCATCATCACCATCAGCACCATCAGCACTATCATCACCATCACCATCGGCACCATGAGCACCATCAGCACCATCAGCACCATCACCATCAGCACCATCACCATCAGCACCATCACCATCATCACCATCATGATCACCATTGGCACCATCATCATCACCATCAGCACCATCAGCACCATCATCATCAGCACCATCAGCACCATCATCATCGGCACCATCGGCACCATCATCACCATCAGCACCATCAGCATCATCACCATCAGCACCATCATCATCATCAGCAGCAGCACGGCTGATCATGATGCTAATGATGACGATGTTGCTTATTTATGCTGAACCGATGTTCCTGATGCTCACTGTTGCTTTCTTGATGATTCTGATACTGATGATGCTCACTATTGCTCAGCTGATGATGCTGATACTGATGATGCTGATACTGATGATGCTTACTATTGCTCAGCTGATGATGCTGGCGATGCTCACTGTTGCTCAGCTGATGCTACTTGCGATGACGCTGCTGATGATGATGTTGGTCTTTATTGCTCAACTGGATTCTGCTATTGATGCCGCTGATGATTATGATGATGCTACTGCTGCTGATAAAGATGATGATGGTGGTGGTGGTGATGTTGCAAGTGCTTGCTAATGATGATGCTACTGCTGCTGCTGATGATGATGATGCTGCTGTAGCTAATGATGCTGCTGCTGCTGATGATGATGCTGTAGCTAATGATGCTGCTGCTGTTGATGATGCTACTGCTACTGATGATGCTACTGCCGTTGCTGATAATGCTGCTGATGCCCCTGCTGCCGCTCCTATTGCTGCTGATGATGATGATGCCGTTGCTGATGATGATGATGACGGTGGTGCCCTCCCTCCCTCCCACCCCTCCCTCCCCTCCCTCCCTCCCTCCCTCCCTCCCTCCCTCCCTCCCTCCCTCCCTCCCTCCCTCCCTCCCTCCCCTCCCTCCCTCCCTCCCTCCCTCCCCTCCCTCCCCTCCCTCCCTCTCACCCCTCCCTCCCTCCCTTCCCTCCCTTCCTCCCTCCCTCCCTCCCTCCGTCCCTCCCTCCCTCCCTCCCCTCCCTCCCTCCCCTCCCTCCCTCCCTCTCCTCCCTCCCCTCCCTTCCCTCCCTCCCTCCCCTCCCTCCGCAGAGCTCATGGGCCTCAAGCAGATGCTGGAGCACCTAGGGCAGGCGCGGACTCACCTGGAGCTCAAGAAGATGATCCAGGAGGTGTCCTCGTCCGCGTCGCTCGACTCCATCTCCTACCGAGACTTCCTGCGCATGATGCTCGGCAACAAGTCTGCCGTGCTGAAGCTGTGAGCGCTGCACGGCCATCGTGACTCCTCCCCTCTCCCCCGCTCCTAGAGACACCCAGACCCAGGGCTTGAACCCAGGGTCTTAGTGGTGCTGGGTCAGTGTCTCTAGCATGGCCATTGTGAACCCTCCCTACTAGAACAACACCCAGACCCAGGGCTTGAACCCAGGGTCTTAGTAGTGCTGGGTCAGTGTCTCTAACATGGCCATTGTGAACCCCCCCTACTATAGAGACACCCAGACCCAGGGCTTGAACTCAAGGTCTTAGTGGTGCTGGGTCAGTGTCTCTAGCATGGCCATTGTGAACCCTCCCTACTAGAGAGACACCCAGACCCAGGGCTTGAACTCAGGGTCTTAGTGGTGCTGGGTCAGTGTCTCTAGCATGGCCATTGTGAACCCCCCCTACTAGAAAGACACCCAGACCCAAGGCTTGAACCCAGGGTGTTAGTGGTGCTGGGTCAGTGTCTCTAGCATGGCCATTGTGAACCCCCCCTACTAGAAAGACACCCAGACCCAAGGCTTGAACCCAGGGTGTTAGTGGTGCTGGGTCAGTGTCTCTAGCATGGCCATTGTGAACCCCCCCTACTAAAGAAACACCCAGACCCAGGGCTTGAACTCAGGGTGTTAATGGTGCTGGGTCAATGTCTCTAACATGGCCATTGTGAACCCCCCCTACCAGAGAGAGACACCCAGACCCAGGGCTTGAACCCAGGGTCTTAGTGGTGCTGGGTCAATGTCTCTAGCTTGGCCATTGTGAACCCCCCTACTAAAGAAACACCCAGACCTAGGGCTTGAACTCAGGGTGTTAGTGGTGCTGGGTCAATGTCTCTAACATGGCCATTGTGAACCCCCCCTACTAGAGAGACACCCAGACCCAGGGCTTTAACCCAGGGTCTTAGTGGTGCTGGGTCAGTGTCTCTAACATGGCCATTGTGAACCCCCCCTACCAGAGAGACACCCAGACCCAGGGCTTGAACTCAGGGTCTTAGTGGTGCTGGGTCAGTGTCTCTAGCATGGCCATTGTGAACCCTCCCTACTAGAACAACACCCAGACCCAGGGCTTGAACCCAGGGTCTTAGTGGTGCTGGGTCAATGTCTCTAACATGGCCATTGTGAACCCCCCTTACTAGAGAGACACCCAGACCCAGGGCTTGAACCCAGGGTCATAGTGGTGCTGGGTCAGTGTCTCTAGCATGGCCATTGTGAACCCCCCCTACTAGAGAGAGACATCCAGACCCAGGGCTTGAACCCAGGGTCTTAGTGGTGCTGGGTCAATGTCTCTAACATGGCCATTGTGAACCCTCCCTACTAGAGAGAGACACCCAGACCCAGGGCTTGAACCCAGGGTGTTAGTGGTGCTGGGTCAATGTCTCTAACATGGCCATTGTGAACCCCCCCTACTAAAGAGAGACACCCAGACGCAGGGCTTGAACCCAGGGTGTTAGTGGTGCTGGGTCAGTGTCTATAACATGGCCATTGTGAACCCTCCCTACTAGAAAGACACCCAGACCCAAGGCTTGAACCGAGGGTGTTAGTGGTGCTGGGTCAGTGACTCTAACATGGCCATTGTGAACCCCCCCTACCAGAGAGACACCCAGACCCAGGGCTTGAACCCAGGGTCTTAGTGGTGCTGGGTCAATGTCTCTAGCATGGCCATTGTGAACCCCCCCTACTAAAGAGAGACACCCAGTCCCAGGGCTTGAACCCAGGGTCTTAGTGGTGCTGGGTCAATGTCTCTAACATGGCCATTGTGAACCCCCCCTACTATAGAGACACCCAGACCCAGGGCTTGAACTCAAGGTCTTAGTGGTGCTGGGTCAGTGTCTCTAGCATGGCCATTGTGAACCCTCCCTACTAGAGAGACACCCAGACCCAGGGCTTGAACTCAGGGTCTTAGTGGTGCTGGGTCAGTGTCTCTAGCATGGCCATTGTGAACCCCCCCTACTAGAAAGACACCCAGACCCAAGGCTTGAACCCAGGGTGTTAGTGGTGCTGGGTCAGTGTCTCTAGCATGGCCATTGTGAACCCCCCCTACTAGAAAGACACCCAGACCCAAGGCTTGAACCCAGGGTGTTAGTGGTGCTGGGTCAGTGTCTCTAGCATGGCCATTGTGAACCCCCCCTACTAAAGAAACACCCAGACCCAGGGCTTGAACTCAGGGTGTTAATGGTGCTGGGTCAATGTCTCTAACATGGCCATTGTGAACCCCCCCTACCAGAGAGAGACACCCAGACCCAGGGCTTGAACCCAGGGTCTTAGTGGTGCTGGGTCAATGTCCTAGCTTGGCCATTGTGAACCCCCCCTACTAAAGAAACACCCAGACCTAGGGCTTGAACTCAGGGTGTTAGTGGTGCTGGGTCAATGTCTCTAACATGGCCATTGTGAACCCCCCCTACTAGAGAGACACCCAGACCCAGGGCTTGAACCCAGGGTCTTAGTGGTGCTGGGTCAGTGTCTCTAACATGGCCATTGTGAACCCCCCTACCAGAGAGACACCCAGACCCAGGGCTTGAACTCAGGGTCTTAGTGGTGCTGGGTCAGTGTCTCTAGCATGGCCATTGTGAACCCTCCCTACTAGAACAACACCCAGACCCAGGGCTTGAACCCAGGGTCTTAGTGGTGCTGGGTCAATGTCTCTAACATGGCCATTGTGAACCCCCTCTACTAGAGAGACACCCAGACCCAGGGCTTGAACCCAGGGTCATAGTGGTGCTGGGTCAGTGTCTCTAGCATGGCCATTGTGAACCCCCCCTACTAGAGAGAGACATCCAGACCCAGGGCTTGAACCCAGGGTCTTAGTGGTGCTGGGTCAATGTCTCTAACATGGCCATTGTGAACCCTCCCTACTAGAGAGAGACACCCAGACCCAGGGCTTGAACCCAGGGTGTTAGTGGTGCTGGGTCAATGTCTCTAACATGGCCATTGTGAACCCCCCCTACTATAGAGACACCCAGACCCAGGGCTTGAACTCAAGGTCTTAGTGGTGCTGGGTCAGTGTCTCTAGCATGGCCATTGTGAACCCTCCCTACTAGAGAGACACCCAGACCCAGGGCTTGAACTCAGGGTCTTAGTGGTGCTGGGTCAGTGTCTCTAGCATGGCCATTGTGAACCCCCCCTACTAGAAAGACACCCAGACCCAAGGCTTGAACCCAGGGTGTTAGTGGTGCTGGGTCAGTGTCTCTAGCATGGCCATTGTGAACCCCCCCTACTAGAAAGACACCCAGACCCAAGGCTTGAACCCAGGGTGTTAGTGGTGCTGGGTCAGTGTCTCTAGCATGGCCATTGTGAACCCCCCCTACTAAAGAAACACCCAGACCCAGGGCTTGAACTCAGGGTGTTAATGGTGCTGGGTCAATGTCTCTAACATGGCCATTGTGAACCCCCCCTACCAGAGAGAGACACCCAGACCCAGGGCTTGAACCCAGGGTCTTAGTGGTGCTGGGTCAATGTCTCTAGCTTGGCCATTGTGAACCCCCCCTACTAAAGAAACACCCAGACCTAGGGCTTGAACTCAGGGTGTTAGTGGTGCTGGGTCAATGTCTCTAACATGGCCATTGTGAACCCCCCCTACTAGAGAGACACCCAGACCCAGGGCTTTAACCCAGGGTCTTAGTGGTGCTGGGTCAGTGTCTCTAACATGGCCATTGTGAACCCCCCCTACCAGAGAGACACCCAGACCCAGGGCTTGAACTCAGGGTCTTAGTGGTGCTGGGTCAGTGTCTCTAGCATGGCCATTGTGAACCCTCCCTACTAGAACAACACCCAGACCCAGGGCTTGAACCCAGGGTCTTAGTGGTGCTGGGTCAATGTCTCTAACATGGCCATTGTGAACCCCCCCTACTAGAGAGACACCCAGACCCAGGGCTTGAACCCAGGGTCATAGTGGTGCTGGGTCAGTGTCTCTAGCATGGCCATTGTGAACCCCCCCTACTAGAGAGAGACATCCAGACCCAGGGCTTGAACCCAGGGTCTTAGTGGTGCTGGGTCAATGTCTCTAACATGGCCATTGTGAACCCTCCCTACTAGAGAGAGACACCCAGACCCAGGGCTTGAACCCAGGGTGTTAGTGGTGCTGGGTCAATGTCTCTAACATGGCCATTGTGAACCCCCCCTACTAAAGAGAGACACCCAGACGCAGGGCTTGAACCCAGGGTGTTAGTGGTGCTGGGTCAGTGTCTATAACATGGCCATTGTGAACCCTCCCTACTAGAAAGACACCCAGACCCAAGGCTTGAACCGAGGGTGTTAGTGGTGCTGGGTCAGTGACTCTAACATGGCCATTGTGAACCCCCCCTACCAGAGAGACACCCAGACCCAGGGCTTGAACCCAGGGTCTTAGTGGTGCTGGGTCAATGTCTCTAGCATGGCCATTGTGAACCCCCCCCTACTAAAGAGAGACACCCAGTCCCAGGGCTTGAACCCAGGGTCTTAGTGGTGCTGGGTCAATGTCTCTAACATGGCCATTGTGAACCCCCCCCTACTATAGAGACACCCAGACCCAGGGCTTGAACTCAAGGTCTTAGTGGTGCTGGGTCAGTGTCTCTAGCATGGCCATTGTGAACCCTCCCTACTAGAGAGACACCCAGACCCAGGGCTTGAACTCAGGGTCTTAGTGGTGCTGGGTCAGTGTCTCTAGCATGGCCATTGTGAACCCCCCCTACTAGAAAGACACCCAGACCCAAGGCTTGAACCCAGGGTGTTAGTGGTGCTGGGTCAGTGTCTCTAGCATGGCCATTGTGAACCCCCCCTACTAGAAAGACACCCAGACCCAAGGCTTGAACCCAGGGTGTTAGTGGTGCTGGGTCAGTGTCTCTAGCATGGCCATTGTGAACCCCCCCTACTAAAGAAACACCCAGACCCAGGGCTTGAACTCAGGGTGTTAATGGTGCTGGGTCAATGTCTCTAACATGGCCATTGTGAACCCCCCCTACCAGAGAGAGACACCCAGACCCAGGGCTTGAACCCAGGGTCTTAGTGGTGCTGTGTCAATGTCTCTAGCTTGGCCATTGTGAACCCCCCCTACTAAAGAAACACCCAGACCTAGGGCTTGAACTCAGGGTGTTAGTGGTGCTGGGTCAATGTCTCTAACATGGCCATTGTGAACCCCCCCTACTAGAGAGACACCCAGACCCAGGGCTTTAACCCACGGTCTTAGTGGTGCTGGGTCAGTGTCTCTAACATGGCCATTGTGAACCCCCCTACCAGAGAGACACCCAGACCCAGGGCTTGAACTCAGGGTCTTAGTGGTGCTGGGTCAGTGTCTCTAGCATGGCCATTGTGAACCCTCCCTACTAAAACAACACCCAGACCCAGGGCTTGAACCCAGGGTCTTAGTGGTGCTGGGTCAATGTCTCTAACATGGCCATTGTGAACCCCCCCTACTAGAGAGACACCCAGACCCAGGGCTTGAACCCAGGGTCATAGTGGTGCTGGGTCAGTGTCTCTAGCATGGCCATTGTGAACCCCCCCTACTAGAGAGAGACATCCAGACCCAGGGCTTGAACCCAGGGTCTTAGTGGTGCTGGGTCAATGTCTCTAACATGGCCATTGTGAACCCTCCCTACTAGAGAGAGACACCCAGACCCAGGGCTTGAACCCAGGGTGTTAGTGGTGCTGGGTCAATGTCTCTAACATGGCCATTGTGAACCCCCCCTACTAAGGAGAGACACCCAGACGCAGGGCTTGAACCCAGGGTGTTAGTGGTGCTGGGTCAGTGTCTATAACATGGCCATTGTGAACCCTCCCTACTAGAAAGACACCCAGACCCAAGGCTTGAACCGAGGGTGTTAGTGGTGCTGGGTCAGTGACTCTAACATGGCCATTGTGAACCCCCCCTACCAGAGAGACACCCAGACCCAGGGCTTGAACCCAGGGTCTTAGTGGTGCTGGGTCAATGTCTCTAGCATGGCCATTGTGAACCCCCCCCTACTAAAGAGATACACCCAGTCCCAGGGCTTGAACCCAGGGTCTTAGTGGTGCTGGGTCAATGTCTCTAACATGGCCATTGTGAACCCTCCCTACCAGAGAGACACCCAGACCCAGGGCTTGAACTCAGGGTCTTAGTGGTGCTGGGTCAGTGCCTCTAGAATGGCCATTGTGAACCCCCCCTACCAGAGAGACACCCAGACCCAGGGCTTGAACCCAGGGTCTTAGTGGTGCTGGGTCAATGTCTCTAGCATGGCCATTGAGAACCCCCCTACTAAAGAGAGACACCCAGACCCAGGGCTTGAACCCAGGGTCTTAGTGGTGCTGGGTCAGTATCTCTAACATAGCCATTGTGAACCCCCCCTACTAAAGAAACACCCAGACCCAGGGCTTGAACCCAGGGTCTTAGTGGTGCTGGGTCAGTGTCTCTAGCATGGACATTGTGAAACCCCCCCTACCAGAGAGACACCCAGACCCAGGGCTTGAACTCAGGGTCTTAGTGGTGCTGGGTCAGTGTCTCTAGCATGGCCATTGTGAACCCCGCCTACTAGAGAGAGACATCCAGACCCAGGGCTTGAACCCAGGGTCTTAGTGGTGCTGGGTCAGTGTCTCTAACATGGCCATTGTGAACCCCCCCTACTAGAGAGACACCCAAGACCCAGGGCTTGAACCCAGGGTCTTAGTGGTGCTGGGTCAATGTCTCTAAGATGGCCATTGTGAACCCTCCCTACTAGAAAGACACCCAGACCCAAGGCTTGAACCCAGGGTGTTAGTGGTGCTGGGTCAGTGACTCTAACATGGCCATTTTGACCCCCCCCCCCCCCCTACCAGAGAGACACCCAGACCCAGGGCTTGAACCCAGGGTCTTAGTGGTGCTGGGTCAATGTCTCTAGCATGGCCATTGTGAACCCCCCCCCTACTAAAGAGAGACACCCAGTCCCAGGGCTTGAACCCAGGGTCTTAGTGGTGCTGGGTCAATGTCTCTAACATGGCCATTGTGAACCCTCCCTACCAGAGAGACACCCAGACCCAGTGCTTGAACCCAGGGTGTTAGTGGTGCTGGGTCAGTGTCTCTAACATGGCCATTGTGAACCCTCCCTACTAGAAAGACACCCAGACCCAAGGCTTGAACCCAGGGTGTTAGTGGTGCTGGGTCAGTGACTCTAACATGGCCATTGTGAACCCCCCCTACCAGAGAGACACCCAGGGCTTGAACTCAGGGTCTTAGTGGTGCTGGGTCAATGTCTCTAACATGGCCATTGTGAACCCTCCCTACCAGAGAGACACCCAGACCCAGGGCTTGAACCCAGGGTCTTAGTGGTGCTGGGTCAGTGTCTCTAACATGGCCATTGTGAAACCCCCCCTACCAGAGAGACACCCAGACCCAGGGCTTGAACTCAGGGTCTTAGTGGTGCTGGGTCAGTGTCTCTAACATGGCCATTGTGAACCCCCCCTACTAGAGATTCACCCAGACCCAGGGCTTGAACCCAGGATCTTAGTGGTGCTGGGTCAGTGTCTCTAGCATGGCCATTGTGAACCCTCCCTACTAGAGAAACACCCAGACCCAGGGCTTGAACCCAGGGTGTTAGTGGTGCTGGGTCAATGTCTCTAACATGGCCATTGTGAACCCCCCCTACTAGAGATTCACCCAGACCCAGGGTTTGAACCCAGGATCTTAGTGGTGCTGGATCAGTGTCTCTAGCATGGACATTGTGAACCCTCCCTACCAGAGAGACACCCAGGGCTTGAACTCAGGGTCTTAGTGGTGCTGGGTCAATGTCTCTAACATGGCCATTGTGAACCCTCCCTACCAGAGAGACACCCAGACCCAGGGCTTGAACCCAGGGTCTTAGTGGTGGTGGGTCAATGTCTCTAACATGGCCATTGTGAACCCTCCCTACTAGAGAGATACCCAGACCCAGGGCTTGAACCCAGGGTCTTAGTGGTGGTGGGTCAGTGTCTCTAACATGGCCATCGTGAACCCTCCCTACTAGAGAGACACCCAGACCCAGGGCTTGAACCCAGGGTCTTAGTGGTGGTGGGTCAATGTCTCTAACATGGCCATTGTGAACCCCCCCTACTAAAGAGAGACACCCAGTCCCAGGGCTTGAACCCAGGGTCTTAGTGGTGGTGGGTCAGTGTCTCTAACATGGCCATTGTGAACCCCCCTACCAGAGAGACACCCAGACCCAGGGCTTGAACCCAGGGTCTTAGTGGTGCTGGGTCAGTGTCTCTTACATGGCCATTGTGAACCCCCCCCCCCCTACTACAGAGACCCAAGTTCGATCCCCGCTCACGGCCAAGAACAGTGGCGAATATCTAAACCGATCCTGGGCCTCCCCTAGGTCAACTCAGCCTTTAAAAAATTTGAATACAGAACCTGGTGCGGTGCGTGTATTAAAGATCACCAAGAGGGAGACAAAGGCGGCCGGGCGGGCGTGGCGCTGGTCACGCACCATGTCAGCCTTAATAGGTGCTGCTAGTCGCTCGATGTTGACTACCTCGCCTGGTACACAGGAGGTCGCGGGTTCGATCCCCACCCTGACGCCTGCTGCTGTATATTTGGAGTTTGCATGTGGCTAGGAGATGTTGACTACCTCGCCTGGTACACAGGAGGTCGCGGGTTCGATCCCCACCCTGACACCTGCTGCTGTATATTTGGAGTTTGCATGTGGCTAGGAGATGTTAACTACCTCGCCTGGTACACAGGAGCTCGCGGGTTCGATCCCGACCCTGACGCCTGCTGCTGTATATTTGGAGTTTGCATGTGGCTAGGAGATGTTGACTACCTCGCCTGGTACGCAGGAGATCGCGGGTTCGATCCCGACCCTGACGATGCCTTCTGCCTGCTGCTGTATAAGTGGAGTCTGCGTGTCTCTCTCTCTCTCGCTGTCTCCCATCATCATCACGGTGGCTAGGAGATGTTAACTACCTCGCCTGGTACACAGGAGGTCGTGGGTTCTATTCCGACCCTGACGATGCCTGCTGCCTGCTGCTGCTGCTGCTGTATAGTTGGAGTCTGCGTCTCTCTCTTCGCCAGCCGCTCGACACTTCCACGCCGTGCTGATGATGATGACGACGACGTCGATGATCACGAGTCGCACGCTCCGTTGATCTGCTATCATTGAAACACAATAAGCTGCCACATAGCCCAGTAGGGGTGGGTGGGTGGGTGGGACGCGCGGTGGTGTTTGGACCTCAGCTGGCACACAAATCAAATACAAATAAGTCATTGTATTGCACTGCACTTGCCCCTACAATGTGTCGAGAGCTACCCGGGGTACCTTTGTCTGTGTGTCCCGCCAGGATCATGATGTTCGAGTCGAAAAAGGAGGAGGAGGCTCGCCCCAGCGGGGTCGCTCCCAAGAGGACCGTGTCCAGCCTGCCCTGAACGACGCCTCATTCGCTCATTCATTCACTTTGATTCGTTCGCTCACTTTGATTCGTTCACCCGCTTCCATTCGCTCGTCCATTCCGCCAGAGGGGACCGTGCCCAGCCAGCCCCGAACGACGCCTCATTCGCTCATTCATTCACTTTGATTCGTTCACTCACTTTGATTCGTTCACCCGCTTCCATTCGCTCGTCCATTCCGCCAGAGGGGACCGTGCCCAGCCAGCCCCGAACGACGCCTCATTCGCTCATTCATTCACTTTGATTCGTTCACTCACTTTGATTCGTTCACTTTCGTTCACCCGCTTTCATTCGCTCGTCCATTCCGCCAGAGGGGGCCGTGTCCAGCCTGCCCCGAACGACGCCTCATTCGCTCATTCATTAACTTTGATTCGTTCGCTCACTTTGATTCGTTCACTTTCGTTCATTCGCTTTCATTCTCTCGTCCATTCCACCAGAGGGGACCGTGTCCAGCCAGCCCCGAACGACGCCTCATTCGTTCATTCATTCACTTTGATTCGTTCACTCACTTTGATTCGTTCACTTTCGTTCACCCGCCTTCATTCGCTCGTCCATTCCGCCAGAGGGGGACCGTGTCCAGCCTGCCCCGAACGACGCCTCATTCGCTCATTCATTCACTTTCTTTCGTTCGCTTTCATTTACTCACTTTCTTTCGTTCACTTTCATTCGTTCACCTTCATTCGTTCATCCATTCCGCCAAAGAGGACCGCGTCCAGCTTGCCCTGAACTACAGATCAAACGTCCCCTCTCATTTATTCACTTTAATCAATTGACTTTCATTCATTCACTTTCATTCATTCACTCATTCCCCTTCCAAGAGAACCGCGCCCGGCCTGCCCTGGCAGACGTGTGACCAACATACTCATTCACTCATTCACTCTCCCTCCCTCCCTCCGACTCGCTCGCACATTGAAGTCATTCGCTCATTTACATATTCATCCATTCACTTGGCTCATTCACTCTCCCTCCCTCCCTCCGACTCGCTCGCACATTGAAGTCATTCGCTCATTTACATATTCATCCATTCACTTGGCTCATTCACTCACCCACTCGCACATCGTCTAGAGACGTAACTCAATGTGATGTTGATTGTTGTTGATGTTGTTTGGATGATCTTTAAATCGCCGCTAATCGCCACTGGCTACTGCTCCCTCCTTCCTTGCGAAGACAAATTCCACGTTCCTCTGGCGGGTGCCGGTCCCTTCCCCGCACGTGCAGTGTGTGGTTTGCACTTGAGCAATTGTGTGTGTGTGTTGGATCTTCTTTCGCACCGTATGTAGCCAAACCGTGACGAGATCCGGAGTTTGGGAGCAAACAAACACGCAAACATCAGTTCTAAAGAAGTTAATTGCCAATGTAGTTTATAGCGTAGTGTGTAGTGTAGTGTAGAGTGGTGTGTAGTGTAGTGTGTACTCGTGTAGTGTATAGTGTAGAGTAGTGTGTAGTGTAGTGTGTACTAGTGTAGTGTATAGTAGTGTCGTGTATAATAGTGTAGTGTATAGTAGTGTAGTGTATAGTAGTGTGTAGTGTAGTGTATAGTAGTGTATAGTAATGTCGTGTATAATAGTGTAATGCATTGCGTAGTGTATAGTGTCGTGTATAGTATAGTGTAGTATATACTAATGTAGTGTATAGTGTAGTGTATAATAGTGTAGTGTATGGTATAGTGTATAGTAGTGTATAGTAGTGTATAGTAATGTATAGTAGTGTAGTGTATAGTGGTTTAGTGTAGTGGTGTAGTGTATAATGTAGTGTATAGTGTAGTGTATAGCGTAGTGAATAGCGTAGTATAGTGTATGTGTAGTGCGTAGTGTATAGTAGTGTAGTATATACTAGTGTAGTGTATAGTTTAGTGTGTTATTTTAGTGTATAGTTGTGTAGTGTGTATTGTAATATATACTAGTGTAGTGTGTAGTGTAGCGTAGTATATACCCGTATAGTGTTGTGCAGTGTATGTGTCTTGAACTTCTTTCGCACCGTACGTAGCCAACCGTTGCTAAATCAGAGATGCGGGGGGAGTGACTCATTCAGTCACCCACTCATTCACTCAACCACTCATTCAGTCACCCACTCATTCACTCACCCACTCATTCACTCAACCACTCATTCACTCACCCACTCATTCACTCACCCACTCATTCAGTCACCCACTCATTCACTCACCCAATCACCCACTCATTCACTCAGCCACGCATTCACTCACCCACTCATTCACTCACCCACTCATTCAGTCACCCACTCATTCAGTCACCCACTCATGCTGTAACCCACTCACCCACTCATTCACTCATTCACTCACCCACTCATTCACTCACCCACTCACCCACTCATTCACTCACCCACTCACCCATTCACCCACTCATTCACTCACCCACTCATTCACTCACCCACTCATTCACTCACCCACTCATTCATTCACCCACTCATTCACTCACCCACTCATTCACTCACCCACTCATTCACTCACCCACTCATCCACTCACCCCACTCATTCACTCACCCCACTCATTCACTCACCCACTCACCCATTCACTCACCCATTCACTCATTGACTCACCCATTCACTCACCCACTCACCCATTCACTTAGCCATTCACTCACCCACTTACCCATTCACTCACCCATTCACTCACCCATTCACTCACCCACTCACTCACCCATTCACTCACCCACTCATTCACTCACCCACTCACCCACTCACCCATTCACCCACTCATTCACTCACCCACTCATTCACTCATTCACTCACCCACTCATTCACTCACCCACTCATTCACTCACCCACTCATCCACTCACCCCACTCATTCACTCACCCCACTCATTCACTCACCCACTCACCCATTCACTCACCCATTCACTCATTGACTCACCCATTCACTCACCCACTCACCCATTCACTTACCCATTCACTCACCCATTCACTCACCCACTTACCCATTCACTCACCCATTCACTCACCCATTCACTCACCCACTCACTCACCCATTCACTCACTCGCTCATTCACGGGGTGGGAAATTTGTCTCTGAGGCGGTGACGTCACGTATCGCAAGCCCTCGCGTGACGTCACGTATCGCCGGTCGGCCTCGCGTGACGTCTCGCTCGGAACCTCGCCTGACGTCACGTGTCACCAGCGCCTCGCGTGACGTCACGCGCCGGGGTGAGGGGTCGCCGCGGGTACAGTGCGAGACCCGCTGGATACAGTGCGAGATCAAGAGCGATGAGTTCGCGACCAGGTGCGTCAACAACAACAACCAAACTACAGCCACAACAACCAAACTACAGCCACAACAACCAAACTACAGCCACAACAACCAAACTACAGCCACAACAACCAAACTACAACCACAACAACCAAACTACAGCCACAACAACAGCCACACTACAACAAACACAGCCACACCACAACAACTACAGCCACACTACAACTCTCATCTCCCCCTGCCTCTCCCTCTCATCTCCCCTGCCTCTCCCTCTCTCATCTCCCCCTGCCTCTCTCATCTCCCCCTGCCTCTCCCTCATCTCCCCCTGCCTCTCTCTCTCATCTCCCCCTGCCTCTCTCTCATCTCCCCCTGCCTCTCTCTCATCTCCCCCTGCCTCTCTCTCATCTCCCCCTGCCTCTCTCTCTCATCTCCCCTGCCTCTCTCTCATCTCCCCCTGCCTCTCTCTCATCTCCCCCTGCCTCTCTCTCTCTCATCTCCCCCTGCCTCTCTCTCATCTCCCCCTGCCTCTCTCATCTCCCCCTGCCTCCCTCTCATCTCCCCCTGCCTCTCCCTCTCTCATCTCCCCCTGCCTCTCTCATCTCCCCCTGCCTCTCTCTCATCTCCCCCTGCCTCTCCCTCTCATCTCCCCCTGCCTCTCTCTCATCTCCCCCTGCCTCTCTCTCATCTCCCCCTGCCTCTCATCTCCCCCTGCCTCTCATCTCCCCTGCCTCTCTCATCTCCCCCTGCCTCTCTGTCATCTCCCCCTGCCTCTCTCTCATCTCCCCCTGCCCCTCTCTCTCATCTCCCCCTGCCTCTCTCTCATCTCCCCCTGCCTCTCTCATCTCCCCCTGCCTCTCTCTCATCTCCCCCTGCCTCTCTCTCTCATCTCCCCCTGCCTCTCTCTCATCTCCCCTGCCTCTCTCTCATCTCCCCTGCCTCTCTCTCATCTCCCCCTGCCTCTCTCTCTCATCTCCCCCTGCCTCTCTCTCATCTCCCCCTGCCTCTCTCATCTCCCCCTGCCTCTCCCTCATCTCCCCCTGCCTCTCTCTCTCATCTCCCCCTGCCTCTCTCTCATTTCCCCCTGCCTCTCTCTCTCATCTCCCCCTGCCTCTCTCTGTCATCTCCCCCTGCCTCTCTCTCTCATCTCCCCCTGCCTCTCCCTCTCATCTCACCCTGCCTCTCTCTCATCTCCCCCTGCCTCTCTCTCATCTCCCCTGCCTCTCTCATCTCCCCCTGCCTCTCTGTCATCTCCCCCTGCCTCTCTCTCTCATCTCCCCCTGCCTCTCTCTCTCATCTCCCCCTGCCTCTCTCTCTCATCTCCCCCTGCCTCTCTCTCATCTCCCCCTGCCTCTCTGTCATCTCCCCCTGCCTCTCTCTCATCTCCCCCTGCCTCTCTCTCATCTCCCCCTGCCTCTCTGTCATCTCCCCCTGCCTCTCTCTCATCTCCCCCTGCCTCTCTCATCTCCCCCTGCCTCTCTCTCATCTCCCCCTGCCTCTCTCTCTCATCTCCCCCTGCCTCTCTCTCTCATCTCCCCCTGCCTCTCTCTCATCTCCCCCTGCCTCTCTCTCTGTCATCTCCCCCTGCCTCTCTCTCTCTCATCTCCCCCTGCCTCTCCCTTCTCTCTCTCTCACCCTGTAGAGAGAGCGTGTGGCGTTCGCACCGCGGGACGAGGAGATGACGAGATGATGAGGAGGAGGTAAAACATCGCCGTCACTGCGCCCGCACCTCGCCACAACGCTCCGCGTCGTCGTCGTCATCGTGATCGTCGTCATCGTGATCGTCGTCATCGTGATCGTCATCGTCGTCATCGTGAGCGTCGTCGTCATCGTGATCGTACATCGTGATCGTGGTCATCGTCGTCATCGTGAGCGTCATCGTCGTCGTCATCGTGAGCGTCATCGTCGTCATCATCATCGTCGTCATCGTGATCGTCGTCATCGTCGTCATCGTGGTCATCGTCGGAGTCATCATTCAAATAAGAATAAGCGGCTGCAGACCCTTCTCTGGCAAGGCGCCGTGTTGGAATGCTCAAACGCCAAATGGATTCCCCGTGCAAGGCATCAATTACTGCATTAACCGCGCACAGCACTTGTGGCAAACGAGAGCATGACCTGACCTCCCGGGTGAACCTTTGTGTTTGTGGTGGCGGTGGTGGCGGTGGCGGCGGTGGCGGCGGTGGCGGTGGTGGCGGTGGTGGCGCTGGGCGCACGAGGCGGGAGGAGACGGAGCGCGCCGTGAGGATCCGCCTGTCGTGCGAGGAGCTGGCGCAGCGTGCCGTTGAGCGGCTCCTCGAGAGGAACATCACGGCCGGAGAGCTGCTGGAGTGTGTGGGTCGAGCGTGCACGCAGCCACGCGCGGCCACAGTCAGCCACAGCCAGCCACAGCCAGCCACAGTCAGCCACAGCCAGCCACAGTCAGCCACAGTCAGCCACACGCAGCCACAGTCAGCCACAGTCAGCCACAGCCAGCCACAGCCAGCCACAGTCAGCCACAGTCAGCCACAGTCAGCCACGCACAGCCACAGTCAGCCACAGTCAGCCACACGCAGCCACAGTCAGCCACACACAGCCACAGTCAGCCACACGCAGCCACAGGCAGCCACAGGCAGCCACGCACGGCCACAGTCAGCCACAGTCAGCCACAGTCAGCCACAGTCAGACACAGCCAGCCACAGCCAGCCACAGTCAGCCACAGTCAGCCACAGTCAGCCACGCACAGCCACAGTCAGCCACAGTCAGCCACAGTCAGCCACACGCGGCCACAGTCAGCCACAGCCAGCCACAGTCAGCCACAGTCAGCCACGCACAGCCACAGTCAGCCACACGCAGCCACAGTCAGCCACACGCAGCCACAGGCAGCCACAGGCAGCCACACGAAGCCACACACGGCCACGCCCAGCCACAGTCAGCCACGCGCAACCACACGCAGCCACAGACAGCCACACGAAGCCACAGTCAACCACAGTCAGCCACACACGGCCACGCGCAGCCACAGTCAGCCACAGTCAGCCACAGTCAGCCACACGCAGCCACAGTCAGCCACGCACGGCCACGCGCGGCCACGCGCGGCCACAGTCAGCCACACGCAGCCACACGCAGCCACACGCAGCCACAGTCAGCCACAGCCAGCCACACGCAGCCACAGTCAGCCACACGCAGCCACAGTCAGCCACAGTCAGCCACAGTCAGCCACGCACAGCCACAGTCAGCCACGCACGGCCACGCGCGGCCACGCGCGGCCACAGTCAGCCACACGCAGCCACACGCAGCCACACGCAGCCACAGTCAGCCACAGCCAGCCACACGCAGCCACAGCCAGCCACACGCAGCCACAGTCAGCCACACGCAGCCACAGTCAGCCACAGTCAGCCACAGTCAGCCACAGTCAGCCACACGCAGCCACAGTCAGCCACGCACGGCCACGCGCGGCCACGCGCGGCCACAGTCAGCCACACGCAGCCACACGCAGCCACACGCAGCCACAGTCAGCCACAGTCAGCCACACGCAGCCACAGTCAGCCACACGCAGCCACAGTCAGCCACAGTCAGCCACAGTCAGCCACAGTCAGCCACGCACAGCCACAGTCAGCCACACGCAGCCACAGCCAGCCACAGTCAGCCACACACGGCCACAGCCAGCCACAGTCAGCCACACGCAGCCACAGTCAGCCACAGTCAGCCACAGTCAGCCACGCACAGCCACAGTCAGCCACACGCAGCCACAGCCAGCCACAGTCAGCCACACGCGGCCACAGTCAGCCACACGCAGCCACAGTCAGCCACGCGCGGCCACGCGCAGCCACAGTCAGCCACACGCAGCCACAGTCAGCCACAGTCAGCCACACATGGCCACGCGCAGCCACAGTCAGCCACAGCCAGCCACAGTCAGCCACACACGGCCATGCGCAGCCACAGTCAGCCACAGCCAGCCACAGTCAGCCACACGCAGCCACGCGCAGCCACAGTCAGCCACAGTCAGCCACAGTCAGCCACACGCAGCCACAGTCAGCCACACGCAGCCACAGTCAGCCACGCACGGCCATGCGCGGCCACACGCAACCACAGTCAGCCACACGCAGCCACGCGCAGCCACATGCAGCCACACGCAGCCACAGTCAGCCACATGCAGCCACAGTTAGCCACGCGCAGCCAGTCAGCCACGCACGGCAACGCGCAGCCACAGTTAGCCACACGCAGCCACAGTCAGCCACAGTCAGCCACAGTCAGCTACGCACAACCACAGTCAGCCACGCACGGTCACGCACAGCCACACGCAACCACAGTCAGCCACATGCAGCCACAGTCAGCCACAGGCAGCCACACGCAGCCACAGTCAGCCACAGTCAGCCACACGCAGCCACAGTCAGCCACCGTCAGCCACAGTCAGCCACACACGGCCACAGTCAGCCATACGCAGCCACAGTCAGCCACACGCAGCCACACGCAATCACAGTCAGCCACAGTCAGCCACGCGCGGCCACGCGGTACCATGCGCAGCCACACGCAACCACAGTCAGCCACACGCAACCACACACAACCACACGCAGCCACATGCAGCCACAGTCAGCCACACGCAACCACATGCAGCCACACGCAGCCACACGCAGCCACACGCAGCCACAGTCAGCCACACGCAGCCACAGTCAGCCACACGCAGCCACAGGCAGCCACAGGCAGCCACACGAAGCCACACACGGCCACGCCCAGCCACAGTCAGCCACGCGCAACCACACGCAGCCACAGACAGCCACACGAAGCCACAGTCAACCACAGTCAGCCACACACGGCCACGCGCAGCCACAGTCAGCCACAGTCAGCCACAGTCAGCCACACGCAGCCACAGTCAGCCACGCACGGCCACGCGCGGCCACGCGCGGCCACAGTCAGCCACATGCAGCCACAGTCAGCCACACGCAGCCACAGTCAGCCACAGCCAGCCACACGCAGCCACAGTCAGCCACACGCAGCCACAGTCAGCCACAGTCAGCCACAGTCAGCCACGCACAGCCACAGTCAGCCACGCACGGCCACGCGCGGCCACGCGCGGCCACAGTCAGCCACACGCAGCCACACGCAGCCACACGCAGCCACAGTCAGCCACAGCCAGCCACACGCAGCCACAGCCAGCCACACGCAGCCACAGTCAGCCACACGCAGCCACAGTCAGCCACAGTCAGCCACAGTCAGCCACAGTCAGCCACACGCAGCCACAGTCAGCCACGCACGGCCACGCGCGGCCACGCGCGGCCACAGTCAGCCACACGCAGCCACACGCAGCCACACGCAGCCACAGTCAGCCACAGTCAGCCACACGCAGCCACAGTCAGCCACACGCAGCCACAGTCAGCCACAGTCAGCCACAGTCAGCCACAGTCAGCCACGCACAGCCACAGTCAGCCACACGCAGCCACAGCCAGCCACAGTCAGCCACACACGGCCACAGCCAGCCACAGTCAGCCACACGCAGCCACAGTCAGCCACAGTCAGCCACAGTCAGCCACGCACAGCCACAGTCAGCCACACGCAGCCACAGCCAGCCACAGTCAGCCACACGCGGCCACAGTCAGCCACACGCAGCCACAGTCAGCCACGCGCGGCCACGCGCAGCCACAGTCAGCCACACGCAGCCACAGTCAGCCACAGTCAGCCACACATGGCCACGCGCAGCCACAGTCAGCCACAGCCAGCCACAGTCAGCCACACACGGCCATGCGCAGCCACAGTCAGCCACAGCCAGCCACAGTCAGCCACACGCAGCCACGCGCAGCCACAGTCAGCCACAGTCAGCCACAGTCAGCCACACGCAGCCACAGTCAGCCACACGCAGCCACAGTCAGCCACGCACGGCCATGCGCGGCCACACGCAACCACAGTCAGCCACACGCAGCCACGCGCAGCCACATGCAGCCACACGCAGCCACAGTCAGCCACATGCAGCCACAGTTAGCCACGCGCAGCCAGTCAGCCACGCACGGCAACGCGCAGCCACAGTTAGCCACACGCAGCCACAGTCAGCCACAGTCAGCCACAGTCAGCTACGCACAACCACAGTCAGCCACGCACGGTCACGCACAGCCACACGCAACCACAGTCAGCCACATGCAGCCACAGTCAGCCACAGGCAGCCACACGCAGCCACAGTCAGCCACAGTCAGCCACACGCAGCCACAGTCAGCCACCGTCAGCCACAGTCAGCCACACACGGCCACAGTCAGCCATACGCAGCCACAGTCAGCCACACGCAGCCACACGCAATCACAGTCAGCCACAGTCAGCCACGCGCGGCCACGCGGTACCATGCGCAGCCACACGCAACCACAGTCAGCCACACGCAACCACACACAACCACACGCAGCCACATGCAGCCACAGTCAGCCACACGCAACCACATGCAGCCACACGCAGCCACACGCAGCCACACGCAGCCACATGCAGCCACAGTCAGCCACAGTCAGCCACACGCAACCACACGCAGCCACATGCAGACACACGCAGCCACATGCAGCCACAGTCAGCCACAGTCAGCCACAGTCAGCCATACGCAGCCACACGCAGCCACAGTCAGCCACACGTAACCACACGCAGCCACACGCAGCCACACGCAGCCACGCGCAGCCACATGCAGCCACAGTCAGCCACAGTCAGCCACAGTCAGCCACACACGGCCACGCTTAGCCACATGCAGTCACACGAAGTCAAACACAGCCACACAGCCACACGCAGCCACACGCAGCCACACGCAACCACACGCAACCACAGTCAGCCACACACGGCCACGCACAGCCACAGTCAGCCACACACGGCCGCGCATAGCCACATGCAGCCACACGAAGTCAAACACAGCCACACAGCCACACGCAGCCACACACGGCCACGCACAGCCACATGCAGCCAGACGCAGCCACATGCAGCCACAGTCAGCCACACAACCACACGCAGCCACACGCAGCCACACACAGGCCGAGTTGTGTGGTTTGTGTGGCTGCGGTGGCACGGTGTTAGCGCCACGCTGCGCTCCGAACCCGGCAGTGGGCCAAGTTTGACTCCCGCTAGCGCCCACCGAAACCGCCGCCGCCGATTATTTATCTGAAGCGGTCCTGGGCCGGCCTTGCTCCCCCCCGTGTGTGACTCAGGGATCGAGGATCCTGCCCTCGCACTACGAGGATGTGGTGGAGGAGAGGAGCATCGAGCATCTGTGTGGGTACCCACTGTGCAACAACGCCCTGGTCAACGTAAGCACCACACCACACACCATACCACACCACACACCACACTACACACTACACACCACACACCACACACCACACTACACACCACACAAAACCACACACCACAACTACACACCACACTACACACCACACAAAACCACACACCACACTAAACACCACACACCACACTACACACCACACAAAACCACACACCACACTACACACCACACAAAACCACACACCACACTACACACCACACAAAACCACACACCACACTACACACCACACCACCGCACACCACCGCACATCACCATACCACCACTCCACACCTGTGTGGGTACCCACTGCCCTGGTCAACGTCTGCACCGCACCACACCAGCACAGCCTACACCATGCCCTACACCGACGCCGTACACCACACCACACACCGCACACCACATACCACACCACACATACACACCACACACCGCACCACACACCACACCACACACCACATACCACACATACACCATTCCCTCAGCTCCGATTAGCACAGTTGGCTACGTGGTGGCCGTGCCTCGCAGGTTCCCAAGCAGCGCTACGCCATCTCGGTGCGGAGCAACAGAGTGTACGACATCACCCGGAGAAAGGTGCTCACGCACACACACACACACGGGCACACACACGGGCACACACACACACACACACGGGCACACACACGAGCACACACACGAGCACACGCACACGGGCACACGCACACGGGCACACACATGCACGGGCACACGCACACACACGGGCACACACACGGGCACACACACGGGTACACGCACACGGGCACACACACGGGTACACGCACACGGGCACACACACGGGCACACACACACACGGACGGGCACACGCACACACACACATGGGCACACGCACACACACACGGGCGCACGCACACGGGCACACGCACACACACACACGGGCACACGCACACACAGGCACACGGGCACACGCACACACACACGGGCACACGCGCACACACACACACGGGCACACACACACACGGGCACACACACACACGGGCACACACACACACGGGCACACGCACACACACACACGGGCACACGCACACACATACGCGGGCACACACACACGGGCACACGCACACACACACACGGGCACACACACACGGGCACACGCACACACACACACGGGCACACACACACGGGCACACGCACACACACACACGGGCACACACACACGGGCACACGCACACACACACACGGGCACACACACACGGGCACACGCACGTTTACGACGCAACGCACTGCTCCAGGTACTCATTTGAGGCTGAGTCGACCTAGGAGAGGCCCAGGACCGGTTCAGATAAATCCTAAATCCTCACCGGCGTTCGTGGCCGTGAGCGGGCATCGAAACTCGGGTCGCCGGGTTCGTAGCGCAGCCTGCGTAGGTCTGCACGGGGAATCGGTGCTACTGCTGCTGCTGCTGCTCGCTAACAGCGCTTGCACCCCACGGTCTGTTAAAGCTACACACAGATTATGGTCTTTTATTCAAGTAGCGCGTTAGAAGTCAGATTTCTCTCCCCCGTTGTTTGTGTCCTAAAATCTACCCGGGTACCACATGTCAGCTTTCTATCTTGCCGGCAAGGAGCCTAGAACAGGGGTGACAATGACCCAAAACACACGGCCAAGGCAACAAAGGAGTGGCTCAAGAAGAAGCACATTAAGGTCTAGCCAGTCTCCAGAGATGAGAGAGAGGCAGGGGGAGATGAGAGAGAGAGACAGGGGGAGATGAGAGAGAGAGGCAGGGGGAGATGAGAGAGAGAGAGGCAGGGGGAGATGAGAGAGAGGCAGGGGGAGATAACAGAGAGGCAGGGGGAGATGAGAGAGAGGCAGGGGAGATGAGAGGGAGAGGCAGGGGGAGATGAGAGAGGCAGGGGGAGATGAGAGGGAGAGGCAGGGGGAGATGACAGAGAGGCAGGGGGAGATGAGAGAGAGAGGCAGGGGGAGATGAGAGAGAGGCAGGGGGAGATGAGAGAGGCAGGGGGAGATGAGAGAGAGGCAGGGGGAGATGAGAGAGAGGCAGGGCGAGATGAGAGAGAGAGGCAGGGGAGATGAGAGAGAGAGGCAGGGGGAGATGAGAGAGAGGCAGGGGGAGATGAGTGGCCTAGCCAGTCTCCAGACCTTAATCCCATAGAAAATCTGTGGAGGGAGCTGAAGGTTCGAGTTGCCAAACCGTCAGCCTCGAAACCTTAATGACTTGGAGAAGATCTGCAAAGAGGAGTGGGACAAAATCCCTCCTGAGATGTGTGCAAACCTGGTGGCCAACTACAAGAAACGTCTGACCTCTGTGATTGCCAACAAGGGTTTTGCCACCAAGTACTAAGTCATGTTTTGCAGAGGGGTCAAATACTTATTTCCCTCATTAAAATGGCAATCAATTTTTAACATTTTTGACATACGTTTTTACGGATTTTTTGTTGTTATTCTGTCTCTCACTGTTCAAATAAACCTACCATTAAAATTATAGACTGATCATTTCTTTGTCAGTGGGCAAACGTACAAATCAGCAGGGGATCAAATACTTTTTTCCCTCACTTTAGATAGATAGTGGTCGCGAAAGCCTGCTACTATGCGCTAGGCGAAAGATCCTGTGTGAGATGCACAATGTTCTGTCTCTCCCTTCCTCACTCCGTCAGAGTTTCTGCAGCAACTTCTGCATGCGTGCCTCCAACTCCTTCCTCGCCCAGATCCCCAGCTCACCCATGTGGCACCGCCCGCATGAACCGTGGGTTCACCCGCTCACCCGCCCGCTCACTTACCCACTCACTCACCCGCTCACCCGCCCACTCGCTCACCCGCTCACTCAACGCCCACTCACTCACTCGCCCACTCATCCATCCACACACTCGCTCACTCAACCGTTCGCTCACCCGCCCGCTCACTCAACAACTCACTCACTCACCCATTCATCCACCCGTTCACCCACCCACTCACGCATTCACTCAACCACTCACTCACCCACTCACTGATCCACTCACCCACTCGCTCACCAACTCACGAATTCACTCACTCGCTCACCCACTCACGCTTCCACTGACTCGCTCACCTGCTCACTCACCCATTCGCTCACCCACCCACTCACTCAACCACTCACCCACTTACCCACTCAGATCCCCAACTCACCCATGTGGCACCACCCACACGAGCCATGGGTTCACCCGCTCACCCGCCTGCTCACCCGCCCGCTCACCCGCCCGCTCACCCGCTCGCTCGCTCGCTCACTCAACCACTCATCACCCACTGCCGCACTCTTATCACACAATCACTCGCTCGCCCGCTCACTGACTCATCTGCTCACCCACTCAGTCACGCACTCACTCACTCACCCACGCACCCACTCACGCATTCACTCGCTCGCTCGCTCGATCACTCACTCACAGACTCACTCACCCACTCACCCACCCACTCACCCACTCATCCACCCACTCACCCACTTACCCACCCACACACTCACTCACCCACTCACCCACCCACTCACCCACCCACTCACCCACCCACTCACTCGCTCACCCACCCACCCACTCACCCACCCACTCACCCACCCACTCACCCACTCACCCACTCACCCACTCACTCGCCCACTCGCCCACTCACCCACCCACTCACTCCCTCAACCACTCACCCACCCACTCAGCCACGCTCTTACTCACTCGCCCACTAACATGTGTACGCGTGTGCCGTGTGTACATGTGTTTGAGCGCGTGTACGCGTGTACGCGTGTGTGCGTGTACGTGTGTGTGTGTGTGTGCCTTGTCCCTCGATACCATCAGGACCCCGAACTTCAAGCTGCTGCGGGACGGTGAGAGGTGAGAGGTTACCCCCCTCGCCCCCTTCCCCCCTCCCCTTCACCCCCCCCCCATCCCCCCTGGGGATGTTGCCGTGGACGCGGCCAGTTGGAGGCAGTCGTCACCTCCAGCAACGACAGCAGAAGGGGGCACAACGAGCGGAGCGCCGGGCGGCCAATGAGCAGCAAGTTGGCACAGCAGGGGGCACGGGTGGCGCATCTGTCAGTCGTCTCGGTCGGTCGACGCGTGGCACCACGTGGGAGCTGTCCCGTGACCTGCTGCACCTAGCCTGGCACAGCAGGGGGCACGGGTGGCGCATCTGTCAGTCGTCTCGGTCGGTCGACGCATGGCACCACGTGGGAGTTGTCCCGTGACCTGCTGCACCTAGCCTGGCACAGCAGTGACTTCCTCGTGCACCTACCCTGTGTGTCTGTGTGTGTCACTGCATGTCACTGTGTGTGTCTGTGTGTGTCACTGTGTGTGTCACTGTGTGTGTCTGTGTGGCATCGTCCCCGACTCCTCCTGATGTCGAGGGTAAATGGACGAGGTTTAGGACTGTGACTCATGCAGCTGCAATGGCTGCTTTGGGTACGCGGTCCAGACCTCCCCAGAGACCCTGGCTGACAGAGGAGGTGTTCAGGATGGTTGAGAAAAAGCGACAGGCCCACTGTCATCGGCTACAGAATCCCACGTCAGAGAATGAGGAGGCTTACCGCAGCCTTCGCTCGGAGGTTCGGAGAGCCGTGAGGCACTGCAAGGATGGGTGGTGGTCGCGGGTTGCTGAGGAGATGGAGTCTGCCTCAGTGGCCCGTGATCACAAATCTCTATTGAACTCCATCAAAAAAGTAATCTGCAGCGCCACACCTATTACCATCATTAGGGGAAAAAACGGTGACCCAATCTCCGACCCCCAGGAACAGGTTTGCAGATTTGCTGAGCACTTCTGTGAGGTCCTGGGGGAGGGAAAATCCCTCAGCCAGGAGAACATCATGGCACAAAGTGAGGATGACCCTGCTGAGGCTGCGATGCCTCAAATATTGGAAGAAGTCACCCCCTGTGAGTGGCTGGCTGAGGTGCCATCTGTTGAGGAAGTACTGAAGGCGATCCGGAGTCTGAGACCAGGAAAGGCAGCGGGCAGAGATGATCTCCCAAGCGAAATGCTGAGGGAAGGCGGCGTTTGTCCACAGACTGCCCTATATGACATCATAACAACAGTCTGGATCACTGGACGGGTTCCGCAGGATTGTAAGGATGCCCTGGTGGTCCCCCTTTTTAAGAAGGGGGACCGCACAGACTGTAACAACTACAGGGGCATCTCGCTCCTCAGTGTGCCGGGAAAGGTTCTGGCAAGGATTATTCAACATCGCCTTGCCAGGCACGCTGAGGAGAGGTTTGCGGAGCCCCAATGAGGTTTCAGGAAAGGGCGGTCCTGCACAGATGCCATATTTTCTGTCCGTCTGCTACAGCAGAGGTGTAGGGAATTCCAACAAGACCTACATCTCTGCTTTATTGACCTGGTCAAGGCCTATGATACCATCAGTAGGCCTGGGCTCTGGGTTGTTCTTCGTGCTTTTGGAGTACATTGACCCTCTGCTCACGATCATTAAGGACCTTCATTATGGTGAGCGGGCCCGGGTAAAACTACGTGGCCGGGAGTCAAGAGCCATTCTCTGTACACCTTGGGGTGCGACAGGGATGTCCTCTGGCTCCCACATTATTTAACATCTATTTTGACCACGTAGTTCGTGAAGCCTTCAATAGCTGTACTGGGGGAATCTCCATATGGTACAGATATAATGGGAGGCTGATCGATGCCCGGGTGCGGTCATACATAACGTGCTCAACCACGTTATGTATGCTGATGATTTGGTAATAGCTGCTCATTCAGAGGAGGAGTTGGAGACGCTGCTGCTGAGACTGGAGCGTGCCACTAAGAGGTGGGGCCTTACCATCAGCCCCACCAAAACTAAGCACCTGCCTGGGTATTTTGTACCATCGGACACTCCACCCCCACAACTCCCAATCGGTGATGGGGCAGTTGTGGAGAGAGTGGAGAGTTTCCCATACCTGGGCAGTGTGCTTATGACTGGCTCCAGTTTAACAACAGAGATCTCACTCCGAATCAGTCGAGCGGCAATATATTTTCATCGGTTGCGTAACGCTGTGTGGAAGCTACCTGGTCTGTCGCTCTGCACTAAGCTTCAGGTCTTCTCGGCCACGGTTATTCCCTCCCTTCTCTACGCTTGCGAAACGTGGACCCGCCTAATGGAACATCTTCGCCGGTTAGAAACATTTAGGCTGGCCTGCCTACGATCCATCCTGGGTTTAACCAGGCTGGATTGTGTGAGGAGCTCACAAATCCTTGAAAGATCTGGGCAAGGTCCCATCGGTGAGCTCCTCCGGCGGGCAAGGCTGCGATGGCTGGGTCATGTAGCCCGCATGCCCAGCCACCGCATGCCGAAACAGCTTTTGTTCGGCCGGATTGAGGGGGCTAAGCAGGCGCGGCACGGGCTAGAGAAGAGATGGAGTGATGTGGTACAGGAGGACGTGGAGCTGAGTGGACTTGCCGATGACTGGTACCAGCGGTGTCAAGATCGGCCTCTGTGGAGGAGGCTCGTGAAGGATGCTACTGGGCAGTTGGAGGTAGTCGCCCTCCAACGACAACGGAGGGCGGAGGAGCGACGCTCACAACAACGAGCGGAGCGCCGGGTGGCTAAAGCACAGCAGGTTGGCACAGTAGGGGGCACAGGTGGTGCATCAGCCAGTCATCTCAGTCAGTCGACCCGTGGCACCTGGGTCTGCCCCGTGACCTCCTGCCAGCGGGCGTTCGACACTTCACGTGGCCTCAGGGTGCACATAGCCTGGCACAAGCGTCGTGGTGACGTCAACGCCACTTAGTGGCGAATGGAGGTTGTTGTGTGCTTGTGTGTGTCTGTGTGTGCCTGTGTGTGCTTGTGTGTGTCACTGTGTGTGTCTGTGTGTGTCACTGTGTGTGTCACTGTGTGTGTCTGTGTGGGAGCGGTGGGACATCGGTTAGCGCTACGCTGCTCTATGAACCCGACGACCAGAGTTCGATTCCCGCTCACGGCCAACACCTGTGACGATTATCTGAGTCGGTCCTGGGCCTCCCCTATGAGTACCTGGTGTAGCGTAGTGAACATGGCCACTGGGGGAGACAAAGGCGGCCGGGCGTGGTTGCTGGCCACCCACCCCCCTCCGTGTGCCGCCACAGTGCCGGTAGCCTTCACAGGTGCCGCTCGCTAACAGCACTTGCCCCGACAGTCTGTCACAGGCTACACGGGGGACCTTTGTTTTTGTGTGCGAGCAGCGGGCTGCCCGGCGAAGAGGTGCGGCTCAGCGTGGAGCGGCTCTCCCTGGGGGACGTGGAGCAGCCCCCCACGCCGCCCCCCACGGCCGCCCCCCACGCTGCCCCCCACACTGCCCCCCACGGCACCTCCAGCGGAGATGACGACGATGATGATGACGACGACGTGGAGCAGCCCCCCACGGCCGCCCCCCACGCCGCCCCCCACACTGCCCCCCACGGGGCCCCCCACGCTGCCCCCCACGGCACCTCCAGCGGAGATGACGACGACGACGACGACGTGGAGGAGGTCGCACGGCCTGCACCTGCGGACCCTTGCACCCAGAAGCTGGAGGTGGCAGTGCCGCCCCCCCCTTGCTGCCGCCCCCCGCCGCTCGTCTCCGTGACGACGGCGATGACGGCGACGGCGACGACGGCGCCCCGGGACTCGCGTGGGATAAGCCGGCAGGGGGCGGCGGCGCTGGCGGCCGCCATCGCTCGCTCGCGCGCCAGGGCGCCGCTGTCACCGCGGGGCACCGCCGTCGCCGCCGCCGCCGCCGCCGCACCCGCGCCGCCGTGCCCGCTGGCGGTGGAGGGGGCGCCGGCGCCGGGGGACGCCGCCGCCGGCGCCGGCGGGGACGGTGTCGGTGTCGGTGCGGTGGAGGCGGTGGAGGCGGTGGAGGCGGTGGAGGCGGCGCGCCGGGCGCTGAGCGAGTGGGCGACGCGCGACGCCGTCGCTCTCCTCCTCCGTCGCGACGCTGCCCGGCGTGACGAGCAGCTGGATGAGGACGACCTCCCGGCCCCCGTCACCGCCGCCGTAGCAGCGGCGGCGGCGGTGACGGCGGCGCCGCGGGTGAGAGAGACGCGGAGTCGTCGCCCGCTCCCAAACCTCATCGCCCCCCACCCACCACCACCACCACCACCCACCCACCCTCACCACCACCACCCACCCACCACCACCACCACCCACCCACCCTCACCACGACCACCCACCCACCCTCACCACCACCACCACCCACCCTCACCACCACCACCACACACCCTCACCACCACCACACACCCTCACCACCACCCACCCTCACCACCACCACCCACCCACCCACCCTCACCACCACCACCCACCCACCCACCCTCACCACCACCACCCACCCACCCACCCTCACCACCACCACCCACCTACCCACCCTCACCACCACCACCCACCCACCCTCACCACCACCACACACCCACCCTCACCACCACCACCCACCCACCCACCCTCACCACCACCCACCCTCACCACCACCCACCCACCCACCCTCACCACCACCACCCACCCACCCTCACCACCACCACACACCCTCACCACCACCACCCACCCTCACCACCACCACCCACCCACCCTCACCACCACCCACCCTCACCACCACCACCACCCTCACCACCACCACCACCCACCCTCACCACCACCACCACCACCCTCACCACCACCACACACCCTCACCACCACCACCACCCACCCTCACCACCACCACCACACACCCTCACCACCACCACCCACCCACCACCCACCCTCACTACCACCACCACCCACCCTCACCACCACCACCCACCCACCCTCACCACCACCACCCACCCACCCTCACCACCACCACCACCACCCACCCTCACCACCACCACCACCACCCCCACCCACCCACCCTCACCACCACCACCACCACCCCCACCCACCCACCCTCACCACCACCACCACCACCCACCCTCACCACCACCACCCACCCTCCCTCACCACCACCACCCCCACCCACCCACCCTCACCACCACCACCACCACCCACCCACCCTCACCACCACCCACCCACCCTCACCACCACCAACCCCACCCACCCTCACCACCACCACCCCCACCCACCCTCACCACCACCCCCACCCACCCACCCTCACCACCACCCACCCTCACCACCACCACCCAACCTCACCACCCCCCCCCCCCCCCCCCAACATCACCACCCACCGCCATCGCTGATGAGGACAACGCACGCACAGCATAGCCCAGAGGCAGCTGATGCACCTGTGTGTCTGTGTATGCGTGTGTGTCTGTGTGTGTGTGTGTCTGTGTGTGTGTGTGGCAAAACAACCCCCTACCTCGCGGTGCCGGACAGGCAACTCTGTCGTGGACAGTGCTGTGGGGGGAGATCCAATTTTGATTGGCTCCTCCCCTCATGGCATATGTGTCCACCACAGGGGCTAAACGGGGGCTCTGGACGGGTGCGAGGGGCTGGTAACCCCTCCACCTTCAATTAATTACCACGAAACCACGAATTAAACTGAAATATGTAACTAATAAGCTTGTGCCGGAGGCCCCGGGGGGCCAGGGGTCTATGACGTCTCCTGGCCAAACCCCAATTGGCGGAGCCAGGAGATTGAATACCTACCCTCGGGGCTACTCCAGAAACAACGAAAAGCCACTACGGGTGGCCACGTGGAATGTTCGAACGCTCACTGCAGAGGAGAGGCTGCCACTCCTCTGTCGGGAGCTGGACCGGTACCGCCTGGATCTATGCGGCATTCAGGAGGTCCGGTGGACCGGCTCTGGCTCCTGCCACCATGAGGGGTGGACAGTCCTCTACTCGGGGCAGCAGACTGCCAAACAACAGGGTGTGGCTCTTCTTTTGAACAAAAGAATGAAGGGGGCGTGGGAGTGTGGCGGTGAGGTGTGGGAAGCTGTAAGCCCCAGGCTACTTGGGCTCGCCTTCCCATCAACCAGAGGCGAGGAATGGTGGTCGTTGTTACTTATGCCCCCACCGAAGATGAACATCCGTGGAGGGATGCAGGCAAAGCCGATGAGTCAGATGCCTTCTATGACCTCCTGTCACAGGTGCTGGCTAAAGTGGCCCCTCGGGATAGAGTCATCATGTTGGGTGACTTCAATGCCCGAGTTGGTCATGATACTGGCACCTGGTCTGGAGTGATTGGAGGGCATGGGCCAGATCAGCTCAATAACAACGGTAGGAGGCTGCTAGATTTTTGTGCAGCCCATGGGCTTGTAATTACCAACACGCTGTTCCGGCATCGGCGCATCCACACAACATCATGGATGCATGCCGGGTCCAAGCAAGAACATCTGTTGGACTACATAGTGACGGACCAGCGAATGCGAGCCCATGTCCTTGACACCAGGACCTACCGTGGAGCTGATCTGCCCTCTGACCATCGACTAGTCATCTGTAAGATGCGCCTGCCATTCTTCCACTCCGGTGGTGGGTGTACACCCAGGACCCCATTCCAACATAAAGTGGCCTGGTCTCAGTTATCTGATGAAAGTTGCAAGCGAGAATTTCATCATCGCTTGCGGCTGGGGTTGGCATCGTCCCCGACTCCTCCTGATGTCGAGGGTAAATGGGCGAGGTTTAGGACTCTGACTCATGCAGCTGCAATGGCTGCTTTGGGTATGCGGTCCAGACCTCCCCAGAGACCCTGGCTGACAGAGGAGGTGTTCAGGATGGTTGAGAAAAAGCGACAGGCCCACTGTCATCGGCTACAGAATCCCACGTCAGAGAATGAGGAGGCTTACCGCAGCCTTCGCTCGGAGGTTCGGAGAGCCGTGAGGCGCTGCAAGGATGGGTGGTGGTCGCGGGTTGCTGAGGAGATGGAGTCTGCCTCAGTGGCCCGTGATCACAAATCTCTATTTAACTCCATCAAAAAAGTAACCTGCAGCGCCACACCTATTACCATCATTAGGGGAAAAAACGGTGATCCAATCTCCGACCCCCAGGAACAGGTTCGCAGATTTGCTGAGCATTTCTGTGAGGTCCTGGGGGAGGGAAAATCTCTCAGCCAGGAAAACATTGTGGCACAAAGTGAGGATGACCCTGCTGAGGCTGCGGTGCCTCAAATATTGGAAGAAGTCACCCCCTGTGAGTGGCTGGCTGAGGTGCCATCTGCTGAGGAAGTATTGAAGGCGATCCGGAGTCTGAGACCAGGAAAGGCAGCGGGCAGAGATGATCTCCCAAGCGAAATGCTGAGGGAGGGTGGCGTTTGTGCACAGACTGCCCTATATGACATCATAACAGTCTGGACCACTGGACGGGTTCCGCAGGATTGGAAGGATGCCCTGGTGGTCCCCCTTTTTAAGAAGGGGGACCGCACAGACTGTAACAACTACAGGGGCATCTCACTCCTCAGTGTGCCGGGAAAGGTCCTGGCAAGGATTATTCAGCATCGCCTTGCCAGGCACGCTGAGGAGAGGCTTGCGGAGCCCCAATGCGGTTTCAGGAAAGGGCGGTCCTGCACAGATGCCATATTTTCTGTCCGTCTGCTACAGCAGAGGTGTAGGGAATTCCAACAAGACCTACATCTCTGCTTTATTGACCTGGTCAAAGCCTATGATACCATCAGTAGGCCTGGGCTCTGGGTCGTTCTTCGTGCTTTTGGAGTACCTGACCCTCTGCTCACGATCATTAAGGACCTTCATGATGGTGAGCGGGCCCGGGTAAAACTACGTGGCCGGGAGTCAGAGCCATTCCCTGTACACCTTGGGGTGCGACAGGGATGTCCTCTGGCTCCCACATTATTTAACATCTATTTTGACCACGTAGTTCGTGAAGCCTTCAATAGCTGTACCGGGGGAATCTCCATATGGTACAGATATAATGGGAGGCTAATCGATGCCCGGGTGCGGTCAAAGGATGGCTCCCTATTGCTCAACCACGTTATGTATGTTGATGATTTGGTAATAGCTGCTCAGTCAGAGGAGGAGTTGGAGACGCTGCTGCTGAGACTGGAGCGTGCCACTAAGAGGTCGGGCCTTACCATCAGCTTCACCAAAACTAAGCACCTGCCTGGGTATTTTGTACCATCGGACACTCCACCCCCACAACTCCCAATCGGTGATGGGGCAGTTGTGGAGAGAGTGGAGAGTTTCCCATACCTGGGCAGTGTGCTTATGACTGGCTCCAGTTTAACAGCAGAGGTTTCACTCCGAATCAGTCGAGCGGCAATATCTTTTCATCGGTTGCGTAACGCTGTGTGGAAGCTACCTGGTCTGTCGCTCCGCACTAAGCTTCAGGTCTTCTCGGCCACGGTCATTCCCTCCCTTCTCTACGCTTGCGAAACGTGGACCCCCCTAATGGAACATCTTCGCCGGTTGGAAATATTTAGGCTGGCCTGCCTACGATCCATCCTGGGTTTAACCAGACTGGATTGTGTGAGGAGCTCACAAATCCTTGAAAGATCTGGGCAGGGTCCCATCGGTGAGCTCCTCTGGCAGGCAAGGCTGCGATGGCTGGGTCATGTAGCCCGCATGCCCAGCCACCGCATGCCGAAACAGCTTTTGTTTGGCCGGATTGAGGGGGCTAAGCGGGCGCGGCACGGGCTAGAGAAGAGATGGAGTGATGTGGTACAGGAGGACGTGGAGCTGAGTGGACTTGCCGATGACTGGTACCAGCGGTGTCAAGATCGGCCTCTGTGGAGGAGGCTCGTGAAGGATGCTACTGGGCAGTTGGAGGCAGTCACCCTCCAACAACAACGGAGGGCGGAGGAGCGACGCTCAGAACGAGCGGAGCGCCGGGTGGCTAAAGCACAGCAGGTTGGCACAGTAGGGGGCACAGGTGGTGCATCAGCCAGTCATCTCAGTCAGTCGACCCGTGGCACCTGGGTCTGCCCCGTGACCTCCTGCCAGCGGGCGTTCGACACTTCACGTGGCCTCAAGGTGCACATAGCCTGGCACAAGCGTCGTGGTGACGTCACCGCCACTTAGTGGCGAATGGCGGTTGTTGTTGTTGTTGTGTGTCTGTGTGTGTGTCTGTGCGTGTGTCTGTGCATGTGTGTGTGTCTGTGTGTGTCTGTGCGTCCGTCTGTGGTCTGTGCGCGTGTGTGCGTGTGTCTGTCTGTGTGTGTCTGTGCGTGTGTCTGTGCATGTGTCTGTGCGCGTGTGTCTGTGTATCTGTGCGTGTGTCTGTGCGTGTGTCTGTGCGTGTATGTCTGTGCGTGTGCCTGTGTATCTGTGCGTGTGTCTGCGCGTGTGTCTGCGCGTATGTCTGTGCGCTTGTGTCTGTGTGTGTCTGCGCGTGTCTGCGCGTGTGTGCGTGTCTGTGTGTGCGAGTTGTGATTGTGTAAACAGCAGGTGGTGCTGTTTGCTACACTCCCTGTGCGTGAGACAGCAACTCCCTCCCTCCCCTCCCTCTCTCCCTCCCCTCCCTCCCCTCCCTCTCTCCCCTCCCTTACTCCTTCCCCTCCCTCTCTCCCCTCCCTCTCTCCCCTCCCCTCCCTCCCCTCCCTCTCTCCCCTCCCTCTCTCCCTCCCCTCCCTTCCTCCCCTCCCTCCCTCCCTCCCCTCCTCTCCCCTCCCTCCCTCCCCTCCCTCCCTCCCCTCCCTCCCTCCCTCCCTCCCTCCCCTCCCTCCCTCCCTCCCTCCCCTCCCCTCCCTCCCCTCCCTCCCTCCCTCCCTACCTCCCTCCCTCCCCTCCCTCCCTCCCCTCCCTCCCTCCCTCCCCTCCTCTCCCCTCCCTCCCTCCCTCCCTCCCTACCTCCCTCCCTCCCCTCCCTCCCTCCCTCCCTCCCTCCCTCCCTCCCTCCCTCCCTCCCTCCCCTTCCTCTCTCCCCTCCCTTCCCTCCCCTCCCCTCCCTCCCTCCCTCCCTCCCCTTCCTCTCTCCCCTCCCCTCCCTCCCCTCCCTCCCCTCCCTCCCTCCCTTCCTCCCTCCCCTCCCTCCCTCCCTCCCTCCCTCCCTCACCTTCCCCCCTCCCTCCCCTCCCTCTCTCCCCTCCCCTCCCTCCCTCCCCTCCCTCCCTCCCTCCCTCCCCTCCCTCCCTCCCTCCCCTCCCTCCCTCCCTCCCTCCCTCCCCTCCCTACCTCCCTCCCTCACCTTCCCCCCTCCCTCCCCTCCCTCTCTCCCCTCCCCTCCCTCCCTCCCCTCCCTCCCTCCCTCCCCTCCCTCCCTCCCTCCCTCCCTCCCCTCCCTCCCTCCCTCCCTCCCTCCCTCCCTCCCCTCCCTCCCTCCCTCCCTCCCTCCCTCCCTACCTCCCTCCCTCCCTCCCTCCCTCCCCTCCCTCCCTCCCTCCCTCCCTACCTCCCTCCCCTCTCTCCCTCCCTCCCTCCCCTTCCTCTCTCCCCTCCCCTCCCTTCCCTCCCCTCCCTTCCCTCCCCTCCCCTCCCTCCCTCCCTCCCTCCCCTCCCTCCCCTTCCTCTCTCCCCTCCCCTACCTCCCCTCCCTCCCTCCCTTCCTCCCTCCCCTCCCTCCCCTTCCTCTCTCCCCTCCCTCCCTCCCTCCCCTCCCTCCCTCCCTCCCTCCCTCACCTTCCCCCCTCCCTCCCCTCCCTCTCTCCCCTCCCCTCCCTCCCCTCCCTCCCTCCCCTCCCTCCCTCCCTCCCCTCCCTCCCCTTCCTCTCTCCCCTCCCCTCCCTCCCCTCCCTCCCTCCCTCCCTCCCTCCCTCCCCTCCCTCCCTCCCTCCCTCACCTTCCCCCCTCTCTTCCCTCCCCTCCCTCCCTCCCTCACCTTCCCCCCTCTCTTCCCTCTGCTTGTTGCTGAGGTTGACGGTTCGAATCCCAACGGCCACCCTGGTTAACACCGCGGTAACTGTTTTAACGCGTGGGGCTTTCGTGACCAACATTGTCCACTCTGGAGGGGGGTTTTACGACGATGTTGACGACGACGATGTTGACGCTGACGACGATGTTGACGATGTTGACGACGACGACGACGTTGACGACGACGACGCTGACGACGATGTTGACGACGATGTTGACGACGAAGTTGACGACGAAGTTGATGACGATGTTGATGACGATGACGACGACGTTGATGACGATGTTGATGACGATGTTGATGACGATGACGACGACGTTGACGACGACGTTGATGACGATGTTGATGACGATATTGATGACGATGTTGACGACGATGTTGACGACGACGTTGACGACGACGTTGACGACGATGTTGACGACGCCGATGCTGACGACGACGACGATGTTGACGACGATGTTGACGACGACGATGTTGATGACGACGACGATGTTGACGACGACCCTGACGACGATGTTGACGACGACGCTGACGACGCTGACGACGACGCTGGAACACATGGAGTCCCGCGCACTTTGCCCCCTTCTCACCGCGTGAACCCCTCTGCCCCCCCCCTCCCCGCCCCCCCCCAGGCGACTCGAGGGACTGTGGGCAGCGGCGGAGCGGCGTGTCCACCCCCACCCCCACCCCCCGCCGGGGTCGCCGGGGTCACGAGCCGCCCCGTGCCGGACTACGCGGCGCTGCGGAGGGACACTCGGGCGGCTGAGCTCCGCGTGACGGAGTTCTACGGCGGGCGCCTCGCGCCGCACGGCAGCGGCGGGGACGAGGTTCGGAGGTCGATCACGGGGGGTGGGGGGGGCATTTGGGGGGGGTGGGGGGGGCATTTGGGGGGGGGGGGGGGGGGGGGGGTGACGAGCCAAACTTCGCGTTGAGTTGGGCCTTGACGCGGTAAAATGTTGAACGGTTGATGGCTTTAGTGTTGGCGGCACTTGGCCCCCGTGCGGAGTGTTTGGGGCTGCGCGGGGAGAGGGGGGGGAGAGTGACCTTGGTCTGTGTGCAGGAGGTGGATGAGAAGGAGTGGGTGCCGTGCCTGGTGACATAAATCAAGTAGTTTCTCGTTTTGTTGTTGGTTATTTCGGTAAAGTCACGCAGGTAGAAAATAGAAATCAAATGTAAATGTTTTTTTTTAATTCATTTTTTGTTGTATTTTTATTTTTCATTCGAAAAAAAAAATAGCTTGCATTTGTTTTCATTTAATTTTATTTTTTTTGTATCTACGTCACTTTACCGATAGAACCACCAAGAATGTTAATTCCCTGCAGTCACGAAAGTTTTAAGTAAAAATTTTTGCTTAAGTTTTTTAGTTGTGTGCAGCTTTGCTTTGAACAGCGCTTGCCCCCGGCGGGTTGTTTGAGGCTACACGGGGGACCTTTGTCTGTGTGTAGGAGGAGGTGGACGAGGAGGAGGACTACTCCGTGGTAGTCCCTGCAGTCGATTCCATCTCCCAGTGCCTCATCCGACGGCGCCTCGTGGTGCAGCAGCTGAACGGAGCGTGCGTAGCCCCGTGCACACAGCGCAGCGATGCTCAGAGCGCTACCCACAGCACCAGCCAAAGCGCTAGCCACATGGCTAACCACAGCGCTACCCACAGCACCAGCCAAAGCGCTCGCCACAGGGTTAGCCACAGCACCAGCCAAAGCGCTAGCCACAGGGTTAGCCACAGCACCAGCCAAAGCGCTCGCTACATTGCTAACCACAGCGCTACCCACAGCACTACCCACAGCACCAGCCAAAGCGCTCGCCACAGCGTTAGCCACAGCACCAGCCAAAGCGCTAGCCACAGCGCTACCCACAGCACTACCCACAGCACCAGCCAAAGCGTTAGCCACAGCACCAGCCAAAGCGCTAGCCACAGGGTTAGCCACAGCACCAGCCAAAGCGCTCGCTACATCGCTAACCACAGCGCTACCCACAGCACTGGCCAGAGCACTCGCCACAGGGTTAGCCACAGCACTGGCTAGAGCACTCGCCACAGGGTTAGCCACAGCACCAGCCAAAGCGCTAGCCACATCGCTACCCACAGCGCTACCCACAGCACTGGCCAGAGCGCTACTCAGACCGTTACTCTGGCCAGAGCGTTACTCACAGCTGCCCAAAGCGCCAGCCACAGCGCCAGCACCAGCCACAGCACTACCCACAGCACTGGTCAGAGCGCTACCCGCAGTGCTGCCCACACCGCCAGCCACAGTGCCAGCCACAGCGCTAGCCACAGTGCCAGCCACAGCGCTAACTACAGCGCTACCTACATAGCTAGCCACAGCGCTACCTACATAGCTAGCCACAGTGCTACCTACATAGCTAGCCACAGCGCTACCTACATAGCTAGCCACAGCGCTACCTACATAGCTAGCCACAGCGCTACCTACATAGCTAGCCACAGCGCTACCTACATAGTTAGCTACAGCACTACCTACATAGCTAGCCACAGTGCTACCTACATAGCTAGCCACAGTGCTACCCACATAGATAGCTACAGTGCTACCCACATAGCTAGCCACAGCGCTACCTGCATAGCTAGCCACAGCGCTACCTACATAGCTAGTCACAGCGCTACCTACATAGCTAGCTACAGCGCTACCCACATAGCTAGCCACAGCGCTACCCACATAGCTAGTCACAGCGCTACCCACATAGCTAGCCACAGCGCTACCTACATAGCTAGCCACAGCGCTACCTACATAGCTAGCCACAGTGCTACCCACGTAGCTAGTCACAGCGCTACCTACATAGCTAGCCACAGCGCTACCTACATAGCTAACTACCCACATAGCTAGCCACAGCGCTACCTACATAGCTAGCCACAGCGCTACCCACATAGCTAGTCACAGCGCTACCTACATAACTAGCCACAGCGCTACCTACATAGCTAGCCACAGCGCTACCTACATAGCTAGCCACAGTGCTACCTACATAGCTAGCCACAGCGCTACCTACATAGCTAGCCACAGCGCTACCTACATAGCTAGCCACAGTGCTACCTACATAGCTAGTCACAGTGCTACCTACATAGCTAGCCACAGTGCTACCTACATAGCTAGCCACAGCGCTACCCACATAGCTAGCCACAGCGCTACCCACATAGCTAGTCACAGCGCTACCCACATAGCTAGCCACAGCGCTACCTACATAGCTAGCCACAGCGCTACCTACATAGCTAGCCACAGTGCTACCCACGTAGCTAGTCACAGCGCTACCTACATAGCTAGCCACAGCGCTACCTACATAGCTAACTACCCACATAGCTAGCCACAGCGCTACCTACATAGCTAGCCACAGCGCTACCCACATAGCTAGTCACAGCGCTACCTACATAACTAGCCACAGCGCTACCTACATAGCTAGCCACAGCGCTACCTACATAGCTAGCCACAGTGCTACCTACATAGCTAGCCACAGCGCTACCTACATAGCTAGCCACAGTGCTACCTACATAGCTAGCCACAGCGCTACCCACATAGCTAGCCACAGCGCTACCTACATAGCTAGTCACAGCGCTACCCACATAGCTAGCCACAGTGCTACCTACATAGCTAGCCACAGCGCTACCTACATAGCTAGTCACAGCGCTACCCACATAGCTAGCCACAGTGCTACCCACATAGCTAGCCACAGCGCTACCTACATAGCTAGTCACAGTGCTACCTACATAGCTAGCCACAGTGCTACCTACATAGCTAGCCACAGCGCTACCCACATAGCTAGCCACAGCGCTACCCACATAGCTAGCCACAGCGCTACCCACATAGCTAGTCACAGCGCTACCCACATAGCTAGTCACAGCGCTACCCACATAGCTAGTCACAGCGGTACCCACATAGCTAGCCACAGCGCTACCTACATAGCTAGCCACAGTGCTACCTACATAGCTAGCCACAGCGCTACCCACATAGCTAGTCACAGCGCTACCCACATAGCTAGCCACAGCGCTACCTACATAGCTAGTCACAGCGCTACCTACATAGCTAGCCACAGCGCTACCTACATAGCTAGCCACAGCGCTACCCACATAGCTAGTCACAGCGCTACCTGCATAGCTAGCCACAGTGCTACCTACATAGCTAGCCACAGCGCTACCTACATAGCTAGCCACAGCGCTACCCACATAGCTAGCCACAGCGCTACCTACATAGCTAGCCACAGCGCTACCCACATAGCTAGCCACAGCGCTCCCCACAGCGCTCCCCACATAGCTAGCCACAGCAATGTTGACGATGATGATGTTAATGATGGTGTTGACGATGATGGTGTTGATGATGACGATGATGGTGTTGATGATGACGATGATGGTGTTGATGATGACGATGATGGTGTTGATGATGATGACGATGGTGTTGATGATGATGACGATGGTGTTGATGATGATGGTGTTGATGATGATGATGGTGTTGATGATGATGACGATGGTGTTGATGATGATGGTGTTGACGATGATGATGGTGATGATGGTGTGGATGATGATGGTGTTGATGATGATGATGGTGTTGATGATGATGGTGTTGATGATGATGACGATGGTGTTGATGATGATGGTGTTGACGATGATGATGATGGTGTTGATGATGATGGTGTGGATGATGATGGTGTTGATGATGATGGTGTTGATGATGTTGATGATGATGGTGTTGATGATGATGATGGTGTTGATGATGATGATGATGGTGTTGACGATGATGGTGTTGATGTTGATGATGATGGTGTTGATGTTGATGATGATGGTGTTGACGATGATGATGTTAATAACGATGTTAACGATAACGACGATGTCGACACTGTGCCAGGCTGCCCGCTATCCTGGCTCCCATGCAACTATCGCTGCGCGAGATCGCTGGGGACATCTCCAGCCTCGTGCTCAACTTGCGGTGAGAGGGGAGCGTGTCCCCCCGTGTCCCCCTGTCCCCCCCTGTCCCCCTGTCCCCCTGTCCCCGTGTCCCCCCGTGTCCCCCCGTGTCCCCCCGTGTCCCCCCGTGTCCCCCCGTGTCCCCCCGTGTCCCCCTGTCCCCCTGTCCCCGTGTCCCCCCGTGTCCCCCTGTCCCCCTGTCCCCGTGTCCCCCCGTGTCCCCCCGTGTCCCCCTGTCCCCCTGTCCCCGTGTCCCCCTGTCCCCCCGTGTCCCCCTGTCCCCCTGTCCCCGTGTCCCCCTGTCCCCGTGTCCCCCCGTGTCCCCCTGTCCCCCCGTGTCCCCCTGTCCCCCTGTCCCCGTGTCCCCCCGTGTCCCCCTGTCCCCCTGTCTCTGTGTCCCCCTGTCCCCGTGTCCCCCTGTCCCCGTGTCCCCCTGTCCCCCTGTCTCTGTGTCCCCCTGTCCCCGTGTCCCCCTGTCACCCCGCGTCCCCGTGTCTCTGTGTCTCCGTGTCTCTGTGTCCCCCTGTCCCCGTGTCTCTGTGTCCCCGTGTCCCCCTGTCCCCCTGTCACCCCGCGTCCCCGTGTCTCTGTGTCTCTGTGTCCCCGTGTCCCCCTGTCCCCCTGTCACCCCGCGTCCCCGTGTCTCTGTGTCTCTGTGTCCCCGTGTCTCTGTGTCCCCGTGTCCCCGTGTCCCCGTGTCCCCCTGTCCCCCTGTCCCCCTGTCCCCGTGTCCCCGTGTCTCTGTGTCCCCCTGTCCCCCTGGCCCCGTGTCTCTGTGTCCCCCTGTCCCCGTGTCCCCCGTGTTCCCCTGTCCCCCTGTCCCCCTGTCCCCGTGTCCCCCTGTCTCTGTGGCCTTTGTGTCTGGATTAGGCCCTGGGGGATTTTCTCTCCGCGTCCCTCGGGGAGGGGGAGGAGGAAGGGTGGGGAGGAGCGGGAGGCATGGGAGGAGGAGGATGATAGTGATGGTGGTGGTGGTCGTGGTGGTGGTGGTCGTGGTGGTGGTGGTTGTGATGGTGGTCGTGGTGGTGGTAGTAGTGATGGTGGTTGTGATGGTGGTCGTGGTGGTGGTGGTCGTGGTGGTGGTGGTTGTGATGGTGGTCGTGGTGGTGGTGGTAGTAGTGATGGTGGTTGTGATGGTGTTGGTGGTCGTGGTGGTGGTGGTCGTGGTGGTAGTAGTGATGGTGGTGGTGATGGTGTTGGTGGTCGTGGTGGTGGTGGTGGTAGTAGTGATGGTGGTTGTGATGGTGTTGGTGGTCGTGGTGTTGGTGGTCGTGGTGGTGGTGGTAGTAGTGGTGGTGGTGGTTGTGATGGTGGTCGTGGTGGTCGTGGTGGTGGTGGTTGTGATGGTGGTCGTGGTGTTGGTGGTGGTGGTGGTGGTAGTGATGGTGGTTGTGATGGTGGTTGTGATGGTGTTGGTGGTCGTGGTGGTGGTGGTAGTAGTGATGGTGGTTGTGATGGTGTTGGTGGTCGTGGTGTTGGTGGTGGTGGTAGTAGTGGTGGTGGTTGTGATGGTGGTGGTCGTGGTGTTGGTGGTGGTGGTGGTGGTAGTAGTGATGGTGGTTGTGATGGTGTTGGTGGTCGTGGTGGTGGTGGTAGTAGTGATGGTGGTTGTGATGGTGTTGGTGGTCGTGGTGTTGGTGGTCGTGGTGGTGGTGGTGGTAGTAGTGATGGTGGTTGTGATGGTGGTGGTGGTCGTGGTGGTGGTCGTGGTGGTGGTGGTAGTAGTGATGGTGGTTGTAATGGTGTTGGTGGTCGTGGTGGTGGTAGTGGTGGTGGTCGTGGTGGTGGTTGTGATGGTGGTGGTGGTCGTGGTGTTGGTGGTCGTGGTGGTGGTGGTAGTAGTGATGGTGGTTGTGATGGCGTTGGTGGTCGTGGTGTTGGTGGTCGTGGTGGTGGTGGTGGTAGTAGTGATGGTGGTTGTGATGGTGGTGGTGGTCGTGGTGGTGGTGGTGGTGGTTGTCGTGGTGGTGGTTGTGATGGTGGTTGTGATGGTGGTCGTGGTGGTGGTAGTGGTGGTGGTCGTGGTGGTGGTTGTGATGGTGGTTGTGATGGCGGTCGTGGTGGTGGTAGTGGTGGTGGTCGTGGTGGTGGTTGTGATGGGTGATTTTTCCGTCACGTTTTGAATACCCCCACACCTCCTCCTGCTCCCCCCACACCTCCTCCTGCTCCCCCCACACCTCCTCCTGCTCCCCCCACACCTCCCCACCCTCCCCCCACACCTCCTCCTGCTCCCCCCACACCTCCCCACCCTCCCCCCACACCCCCCCCCCTTACTCCCCCCACACCTCCCCCCCCTCCCAAGGGGCTATCGCCCCTAGGCTGGGATGCGTTTGTGCTGCCACTGTAAACACCATCACGGAGCATAAACATCTCCCCCCCACCACTACCCCCCCACTACCCCCCCCCACCACTCCCCCCCACTACCCCCCACTGCCCCCCCCCCCCCCACCACAGGCTGAGCCCCACCAACATCGTCCACAGGGCTGCCACCTGGACCCTCATCGCCCTCGCACTGCTACACGGGTACGGTGGGGGGCAAGGGAAGGTGGGGGGCACGGGAAGGTGGGGGGGGCACGGGAAGGTGGGGGGGGCACGGGAAGGTGGAGGGAGCAGGGGACGGTGGGGGGCACGGGACGGTGGGCGGGCACAGTGGTTCGTGCGCCCGCCACCATCTTCTCAACCAGTGCCGGGCCTCCCCTAGGTCGACTCAGCTTCAAACGAGAACCTGGTGCTGCGGTGTAGCGTAGTGAACGTCGCCACTGGGGGAGACAAAGGCGGCCGGGCGTGGTTGCTGGTAGCCACCCACCCCCTCGTGTGTCGCCACAGTGCCGGTAGCCTTCAGAGGCGCTGCTACCGCTGCTGCTGCTACTCACAGCACTTGCCCCTGGAGCCTGTTCAGGCTTCACGGGGGATCTTTGCGTATGGGTGAGTGTGCGTGTGTGTGAGTGTACTCGTGTGTGTGTGTGTACGCGTGTGTACACACGCGCGTGTGTGTGTGTGTACGCGCGTATGTGTGTACGTGCGTATGTCTGTACGCGCGCGTGTGTGTGTGTACGTGTGTGTGTGTGTGTGTGCGTGAGCTCGAGACCTCATTGTTGAAGTTTGACACTGGAGATGACACCCAATAGCGGCCCAAGTGACACATACACACACACACGCGTACGTACGCACGCACGCGCATGGGCAGCCGAACGCGCGCGTGTTTGCGCGCGTGTGTGTGTGTGTGCGTGTGTCTGCGTGCGTGTGTCTGCGTGCGTGCCCGGGAAATCGGATGTGATTTCTTTGTCTGCTTTATGTTTCATCGAATCTCCACCGTCCCTTTGTTCCGCAGCGCCCATCCAATCAGGATTAGATAAATCCGGCCTAATCTCACTCGCTCGCTCGCTCTCTCTCTTGCGTACCTGGACACCCGGCACTCCCTCCACACCTCCACGGACCCGTGTCTCATCTCCCCGTGAAGTCTCCCACCCCGTGTCTCATCTCCCCGTGTAGTCTCCCACCCCGTGTCTCATCTCCCCGTGTAGTCTCCCACCCCGTGTCTCATCTCCCCGTGAAGTCTCCCACCCCGTGTCTCATCTCCCCGTGAAGTCTCCCACCCCGTGTCTCATCTCCCCGTGAAGTCTCCCACCCCGTGTCTCATCTCCCCGTGAAGTCTCCCACGCCGTGTCTCATCTCCCCGTGAAGTCTCCCACCCCGTGTCTCATCTCCCCGTGAAGTCTCCCACCCCGTGTCTCAACTCCCTGTGAAGTCTCCCACCCCGTGTCTCATCTCCCCGTGAAGTCTCCCACCCCGTGTCTCATCTCCCCGTGTAGTCTCCCACCACGTGTCTCATCTCCCCGTGAAGTCTCCCACCCCGTGTCTCATCTCCCCGTGTAGTCTCCCACCCCGTGTCTCATCTCCCCGTGTAGTCTCCCACCCCGTGTCTCATCTCCCCGTGAAGTCTCCCACCCCGTGTCTCATCTCCCCGTGTAGTCTCCCACCCCGTGTCTCATTTCCCCGTGTAGTCTCCCACCCCGTGTCTCATCTCCCCGTGTAGTCTCCCACCCCGTGTTTCATCTCCCCGTGAAGTCTCCCACGCCGTGTCTCATCTCCCCGTGAAGTCTCCCTCCCAGTGTCTCATCTCCCCGTGTAGGAGGTCGTGGGTTTGATCCTGACCCTGACGACGCCTGCTGAAAATTTGGAGTTTGCATGTGGCTAGGAGGTGTTAACTACCTCGCCTCAACAACAACCGCCATTCACCACTAAGTGGCGATGACGTCACCACGACGCTTGTGCCAGGCCATGTGCACCTTGAGGCCACGTGAAGTGTCGAACGCCTGCGGACAGGAGTTCACGGGGCAGACCCAGGTGCCACGGGTCGACTGACTGAGATGACTGGCTGATGCACCACCTGTGCCCCCTACTGTGCCAACCTGCTGTTCTTTAGCCACCCAGCGCTCCGCTCGTTGTTGTGAGCGTCGCTCCTCCGCCCTCCGTTGTTGTTGGAGGGCGACTGCCTCCAACTGCCCAGTAGCGTCCTTCACGAGCCTCCTCCACAGAGGCCGATCTTGACACCGCTGGTACCAGTCATCGGCAAGTCCACTCAGCTCCACGTCCTCCTGTACCACATCACTCCATCTCTTCTCTAGCCCGTGCTGCGCCCGTTTAGTCCCCACAGTACACACACACACAGATCACACACAGTACACACACACAGTACACAGTACACACACACAGTACACACAGTACAAACACACAGTACACACACACAGTATACACACACACAGTACACACAGTACACACACACACACACAGTACACACACACAGTACACACACAGTACACACACACAGTACACACACACAGTACACACACACACAGTACACTTGTGTACAGGTCGTGCACGCCAATTCACCTGTGTGCGTGCGGTCATGATTGGGGTGAGAGGGGAGGGGGTAAGGTGGGGAGGGTGGGGGGGGCAGCGGTGGGACACGTGATCCGCAGGTGTAGAGTTGCCTGAACCCCGGAAGCTGAATTATTGATGGGTGAGACCAGGTGCGTGTGCGTGTGGGGTGAGAGAGAGAGGGACAGTCACGCACACATCATCACATACACACACAATCACACACATTCACATACACACACACATCATCACATACACACACACAATCACACACACACAATCACATAGACACAATCACATAGACACACACAATCACATAGACACACACAATCACACACATTCACATACACACACACATCATCACATACACACACACAATCACACACACACAATCACACACACACAATCACACACACACAATCACATAGACACACACAATCACATAGACACACACAATCACACACACACACAATCACACACACACACAATCACATAGACAAACGCACAATCGCATAGAAACACACAATCTCACACACACAATCACAAAAAAAGACAAAGATCCCCCATATAGCCTTAACAGACTGTAGGGGCAAGTGCTGTTAGCGAGCACCTATGAAGGCCGGAACGGTACACGAGGGGGTGGGTGGCCGGCACCACGCCCGGCCGCCTTTGTCTCTCCAGTGCTAACGTCTACTACTGCTACAACACCACAGCAGGCCCTCAATTAAAGCCGAGTCAACCTAGGGGAGGCCCGGTAGGCGTGTGGGTATCGGGGTAGGCGTGTGAGTACCGGGGTAGGAGTGTGGGTACCGGGGTAGGCGTGTGGGTACCTCGGTCGGCGTGTGGGTACCGGGGTAGGCGTGTGGGTACCTGGATAGGCGTGTGGGTACCGAGGTAGGCGCCGTGGGTACCGTGGTAGGCGCCGTGGGTACTGGGGTAGGCGCGTGAAGGTACCTGGCTAGGCGTGTGGGTACCTGGCTAGGCGCCGTGGGTACCGAGGTAGGTGCTGTGGGTACCTGGCTAGGCATGTGGGTACCTGGCTAGGCGTGTGGGTACCGTGGTAGTCGCCGTGGGTACCTGGCTAGGCTTCGTGGGTACCGTGGCAGTCGCCGTGGGTACCGAGGTAGGTGCTGTGGGTACCTGGCTAGGCGTGTGGGTACCTGGCTAGGCGTGTGGGTACCGGGGTAGTCGCCGTGGGCCCCCGCGCGTCTGCGCTGCCACAAATCACCGGGCGTTCCGCTCGTCCATTATTCATCACTCTCATTATACTCCTCCTAGCGCTGGCGCGTCGCCCTTTCGTGTTGGGTTTTGTCTTTCACTCGCCATGGCCACCCGCCCCCCACCCGCCCCCCACCCCCCCCCGCCCCCCCACCAGACTGGCCGTCCGTGGGGGGCCCCTGGGCCAAGCTTGGAGCCTCCCGGCCTCCCGGGCCCACGTCTCCAAACTCCTCGACCGCTTCGGCCTCCACGGGGATCCCGGGGATCTGGACCGCCGCTTCCTCCACCTCCTCCCCCCGTCGTGATGGTGCCACCACCCCCCCCCACGCCTCACCCCCCCCCCTGCCTCTCGTCCCCCCCTTAGGGGAGTAGGAGGGAGATCCACTCCCCCCCCCCCCCCCCGCTTTAGCGCAACAGCGACCCAGAATTCTCCCCGACATCGCCGCCGCGACCGAAGTCTCGGTCGCGGCTTGTTGCCACCCCGACCACGCAGCACAACAGATGTGCCCATTCCAAGACTGTTTGGTGGGTGAGTGTGTTGGTGGGTGAGTGGGTGGGTGGGTGAGTGTGTTGGTGGGTGGGTGGGTGGGTGAGTGTGTTGGTGGGTGAGTGGGTGGGTGGGTGAGTGTGTTGGTGGGTGAGTGGGTGGGTGGGTGAGTGTGTTGGTGGGTGAGTGTGTTGGTGAGTGAGTGGGTGGGTGGGTGAGTGTGTTGGTGGGTGAGTGGGTGGGTGGGTGTGTTGGTGGGTGTGTGTGTTGGTGGGTGAGTGTGTTGGTGGGTGAGTGGGTGGGTGGGTGAGTGGGTGGGTGGGTGGGTGAGTGTGTTGGTGAGTGAGTGTGTTGGTGGGTGAGTGTGTTGGTGGGTGGGTGAGTGTGTTGGTGGGTGAGTGTGTTGGTGGGTGAGTGGGTGGGTGGGTGAGTGGGTGGGTTGGTGAGTGTGTTGTTGGGTGAGTGTGTTGGTGGGTGAGTGGGTGGGTGGGTGAGTGGGTGGGTGGGTGAGTGGGTGGGTGGGTGAGTGAGTTGGTGGGTGAGTGTGTTGGTGGGTGAGTGGGTGGGTGGGTGAGTGGGTGGGTGGGTGAGTGTGTTGGTGGGTGGGTGGGTGGGTGAGTGTGTTGGTGGGTGAGTGTGTTGGTGGGTGAGTGGGTGGGTGGGTGAGTGTGTTGGTGGGTGGGTGGATGGGTGGGTGAGTGTGTTGGTGGGTGAGTGTGTTGGTGGGTGAGTGGGTGGGTGGGTGAGTGGGTGGGTGGGTGAGTGTGTTGGTGGGTGGGTAGGTGGGTGAGTGTGTTGGTGGGTGAGTGGGTGGGTGGGTGAGTGTGTTGGTGGGTGAGTGTGTGGGTGGGTGAGTGTGTTGGTGGGTGGGTGGGTGGGTGAGTGTTGGTGGGTGAGTGGGTGGGTGGGTGGGTGAGTGTGTTGGTGGGTGAGTGTGTTGGTGGGTGAGTGTGTTGGTGGGTGAGTGTGTTGGTGGGTGAGTGTGTTGGTGGGTGAGTGTTTTGGTGGGTGAGTGGGTGGGTGGGTGAGTGTGTTGGTGGGTGAGTGGGTGGGTGGGTGAGTGTTGGTGGGTGAGTGGGTGGGTGAGTGTTGGTGGGTGAGTGGGTGGGTGGGTGATTGTGTTGGTGGGTGAGTGGGTGGGTGAGTGTATTGGTGGGTGAGTGTGTTGGTGCGTGGGTGGGTGGGTGAGTGTGTTGGTGGGTGGGTGGGTGAGTGTGTTGGTGAGTGGGTGGGTGGGTGAGTGTGTTGGTGGGTGAGTGGGTGGGTGAGTGTGTTGGTGGGTGAGTGGGTGGGTGGGTGAGTGTGTTGGTGGGTGAGTGTGTTGGTGGGTGAGTGTGTTGGTGGGTGAGTGTGTGGGTGGGTGAGTGGGTGGGTGGGTGAGTGTGTTGGTGGGTGAGTGTGTTGGTGGGTGAGTGTGTTGGTGGGTGAGTGGGTGGGTGGGTGGGTGAGTGTGTTGGTGGGTGAGTGGGTGGGTGGGTGAGTTTGTTGGTGGGTGGGTGGGTGGGTGAGTGTGTTGGTGGGTGAGTGTTGGTGGGTGGGTGAGTGTGTTGGTGGGTGAGTATGTTGGTGGGTGAGTGGGTGGGTGGGTGGGTGAGTGTGTTGGTGAGTGAGTGGGTGGGTGGGTGGGTGAGTGTGTTGGTGGGTGAGTGGGTGGGTGGGTGGGTGAGTGTGTTTATGTGGGTGAGTGGGTGGGTGGGTGAGTGTTGGTGGGTGAGTGGGTGGGTGGGTGAGTGTGTTGGTGGGTGAGTGTGTTGGTGGGTGGGTGTGTTGGTGGGTAAGTGGGTGGGTGGGTGAGTGTGTTGGTGGGTGAGTGTGTTGGTGAGTGAGTGGGTGGGTGGGTGAGTGTGTTGGTGGGTGAGTGGGTGGGTGGGTGAGTGTTGGTGGGTGAGTGGGTGGGTGGGTGGGTGAGTGGGTGGGTGGGTGAGTGGGTGGGTGGGTGAGTGTGTTTGTGGGTGAGTGTGTTGGTGGGTGAGTTGGTGGGTGGGTGAGTGTGTTGGTGGGTGGGTGTGTTGGTGGGTGAGTGTGTTGGTGGGTGAGTGGGTGGATGGGTGAGTGTGTTGGTGGGTGAGTGGGTGGATGGGTGGGTGAGTGTGTTGGTGGGTGAGTGGGTGGGTGGGTGAGTGTGTTGGTGGGTGAGTGGGTGGGTGGGTGAGTGTGTTGGTGGGTGAGTGGGTGGATTGGTGGGTGAGTGTGTTGGTGGGTGAGTGGGTGGGTGGGTGAGTGTGTTGGTGGGTGACTGTGTTGGTGGGTGAGTGTGTTGGTGGGTGAGTGTGTTGGTGGGTGAGTTGGTGGGTGAGTGTGTTGGTGGGTGAGTGGGTGGGTGGGTGGGTGAGTGTGTTGGTGGGTGAGTGGGTGGGTGGGTGAGTGTTGGTGGGTGAGTGGGTGGGTGGGTGAGTGTGTTGGTGGGTGAGTGTGTTGGTGGGTGAGTGGGTGGGTGGGTGAGTGTGTTGGTGGGTGAGTGGGTGGGTGGGTGAGTGGGTGGGTGGGTGAGTGTGTTGGTGGGTGACTGTGTTGGTGGGTGAGTGTGTTGGTGGGTGACTGTGTTGGTGGGTGAGTGTGTTGGTGGGTGAGTGTGTTGGTGGGTGAGTGGGTGGGTGGGTGAGTGTGTTGGTGGGTGAGTGGGTGGGTGGGTGGGTGAGTGTGTTGGTGGGTGAGTGGGTGGGTGGGTGAGTGTTGGTGGGTGAGTGGGTGGGTGGGTGAGTGTGTTGGTGGGTGAGTGGGTGGGTGAGTGGGTGGGTGGGTGAGTGTGTTGGTGGGTGAGTGTGTTGGTGGGTGAGTGGGTGGGTGGGTGAGTGTGTTGGTGGGTGAGTGTGTTGGTGGGTGAGTGTGTGGGTGGGTGGGTGAGTGTGTTGGTGAGTGTGTTGGTGGGTGAGTGGGTGGGTGGGTGAGTGTGTTGGTGGGTGAGTGGGTGGGTGAGTGGGTGGGTGGGTGAGTGTGTTGGTGGGTGAGTGTGTTGGTGGGTGAGTGGGTGGGTGGGTGGGTGAGTGGGTGGGTGGGTGAGTGTGTTGGTGGGTGAGTGGGTTGGTGGGTGAGTGTGTTGGTGCGTGGGTGGGTGGGTGAGTGTGTTGGTGGGTGGGTGGGTGAGTGTGTTGGTGAGTGGGTGGGTGGGTGAGTGTGTTGGTGGGTGAGTGGGTGGGTGGGTGAGTGTGTTGGTGGGTGAGTGGGTGGGTGGGTGAGTGTGTTGGTGGGTGAGTGTGTTGGTGGGTGAGTGTGTTGGTGGGTGAGTGTGTTGGTGGGTGAGTGGGTGGGTGGGTGAGTGGGTGGGTGGGTGAGTGTGTTGGTGGGTGAGTGTGTTGGTGGGTGAGTGTGTTGGTGGGTGAGTGTGTTGGTGGGTGGGTGAGTGGATGGGTGGGTGAGTGTGTTGGTGGGTGAGTGTGTTGGTGGGTGAGTGTGTTGGTGGGTGAGTGTGTTGATGGGTGAGTGGGTGAGTGGGTGGGTGGGTGAGTGGATGAGTGAGTGCGTGGGTGGGTGAGTGGCTGGGTCAGTGGATGAGTGAGTGAGTGGGTGGGTGAGTGGATGAGTGAGTGAGTGGGTGGGTGAGTGGCTGGGTGAGTGAGTGAGTGGGTGGGTGAGTGGGTGAGTGGATGAGTGAGTGGGTGGGTGAGTGGCTGGGTGAGTGGATGAGTGAGTGAGTGAGTGGGTGAGTGAGTGAGTGGGTGGGTGAGTGGATGAGTGAGTGGGTGGGTGAGTGGATGAGTGAGTGAGTGGGTGGGTGAGTGGATGAGTGGGTGAGTGGGTGGGTGCGTGGATGAGTGAGTGGGTGGGTGAGTGGCTGGGTGAGTGGATGAGTGAGTTGGTAGATGAGTGGGTAAGTGAGCGGGTGAGTGGATGAGTGAGTGGGTGGGTGAGTGGGTGAGTGGATGAGTGAGTGGGTGATTGAATGAATGAGTGGGTGAGTAAGTGGTTGAGTGGGTGAGTGAGTTAATGAGTGAGTAGTATGGTCACCACCACCATCACCAGCGCCTTCCCACTGTAGACCAATCCAGCTGGGACCTTCCAGTCGGCGCTGGGTCAATCGCAGCTGTCTCCGTCTCGCGTGATGACAATAAAGTTGAAGTCAACAAATGCGCTTCGAAATCAAATCTTGTTGCCACCACGAACACACACACACTAACACACACACTAACACACACACACTAACACACACACTAACACACACACACTAACACACACACTAACACACACACACTAACACACACACACTAACACACACACACTAACACACACACCAGCAACTCGCCACTAAGTGGCGGTGACGTCACCACGACTCTTGTGCCAGGCCATGTGCACCTTGAGGCCACGTGAAGTGTCGAACGCCCGTGGGCAGGAGGTCACGGGGCAGACCCAGGTGCCACGGGTCGACTGACTGAGATGGCTGGCTGGTGCACCACCTGTGCCCCCTACTGTGCCAACCTGCTGTGCTTTAGCCACCCGGCCCTCAGCTTGTTGTTGTGAGCGTCGCTCCTCCGCCCTCCGTTGTTGTTGGAGGGCGACTACCTCCAACTGCCCAGTAGCGTCCTGCACGAGCCTCCTCCACAGAGGCCGATCTTGACACCGCTGGTACCAGTCATCGGCAAGTCCACTCAGCACCACATCCTCCTGTACCACGTCATTCCATCTCTTCTCTAGCCCGTGCCGCGCCCGTTTAGCCCCCTCGATCCGGGCGAACAAAAGCTGTTTCGGCATGCGGTGGCTGGGCATGCGGTGGCTGGGCATGCGGGCTACATGACCCAGCCAACGCAGCCTTGCCTGCCGGAGGAACTCACCGATGGGACCTTGCCCAGATCTTTCAAGGATTTGCGAGCTCCTCACAACACACTAACAAAGATCCCCCATATAGCCTTAACAGACTGTAGGGGC